CCCTGTCGCACTCTTTGGTAAGCGCTGCATGGCCTCGACTCGAACGAGCTTCTAATCACACGTATGCAGGGTTTGGGTGGACGACATACTCCTCAGTAAGTTTAGAATGCTCATGGCATGGACGATTCTATGGCTAACATCCTGGTTTCCGCAGGTTCACTGGATAGGTACGACATCATCGTGCATATTGTCCAGTCGCAATAACAACTGACCATGACACTGCAGTTCCAATAATCTTTTCAGCATTATTTGGCCTTGGGTAGGTCTTCCTCTTTTAGACGCTTCAAGTATCGTCGATGAACAGCTCACTGACCGTGTCCGTGACGTAGTGTCATCTGGGTCTATTCAGGGGTCTTCACATTCTTGGTCGAAGCTGTAAGTCCCACCACGCACCGAAGTCGGACCAGGCTCTTGGGTACAGAGATAGTGACCTCGCCGAACAGTACCCTGTCTACGCTGCATCGGCTCTCGCGGCCAACAGCTTCGCGCGGTCGTACTTTGCTGCGGCTTTCCCGTAAGCTAGCACCAACGTTGGGGCAGACTTCATTACTAATTGACGACATAGACTATTTGGTGTTCAGATGTACAACAGTAAGTCCCTAGGCCGGTACACCATGGTGAAAGAGCGGTCACTGATTCGGAAAAGATCTCGGCTACCAGTGGGCAACTACTCTGCTTGCGTTCCTTGCGCTGGCCATGGCACCGTAAGAGACCCAAGAGAATGGCCGTGGGAATCACTAACGTATATTGTTGCAGCTTTCCAATCTTGTTCTTTCGATATGGCAAGCGGCTCAGAGGAGGCAGTCGATATGCATCAGCATAGTGGGCATGGAAGTGACGCGAGGGCATGTGGCAGACTTGACTGGAAGAGGACTAATAATAGCGAGTGACACGGCAGTTCAATGCCAAAGAATTCTATTGAATCAAGGATTTTGCGCCCACACGTGAGACCACATGAAGCAGGTTGGCCGGGCCCTTGTGCGACAGAACATGAGCGCCACGAGGGCGGCCACGCCAGCTCGAGGGACAACGGATGCACAAAAGATGAAAGCGGCTGCGGATGGTACCGTTGCCGGAGGGCGGTGCACCGGGGTGCTAGGAAACGTGGTCGGCAGGCCAGAGACACGGTGAGGGAGACAGTGAGGGCACACAAAGCTCGCGAAGTGTAGCGAGTGATTATAGTTGGTGATACGAGCGCGCCCATAGGCTGGCGATATACCAGTGGGCTCCAACGCCAAGGCCTCGCATCCCACACTGCATGCATGCCTCATAGCCGAGTTTGAGGGACTTTGGGTATGCCGGCTGCTTGCTTTTTGGGGATGCGCTGTGTGGCATGAGGTGTCGCGGTGGGAATTGCGAGTGACTGGGCAGGGCCTTCTGCAGCAGGGGACCCAATCTGCAAAGATGTACTGAGCAAGATCCACCTATGTATTGACGACGATCATGTGGCAGACAGCAGCCCTAGAGTGGCTGAAGGGCGCCATGGCAGCTAGCGAGGTCCAAATAGTGAAGCAGAAGTGCGTGACTGCGGGCTAGCGGCAGGCCAAGCAAGCGGCTTACCGGTCGACAGGGACCGAGGCAGCTGCGTGGGCTGCACCTTCCAGCAAACCTCGAACAGCCAATTGCGGGGAATCGCATCTGCGCGCATCTTGCAGCAGAGGTCCAATATACCGCACACGACCAGCGCCCGACGCCGCGAGCCCACTCTCAACTGCACACAGCGCTGCAAGTGCCCTGGCTGCTCGTCAAACCCAGCAGCGCCTCCATCGCCTCGACCGCGCGCTCCGTCGCGACTCGTAGCCGGCCTCCCCAGACGATCATCTCCCATCGCCCATCGCCCATCGCCCATCGCCCCTGCCCCAGCGCTGACCGTGACTTGCACGCGCTGTATCGCACCACTGCCCTATCGTGTCGCGCCTTCCGCGCTCGACGCGCCGCCGCACCCGTGACTGCCACGCTGCTGCTCTCACCTCCCGCGGGCTCACTGTACGAACCCCGGCACCGCTTGTAGAACCACACTCGACTCCCAGCAGCATGGGCAGCGCGTCTCGGTAGCATCTCGCTATCAAACATGGTTCTGTGTGCTCCTGGAATGCTCCCTCGATTACATGGACCCCGGCCCCGTACCACAATAGCACTGTCCCATACCTGTCCGCCGGATTGAGAGCCCTTCACTCTCTGGGTCCCCTGCATAGCTCGTCATTGGACCTGTCAGAGTGCCACGGCAGCGCCCGTTCAAGCAGCCAACGCACGCGTGATCGCACTCTAAAACACGCAGCTGGAACGCCTCCAGCCGTGCACCCCAGACACATTGGCTGAACCGTTTTGCTGGGAACACCCCAAGATCACCATTGACGGCTACACGCAGCACTAGACTCACTTCTCAGCGCCTCCGTCCACCGCAGGGACTGTTCGTGCTTGGCTGAGTGCCTGCGCTGCGTAGAGGGGATATCATGACCACCCCAGACGCCCAAGATGCCTCTCCTTCGCCCGAGTACAGGAGCGACTTGGACGACGACATGGCTGCTGAACAGACTGCAGACCGCCAGTCTGGCGATGGCGATTCCAGCCAGAAGCCTACCAATGGGAAGTCCAATGCAAAAGACCCTCTAAGACCGCGGAGGAAGAAGGCGCGGAGAGCGTGCTTTGCCTGCCAGCGAGCCCATCTGACGTGTGGTGAGTATCAACTATGAGCCATTGCATTAAATGGCGGGACTGACACCTTCTAGGCGACGAGAGACCATGCAATCGCTGCATCAAGCGCGGCCTCCAAGATCATTGCATGGACGGCGTGCGCAAAAAGGCCAAGTATCTCCACGATGCGCCAGATGGAGCGCTCATGCCCGGTGTGGGCGGCCACTACCCATACATGAACGGCAACCGCCCAACACCAATACCGAGTCATGACACACAACCAGTCTCGGTCTCTCCGCAGAGCAACATGTACAACCAAGCCCAGCCAGCGGCATTCTACCCGCCCAATTCGATACCAGGACAAATACCCGTGGCTCAAGACGGTCACGCTTTCAGCAATCAACAGTCGCCAATATCACCTCCGTTCAACCAAACACATCACGGTCCAGTACAAAACACACCAAACCCCTTGTCTCAAAATCAGCAGGGCCAATTGCAGCAGTTTGGACCTCTGTTCGACCCAAGTGACCCCGCACTGTTCAATTTCGACATCTCGAGCCTCAATTTCGGAAACCATTATGGAGCACTGGAGTTTGGCATGCTTGGTCATATGTCATCAGGCGCAGTGGACGCACCTCACGATAACGCGATGATGAACATGAACGGAGCTGTGAACATGTACAACACACAGATGCCCTCAACTTACGCGGACCAGAACAACGCGGCAACCGCTATGGCATACAATGCGAACGGACTTCCAGCAGGCGAATGGCAAGACGCACATTCGCGGCAAGGGAGCATGCATGTTCACACGCCAAACACCGCTGGCCACGATCACCACAGTCTTCGAAACGACAGCCTCAGTGGTCCCCATGCATTCGTTATAGGTCAAGGGCCTGCTAGCCATACAGCAAGCCCAGCCTCTACGGACGCGTCTACTTTCGAGGGTGACAACCCACTGGCGACTGCAGCGTTCTTCGCCAACACCAACCGACCGCATGCGCAGCGTTCTCCTGCTGTGAATCGATCACAACACGAGAACAGACCTTCGACCACAGCACTTCAGCCGATACACTCTAATGGCGTGCGCAAGCGACAACGCGATACCAAGAGCATCTATCAAGGGGTTACCAAGCCATACGATTACGTTAAGGGCTACCACAGGCTTTACCAGCTGATCGACAAGAACTACTCGAGGCCTTGGGTCGCTAAGGCACAACAGTATCTACAAAACTATCGACCTGTATTGCTACAAGTGCGGGAAGAGTTGAACAGAGACGACTTGATCCATCAAGAAATGGGTCTTCAGCGTCAGGTCATGACACTGCAAGATCACTTTGCGGAAGTTGGCACACCGTTCTTGATCTGTCGTCGCTCAGGCGAGATTGTCGGTATCAACAAGGAGTTTACCATTCTTACGGGCTGGAAAGAATCCGTTCTCCTGGGCCAGGAAGCCAACCTCAACGTCAACACGGGCACGAACCGCGACACAAGCGAAAGCGACACCGGCTCAACCCAGAACACCACACCCAACCTCACCGCGCAAGACTCCGAGACCACACCCAGCGTCAACATCATCGAGCTCATGGACCCCAAATCCGCCCTTGAGTTCCTACAACACTTCTCCGAACTGTGCTACCAGGACCCTCACGGCTACGCTTCTCAACGCGTCAACATGCTCAGATATCAGACCAAGGCAGACATGGATCGCATCCAGGAAATGAAGAATGCAAATGCTGGTGCTGATGTCAAGGTCGATCCGCTTGTCAAGGTGGAGGGCGAGAGTGCCATGCAGCGGCTGGGTGCGAAGAATGGTATGGTTGATTGTATGATCTGGTGGCATATCAAGCGCGATATGTTTGATATGCCTGTGCTCGTTTGTATGAGTGTAAGTTGGATTTTGAAGTTATTTGTAGGTCAAGTGCTAATGATTGTTTAGGTTATGCCTGTTCTTGACAAAGGACTGCAGTGAACAACTTGTTTAGTTAGGACTGGCCACCTTTCGCAAAACGCCATCTGAGATGTCCTTGAACTCACGTTTTGATAACACGACGACCTTCATATACACGGATGACGGAAACCTCAAGGTTGACATGTGGCCCTGTCACAGCGGCAGTAAAAAAGTGCTTTTATGGTTTTGATTTGCTGGGTACGATGGCGCATATGCATGGACACCAGAGTCGTCTCACGAGACGTGTGCATCATGCAAGGTAGTGCTTGGTATGCTATTTCTCGTTATTTGTTCCAGGTGTTCAAGGACGCACATGAAGGCGTAAACGGAGTAGACGAGCTGCCACCATAGGCGCGATACCAATGCTTTCCACGGCTAGAACAACAGTATGATAATAATGTTCCGTTCATTCGTACCACCATCCATCGCTACGCACATGCCTAAACCCTGTTTCAACTCGAACACCATCACTCACTACCCCTAATTAATCATCTGCGCAACCCCCATCCCATCCTTCTGCCCCTCCTGATTCCAATTCACCTTGACATCCTCCCCTCCCCTCAACCACTCATCCCTCTTCCAAACCTCATACCCCTCCCTCCCCAAACTCCTCTGCGCCACCCGAATATCCTCCCTAATATCCTCCACCAACGCCTCCTTACTCACATAATCGTACTCCGGCCGTATAAACCCCAATATCATCAGACTGAGCTGCGCCCCATAAAAGTCTTCTTTGAAGTTATGCAGAATGTGGATTTCGATACTGCGCTGGCTGTTCTTGTAGTATGGGTTGTAGCCGATGGAGAGGACGGTGGGGTAGATGGTGGAGGGCGTGGGCGGTTCTGAAGAGTATTCGAGGTCGAGGACGGCGTGAGATGACGATTGGGTGGGGACTGAGGTGTCATCTGTCGCGCTGGGGACGCTGGAGGGGGTTGTGGTGGTGGGGATTGTGGTTGTGTCCAGGGTGCACCAGCCATAGTATATGCCGGATTCTAACTCGTCGTGCCCGCCTATGCTCAGGCCTGAGAGCGGGATGTTGGCGGTGGGGATACCTAGCTGTTCTTGTTAGTTTGGCGTGATGTTTGAGAGGGTTTGTGGATTTGTACTTCTTTGCTTCCGCGTCCGAAGCCTTTTACTACAGGTCCTCGGAGCTTTATTGGAAAGGGTGGTTGTGGTGTTTCGGGGCCGGCGATGGGGTCGCGGGGTCCGTCTGGGCGACCCATGGTGTTTGTTCAGCTTGTATAGTTGATGGGGGTTGGAATTGGAGCTGGGGGAGTGCACAGGCGGGTTTCTAGAACAGAGGGATTGTTGGCCGTGGTACTTCGAGCACTTTCTGGTCGGGATGATGGAGGTCCGATCGGAACATTGGTGGGGCTCATGTCAGATAGCAAGCGTCACCGTTGGCTTAGTCAGCTTGGTACCTTGCATCGTCACTTCCGACGTGGAGGTATGAGCTAACTACATCAGTCTGTTCCATGCGCTTGCGATATGACATTCAAATGTCTGAATCCAATATCTGCTCGTAGACTCGGCGCTTCTTTCCCTGTATCTTGTTTGAAGCCCTGCCACATCCTTCCATCATTGACCACGCGCAACATGGCCTCTGTTTCAACGAATCAAAAGGCATCACGTCTTTACGATGACAAGCCTGCGTTCATCTACGGTACTGCTTGGAAGAAAGATCAAACGAAGAGGCTGGTCAAGGAAGCTCTCGCCCAAGGCTTTCGTCGCGTCGACACAGCTGCACAACCACGGCATTACCAGGAACCTTTGGTCGGCGAAGCGCTTCGTGAGGTGTTCTCTGAGGGCATACTTGAACGAGGACAACTATACGTAGGTTAAACGGAGATCGGACTCACTTGATGCTCATGCGTCACAGTTACAGACAAAGTACACCACCCCTGCTGGCCAAGATCTGACCAACATGCCCTACAATCCTGACGCGCCGTTGGATACCCAGATACACACATCCGTCGCATCATCACTGAAGAACCTGCGATACAAGGACGAGTCAGACGATGCCTCATACATTGACTGTTTACTTCTGCACTCCCCACTGCCTACCATTGACCAAACACTGCAAGCCTGGAAACTACTGGAGTCGTATGTGCCCAACAGAATTCGCAGTCTCGGTATCTCAAACGTCACACTCCCCATTCTTCAGGTCATCTACGAGAATGCCACAATCAAGCCATCGGTTATTCAGAACCGTTTCTACCCTCAGACGCGCTACGATGTATCGTTACGCGCCTTCTGCCGAGAAAGCAACATCATGTATCAGTCCTTCTGGACTTTGACAGGCAATCCTTCTCTCATAAGATCCGAGCCCGTTGCTACGTTGGCTCAAGTAGCGGGTGTCGGACTGCCTGTCGCGCTTTACGCTCTTGTTATAGACCAAGGAGTTGTGGTGCTAAATGGGACTACTTCGAGTGATCATATGCGGGCTGATCTCGAGGGCATTGAGAAGGTGCGTAACTGGGCGCTGTCGCAACCTAACAAGTTTGAGGCCATTAGCGAGGCCTTTAAGTCACTGCTCGGATGATAGGAAGTATTATCATGAATTGGAGCACAGTATACGTGCAATGGCTGTCATCCAAGAGTAAAGTTACCCCGAGTCGTTGAACGTATGACGCGCAAGACTCGATCTTGACAAGGCGGTCTGAGCCATCCTATTGACCGCTCTATGTGGTGCTTACCAAAAGCTTCCCACTCTCCTCCTCCAAATCGCCCTGGAGAGCTCGGGACTTGTCGCGGAAGAGACACGTGACTCGAGACTCTGTTGCCTAGACAATGCAAGGTCTTGACAGCTCACAGCTCAGTACGCACTGACCACTCTTGACAGTCATTGTCAAACAAACGGTCGTTGAGCTTCCGCCCACCTTTGCTGCAGCCCAATGCAAACTCTGACTACTGACAATTGCCGTGACGAAGGAAATCGAGCCTACTAAAACAGCAGAAAAAGTATACTCAGCATATCGATTCCACGGCGTAACGCCGATGATGAGCCCAGTCATGCACACGTTTCCTTCATCTTGGAGAAACTGAAGCGGCTGGTTTCATCTCGAATTTGAACCTAACGATGTGAACTAGTACCCGAGCTCCAGAAGCACGCACGCGGACCACCGAGCCGGGCAACGAAGTCGAGCATCCAATGGCACAATGGAAAAATGCTTTCTTCCAGGGGTAAGACACAAGCCATTGAATCCACAAGAATGGGAGCTGACATACAAAAGATCTTTCAAACTCGTATGCGGAGACGCTAGCCAAGGCTGGTGTTTGGATCTTACCGCGAATATGATGGCCAAGCTACCCCGAGAACTCCGCGATATCATCTATACGTACATCCTCGAGAGCCGAGTCATCGATCATGAGCATCAGGAGCTCTTGGTCACTACGCCCTCGCTTTGGGACCTTGCAGAGTTTAGCAGCAGCGACCATCTGTGGCCTAAGAGACGTACCATTCTAGGTGACGACGTCCCACATTACGTAGTATACCAGCACGTCGACGAGTCTTTCCGGATTGAATTGGCAGAGACTTTGTACCGTACCAAACTGCTCCGTGTGGAATGGCTCTTGAAACTCAAGGCTATACTCCACTACGACGTCTTTCAGACCAGTTGCGAGCCCAAGGACCACATGCGCAACATTCAGATCGAGCTCAACTTTAACTTTTGCACGCGAACACGAGATTACTATGCCGAGGCGGTTGAGCCTCTGTGGTACCTGCGCCATATCAAGCACATCAAGGGACTGAAAGTCGGCTTCGTCTTGAACTTCAAGTACGACGATGTTCTTCCATTGATTGAGGAGGCGACGGCACCTTTGGTTCAACATCTGGTATCAGAAGGTGCGAAGGTGACTTGGTACAAGAAGGGATGTCATGTCATCACTGGACCCACCGAACTTGTCATGCCTAAGCGAAACTTCAGCGATACTGCACAAGAGTCCAAGGATCTGATCAGAGTTGCCAGTATTTTCGTAAGTCATCCGCATTGTCAATTTGGGATCTGAGCTAATTTTATAATTTGAAGGGCCCTTAGACTGATGGGTTGGTGGCCGGTGCGACACGTTTGAATATACCAACACGAGGTTCGCGAGCAAGGAAGACGTCTTTGGTTAGTCTATAGCAATGAGACGAAAACGCGTATGCATCAGCAAACGCGTGCTTCACCGCAGTACCATGGGGTGGCGATGATGTGTCTCTCACAGATATTTAACATGTTCTCCAACGCATTCAAACCCACCATTTGCTCACGGCTTGACAAAATGAACGACGATGCAGATTTCGAGTCAGCTGTGCAGAACATCCAGATGCAAGGCTATCTGTTTTTCACAATACCTTTGCATACATAGTCTACTAAACCACTCCGTAGGCATTCGCATAGATTACGCATAGCAGCAGCCAAGTAAGCAAGTTCTGCCCACCTGACAGCATTTTGCTGACACATTTAGGAAAGAAGCTTTCAGGGAAGAGAGGGCTCAGATCAAAACGCGCCTTCGTCGAGAGAAGGATCGGCTGGAACACAACGCATTCACCACGGAAACGTGAGATATCCAAATGGGCTACAAAGTCATCTGCTGACTGAAGTAACAGGGACCTGAAGAAAGCCTTTGAAGTCGCCAGTCAGGCTTGGTGTCGGCCCTTTACCTCTTTGCTCGTGGGGAAACTACCGCCAGAACTCCGCCGTATGATCTTCGATCACATATTCACCATTCAGAACCCTCGGCGTTTTCTGGGCTTCCAGATTAGGCATCAGTGCCGTCCATACCAAGCCGACGACTGTGATTCAATATGCGCAACAGTATGCGACATGGCATTACCCAGCAATTTGTTTCTTGTCCATGAAAGCTGGGTCGACGAAGCCTTCGCCGTGGAAGCTGCCGCAACACTCTATCGCACTACGCTTGTGCGCTTACAAAACGCCAAAGACATTTCGCGCATCCTAGACGAGGACACGTTGGGCACGAAATGCATACCACGCGACCACATCACACACATCGAGGTGGAGATATCCCCGCGTTGGCTGGATTTGCTGCTTAGCGGCCGAGTTTATGGTAGCCTGCTGCGACAGTTTGTCGACTCGCTTCTTCCACTCTTAAGCATCAAGAAGCTGAAGGTAGTTCATCTTGCCTTCCGCATAGGCTCAAGGAGCGACATATCTCTCTTCCCTTACTTCGAAAATTTGCTTGCGCCGGTCATTCATGGGCTGTATGCTATGGGCGCTGAGGTTTTTTGGTGTAGTAAGAGGCCGTATGCAGATGACTCCCGCATGTTCCAGATGTTGGAAAGGGATTATACACAGCCTTTGGATCAGATGATGCAGAATCTAACAGGTCTTGAGGATTACTGGGCTGGTTGGGCCTTGCTCTAAGTTACGGCAAGGATGTCTAGCATCCATTCGATGCGATATATCACACTACCATGACTCTCAAGGACTCGTCGGACTAGCCTACCTTCAGGAATTTTTTGGAGTAGTTCAGGCACATTTCGACGGTCCAGCATGAACGTTGCATTAAATCGATAACTAGAAGGCTGCCAGTCGCGAACTTAAACTCCTCCGCCCCACTCCAATACCATATAGACTGTGATTCCCAACACCGCATCCCATCCTAAAGCTTTCACTGCGTATCCGCCGTTTACTAAAGACCCCACGATGCCGCCAGGGGTGAGGTCTTTCCTCATCATCGCCGCATTTGCAACCGCAAATCCACCAGACACAGTGATGCATTTAACAACATCTGCGTCCCTCAAGCTCATGGCCGAAAAGTGAGGAAGTAACAAAACGGCGCGAGTTACAAGAAGTAAACCGCTGAAGACTGAGTTGGATCGTAGGGCTGGAAGTGCGAGTAGAGCCGCGTTGAGAAGAATGTTCGGGATTTGCAGTGTTGCTATAGGCTTGCGACGTTTGGTCGTAACATCGGGTTTGGGTGCTTCTTTTGCGACTGCAATATCCGGAGAAGAAAGATGGAGTTGAATCAGGAACAGCGAAACTGTAAAGGAAATGGGTAGGATCTGGCCTAGCAGGATATACGTGCGCATTGTAGACGTATCGTATCTGCGTGATCTCGCTACACATCCATTAGCCCACTCTCGATCTCTCCAATACGGGCATGCGTACCCTTCTGTGCCATGTATATGTTCCAGAACCATGTTCCCAGAATCGCAGCCTGCGTCCATACCGCGTTCGGCGCATCTTTGACCAGATCCTGCGCGAAATCCTGGAACAAAGTCGATTCCAACATCCACCTCTTCACTTTCTCCACATTGACGTTGCTAAAGCTCCTGCTCTTATCGCCGCTCCATTCCAGATAGTGCGTGATCAGGAACATGAGCATGTGGTAGGATAATGTCGCGAAGCTGATCGAAGCGAGGAACGCGTAGATCTTGATGTGACGCGCTCGCGCCGTCTTTGCTGCATTAAGCCTCTCATCCTTTGACGGGCTAGAGATATTGAATATGGCTATATACTGGGCGTAGAGCGAGTAGCTGGTCTTGATGGTCGCGTAAAGTGCCGCGACAATGTAGGAGAGGAAGATGGTGGTGCCAATGTAGCTGTTGGGTGGTGTGGCGTAATACACCAACGCGTCGTACCCAGGGATTTCCATCTTGCGTATTTTTGCTGGCGAGATATTATTGTTGGAAGGATAGCATCAAAGAAATTTATGAGCAACGTATGTATCATCGCGGCCAGACGCGAGGTTTCAAAAGTGTGCGATGATGCCTGACGTCATGACACACTTGGTGTATGAGGAATCGGGCGACGCGACACTTCGGCGTCTTTCTTCTCCATCGAACCACACGCGATCATCACAAATGCTGTCGCAAGTACTTTAATCTTCGCGCAACATTCAGAAACCATCTCTCAAACCATCTATCATGTTACCTAAGGGTTGCGCCGCCCCTCACAGTCTAGGATGTCTGACTAGTTCGGGTAGCCCTGGGTGCTACAACGCAGCACAAACTACGTGTTTAACAGCTTTCCGCGTCATGTAGTCGTCGGAGTGTGGGATGTGACTCATTCCATAAGCCTTGGAAACCTCGAATCGACGAATAGAACGACTGCTATCCGTATGGTACTTCGCAAAAGAGAAGGGGTGGTCTACCAGGAATGACTCCGGTTCTCAACACAATGATTATGGCTTCCATGGGTGGCACAATCCTCCCACTTTGTGAGTCATGAGCTCGAAGCCTAGAACAACCAGAATAATCACGTGCTGCCTCTATTGGGGGCCTATCGTATTCCAGCGGTAGGGAATTTCCCATCCAAGGCTGCAACAGGCAGCAGCCGGCCAGTCACAGTATATCAGGAGCGTGCGCGCTGTTTCTGAAAGACACCACAACAACCTTTCCTCTCATCTGATCAATCCTCGAACAAGAACAAACAACGATGCGCCACGTGTGTGGTTGTTACATTTCCCATCCCGGGACGCGGGAGCGAACATATCTCCCCCAGATTAAGGTTGACGCTCACACCACAATCATCTCCACCGCTGCCCGCACCACCTTGACGCAGACCTTCGTGAACCAGTCCAAGGAATCGTTGGATGAGATCCGGTATGCATTCCCGTTGTTCGATGGCGTCAGCGTTGTCGAGTTCTTTTGCCAAATTGGTGAGCGTACCATCTATGGCCTAGTCAAGGAGAAGAACGAAGCCAAGAAAACCTACAACAACGCTAGGGAGAGCGGCGAGACCGCAGCGCTGCTTGAGCAATTGGATGACGCAGCGGACGTCTTCACAACTGCTGTTAGTAACATTCCCGGAGGCGAATCCGTACATGTATCCATCAAATACATCCAAGAGCTGAAGCACGATGCCGAAGTCGATGGGATTCGTCTTACCATGCCTGTGTCCATCTCGCCCCGTTACGGATCCTATCCCGGAAAGCTCCAAGAGACATCGGCCGAGATTGATTCGAAGGGCATCTCCATTACGGTGGATGTCAAGATGGCACAAGGTATTCCCATCAAGAAGGTCATTTCGCCATCACATCCCATCGAAGTAACGCTTGGGTCGCTCTCAACAAGTACCATTGATGAGGACGCCTTGCTCTCACAAGGTTCAGCAACGCTTTCTCTAGGTACCACAGGCCTGGATAAGGACTTCGTGTTACAGGTCGTTGCAAAAGACGTCGGCGTACCTCAGGCGATCCTGGAGACACACGCGACGCTCCCCAATCAGCGAGCATTGATGACCACACTGGTACCGAAGTTCAATCTCAAGTCGCAAAAGCCCGAGATCATCTTCATTGCGGATCGATCGGGTAGCATGGGCGGTCAGATCCCGACGCTGGTGTCGGCACTCAAAGTCTTCCTGAAGTCGATTCCTATCGGCTGTATGTTCAACATCTGCTCATTCGGTAGTAGCCACTCGTTCCTTTGGGAAAATAGTCAGTTGTATGGCCAAGATACACTGGAGGAGGCTATTCGACATGTAGAAGCGTTCGGGGCCAATTTTGGCGGGACTGAAACACTGAACGCGGTCAAGGCCTGTTTCGAAGCTCGCAACACCGAACTTCTTACCGAGCTCATGCTCCTTACCGATGGTGACATCTGGTCCCAAGACCAGCTGTTCGACTACATCTCCAAGAACACAAAGAACGGCAGGGTCCGTGTCTTCCCCATGGGTATAGGTGGGGGTGTGTCAAGTGCGCTGATTGAAGGCGTCGCGAGGGCCGGAAGAGGCTTCGCTCAGATGGTTGCAAATAACGAGAAGCTCGATAGCAAGATCGTTCGTATGCTGAAGGGTGCACTCACTCCCCATATCCAGGACTACCGTCTCGAGGTCAGATACGAAGATGACAGCGTGGAGTCTGTTGCTGACAGCCTTCGTATCAACCTCAACCTTGACAACGACAGCAACAACGAACATCATGAGAATGTTGCGGACTTCAACGCGAAGCCCATCTCACTCTATAACCCGAGCGTGGAAGAAGATCATCCCAAGGACGGCGAGTCGAATGACATCTTCGCAGGTCTACCGGAGCTAAAGCGCCCAACACTTTTGCAGACACCCCACGAGATACCAGCGCTCTTCCCGTTCAACCGTACTTGTGTCTATCTCCTCATGTCTCCAGAGTCATCACATTTGCAACCAAAGAGTGTTGTCCTCAAGGGCAGTTCACCCCAGGGCCCGCTGGAGCTCGAAATTCCGGTCGAAGTACGCAAAGAGGCGGACGAGATGATTCATCAGCTTGCTGCCCGTAAAGCAACACAGGAGCTCGAAGAGGGTCATGGATGGCTATCCGAGGCTACTGTTGGTGATACTGACGTTCTGTTCAAGAAGAAATACGGCTCTCAGTTAACTTTGCTTCAGAGACGCGAGGCTGTCCGTCTTGGAGTGGAGTTCCAGGTCGGCGGCAAGTTCTGTTCATTTGCAGCCGTAGAGTCTAACGATGCCGAAATCGCTGAGAAACGAAAGAAAGCACTAGATTCAACCATCAACCGGAGCAATTTACCGGGTGAAGACGACTGGCAGGTCTTGGAGCATGGCCAAGCCTTCAGATCGCCGGTTGCCGCTTCGTTTGGTGGCGATACACGATTTTCCAGTGGACCCGCATCTGCGTCGGCAAGCTCTGTGTTCTTTCGTATGTCCCGTGGACCTTCATCTGCGTCGGCAAGCTCTGGGCTCTTTGGTATGTCCCATGCACCTACGTCTAGATCGGCAAGCTCTGGACTCTTTGGTATGTCCCGTGGAGGCCGCGGTGGCGGCGGCTTTGGTCGTAGTGGCGGCGGACGAGGCGGGTACCTTCATTCAAGCACCCTCCTCCAGCGCCTCATCGCGCGGCAGTCTTTCGAAGGCTCATGGGAAGCTATCAACAAGCTCCCGTTAGATGAGATGAACATCGCCCGCGACGCTGCTAGCCTAGTTAACGCTCAAATCAACGAGCCAAACTCTGAGCAGCTTCTGACTACTGCAATTGTGGTCTTGTTTCTGGAGAAGAAGATGCAATATGAGGAGGAAACTTGGGAGTTGGTTGTTGAAAAGGCGCGCGCTTGGCTTGAAAGCCAGGTGGTGGCGGGGGACATGCTGAATCGGGTGTGGCAGTTGGCTGAGGGTATTGTTGGAAAGAATTGAGTAGACACCCGGGGCCTACGTTGACGTCAGGCCACCTGTTTTGCATTATCTTGTCTTAACGTAGGCTGCAGACCTGGTTAGTGCTTTTGTTTTTGTATGAGGAGTGCGCGTGTCTGGGATCAAAAAGGGATGACTAGATGCCTATCTTTACCGCCTACGTAGAAGTCTCATTCTCATACACCATATGACATGCTCAATGAAAGAATATACATCGTCTTGAATATTATATAACTTCTCGAATACAATGATGCAGATTCAACAAAACCCGACATCACTTCTGGTAGCATTCATCGCTAGAGCCAAGCATGTGTCATGAAGATCTGTCACCCATCTCATCTATTTACAGCATCATGGGATCCCATTTGTACAGCGTATTCGTTGATTGAGCAAGCAAGAACTGGGCGTAGTGTGACACTGAGTTGTAAAGATGTACAACTACTGCTACTAGTCCGCAGCAGCTTCCGCCATCTGGGCTCCAGTTCGCGAACTCTCTCCCATTTCCGGCGCCCTAACACTGCTAACCACTGGTAGTCTTGCTGTTGAGGTAGACTGATGTTCTGCAGCGCTTGAAATTGCCGCAAGCTCACCCTTATCTGTCTCTGCCTGTACAAACTCGTAAACGCTGGGTACTGGTGTAATTGGCTTGGGCGTATGTTGAGTCAGCGAAGCTTCCGCGGTTGTAGCTCTCGCACTTAAGCTCTTCTCTTCCTGAACTGTCTCGACGACGGTTGATATCGGTATGCTCGGTGTAGGACGAGGCTTACTTCTGGAGTTAATCGTAGTTGCAGCGTCGGTTTGTGGACTCTGATTCACTGGCGCGGTTGCAGAGGCACTTATCATTTGTTGATCTTGTTGCTGGCTGTCGGACTGAGCTGTGGTAGCCGTTGGAGGTGAAAAATCAGGATGCCAGTCGGTCTTGGTAACAGGTACATCTGGGTCCGGTTGATGCTTCCATTTCGTGCATCGCAGGAGCGACGAATACACCAAAACCTCGGCATCTGTCTCGTCTTCCAGAAGCCCAGACTTCATAACGATGTTCACAACCTTTCCTACGTCAATGACCGCATGGAATCCTTCAAAGTCACTATACCATGACTCCGTGTTGTCATTATACTTCAGATTCACCTGATGCCAAAGTGCATCCATGAAACCAGCAAGCAACTCGAGAGGGTGGGGATTTACCGGATTCTTCAAAGGGCAAATAAGGTATCCGTACAAGTGATGTTCGCGGGCCCCAGAAGACACAGTGAGATCCTGCATGGCGTCGATGCTTAGCCCGATGCAACCTACTGTAAAAGTGTTCCGTAGCCTCGTGCCACCTCGTGCAAGTTCCTGAGAAGCAGTAGAACGAGTTGTCGAATACAAGGAAATAGGGCGATCTGCCTTGATACGAGATTTGAAGAAATTACACTTTTCTTTCCAATCCTCCTCGGAGAAGGCTTTTACAATGCTCATGTCGACAGGGCGAAGATGTCCGCGAAATCTCCACAGTGCCAACAAAGCATGAATATCGTTCTCCTGAACCCTTTCATTAAACTCTAGACGGTTGTACTGTATTTTGTGATCGCCGAAATCACGGCATTCGACTACGTGCGCCCATGTGAGGCGTCGGACTGCCATTGTCAGTCCACTGCGCCACACAAGTGCGCGCAAGGACTTTCTGAATTGTTGGAACTTTTCGCAAAGGTGAATAAGGTCACTATCGGTATCGGGCAGAACGGCTTGCAACTTTTTGCGCAAGACAACCCTGGGATCATTGACAATCATCGACTCTGCGTAAGGCGTGCAGGTTAATTTTACTGGCTCACGTAACGGATGAAATCCGGAGTCCCTGACCGGCCAGGGCTCACCCCCCTTGGGCCATGCTTCTTGACAGGCGGTACCCAAGACGAGGGCAATCCAATTTGGGTTGGAATCTGGGAGCTGGAAAGTTTTGGGCTGATACGAGACCCCTCTGCGAATCCAAGCCCGGATACAAGTCATTAGGAGTGTGATACCAAGTTGTATAACGGTAGCCGACCAGTGGAGTGCTCTTAAACCGACGAATTGGCAGACAAATCCAGCGAAACAAAGAATGACAGCAAAGGTAACGAATACCTTCTGGAGCTCGGCTTTCGACTTCGCTAAGCGTCTTGCGAAAGGGCTTGAGAACTTTGAATGTATAGTAGAACCGATCCTCCAAATACGCCCCAAATAACCGCTACATGGGGTCTCGGGATCAGCTTTCGAGAGATCGTGTTCTGTGTGGGTTCTTAGTTTGCGTGGACCTTGTTGGTGTACCTCTTTTGGATCATATCTCGAAGTGCGAATTTTCTTATCTTTCGCATCGTTCAAGATGACGTATGCTTTGAAGGGCTGATCACCCATATTCTGTTCCAGCTGTAACCGGAAGATATCTTTCACCTCAAAGTCGTCCGTCGGTGCAAATGTATGCTCAACACTTGTCGCTTCGATGATGTACGAGCACATTGCTATACTCACGACGAGTAAGCATGTGCCTACGAGGAAAGTTGGATACGCGTAGTGTTGAACAGGATTTGCACCCTTCGGTTTCCTCCAATAATAAGTCATCGCTGCGGGTATCCCAATAGCAACGAGTTGCAAAGCGATTCCAATCAACACAAACCCCCACAGCTCCATGTTTCCTGGAAAGGTGTTGTGTATGTTGAGTGTGAGATTTGGTGGCTGACTGGCAAGCTCCTTAAAATAGTCCATCCATAGGACGGGAGGCCTCAATGGCCCATCTGATTTGCCGAACTTGCCAAGCAGATATTTGAACATCTTGGAACGGACTTCTTCAGCTGGTCTGAGAACTCTTTCGTTGCAGGCTTCATTGAGGTCGCCGATGCGAACCTCACCAGAGGTTTTGTTGAGGTCACTGCTGAGAATCTCACTAGCAGCTCCAGGAAGATCGCCGATGATAGTCTCACTAGGGGCTTTGAGCCCGAGCATATCTGAGCTCGGGGTCTCTGGTCTAGGCTTACTTTTATAGACAACCATCTCGAGGATTTTGGCATGGCCCGGTTGGCGCACCACTCCTTCCTCGGTCCAGAGCTCCGAAGTGGCATATGACGTCGACGAGAGTAGCTCCAGCTCCGCTGTCGCGATCTTCTCTCTCGCACTATCAGTCAATGTTAGTAGCTTTACGAGCCTAAGATGAGAACTACCCACCGACCAACTATGGCCTTCAGAGTTCGGACGTTTGAGACTCGGATTGCAGAAACCATGATGGTGATTATTCCGAGTGGGCCGACAGCCAGAAGTATATGATCAGCCCACCCTAGTGACATACTGAGAAATTGCTTGGTGACTTGTTCTCCGAAAAGCGTCAGGAGAGGCGCCAGATCGCTGCCGAGGTTGTTTATGAACTCTTCTCCATTGAAGCCTGATGAGACGGTTGGAGTAGCGATGAGCGGTATTGCTGTTGGCGTGCCACTACTGGCGGAGGTAGTCGCGATAGGAGGCATGATGTAAGCAGCAACTAAGGACAGCTGGAATGAGAGACTCGCGCGGGGACTCGATCTGAGGGCAGGCAAACGCGGCTGAGCTATTGCGCAGATCAAAGACGCAGCAAGGTTGAGTACAACGATCCCGTCAGCGAGGCTGGCGAGGCGGCTTAACTGACGGCGAAGCGCATGAGGATCCTGCGTTATTGTACCTTCAGTTGGCGTTGGCTCAGTTGGAGCGTAGGAGTCTTCCGGTATTGTCTCAAGGGTGTAAGAGGAGCATTGATTGACAGGAGGTAGGACGAAAGAGAGTTGCAGGGCTCGGGCTGAGAAATCGTATACCATCACCTAAGGCTGGAGCGAAGGTGCATGAACAAGGCTGAAATCTCGACGAATGGGAGGTCACGTCTGACAACAGGCGCCTATCTTTGCACCTGAATGAGAAAGGAACGGACTTCAGCCAATGAACAGCGTTGTAGTGAGTCGATGGTCAAAAGTGAGTGCGACGGCTCCAGATATCCCATCCATGGATAGATGTTTCTCTTTCGGTATGCGCTGATCCCGTGATGATCCGATCGTGATTACTTGTGGTTGTACCTTCGTAAGTAACGGCTGAACCACAGCATGGCATCAATAACGTCAGCTTAGCATGAGACTCTTCAATGTCGGTTGATTCAATAGTCTATGGTCTTCTTGATCGCATCGTAAACCCCTGTCAATGTCAGCAAAACAGAGCACCCTCATGGCCATACATCGCGACTTACTAGTAACATCCGGAATAACAAACTGCTCGAACATGAGCCCAGTATGTGTGGCCCACCCAGTCACTCTCTTCACAGGCGCCTCTAATCTAAGGAAAGCCTTCTCCTGAATCGTAGCAGCGACCTCAGCGCCAACACCAGCATTCATCATACTCTCATGTACTACAATCGCCCTTCCAGTCTTCTTCACGCTTTCCAGGACCGTCTCTCGGTCCCAGGGGTATATCGTCCGGAGATCTATCAGCTCAACGCTGCAACCGAAGTCCTTCTCTGCTGCTGCTATCGCGGCCGAACATGTGTAGAGTGGTGTGCCGTACGAGACGATTGTGACGTCCTTGCCCGTCTTCAGGACTTCAGCCTTGTCGAGCGGAAGGTAGAACGCGTCAACTGGTACGTGCTCGACGGCCGCGCGGTATAATATCTTGGGCTCCATGAATATGACGGGGTCTTGACAGCGGATTGCGGAGAGGAGTAGGCCTTTGGCTTGAACGGGTGAGCGGGGTATTACGACGCGTAGACCGGGCGTGTGGGTGAAGAGGGCTTCTGGGGATTGTGTGTGGTAGCTAGTGACGTGTCAGCGGAAGTCCGTATAAAATTCATTGATGTCTTACAGTGCGCCATGTCCGACACTGCCTGATGGCATGCGGATGACTAGTCCTCCGCAGTTTACACCAGTGCTCCCCGACCGGTATCTGTACTTGGCCGCCTCATTGTGTATTTGGTCGAACGCAGGGAAGACGTAATCGGCGAACTGAACTTCTGCTACTGGCTTCATGCCCTCGGCAGCCGCTCCTATAGCAAACCCCACGAGTCCCTGCTCGCTCAAAGGAGTGTTGAAGACGCGTTCTGTGCCAAAGTCTCCCGCGAGATTCATAGTACACCGGAAGACACCACCGAATTGCACATCCTCTCCAAATACCATAACGCGCTCATCCGTCTGCAATGCATATCGTAGTGCTTCATTGACCGCGGTGTAAAGGTTTATGCGCTTCGTTTGTCCCTTCTGTATGTCTGCAGGCAACTCGGGGTTCGCGAGAGAGGATTTGGCGGTGTGGTGGAGAATGGGCGTTGCATCGTACTCTACTGTGCCATTGAGGCGTGCGCCAGGTGCTGCAGAAGAGTACTGTTTGCGTTGGGGATGGTGTTGACAGCGGGGCCGAGGTGGTGCTTGCGGGCGGAGCAGATAACGCGACAATGCGCGGATTGATGGTGTTCTAGCGGCCATGTCTATAGGAATGAGAGCAATGAATTTCTCCAAAACCCCAGAGAAGATACATGCAATAAAGTCATGCTGGGCACAAACATGTGAGCCGACGGTTGTGCGGTTGGATGCCGCGGCTACCAGCGGCTCTCCAGGTTTCAACCGTTGCGGAGTTTAGCGGACAAGCGCCGAGAGAGGAAGGTGCCGGCACGTGATGTGAGACACGACACGTGATTTGAGACTTGGCAAGATGAGCCGTGCTGCATAATGACGATTGACGCCAGAATGGTTCGCACGGCAGGTGGAGACTAGCGCATCCAAACTTCGATGTTTTGCAACAAATCTCCTAGATCAATGTGGGATTGTAATACACAGGGCTTGCGATTGTCGTTGATTTGGGAAGTACTGCAGCGTATGACCAAGACGGCTATGATCGTAGGAAGACGGCACCGTGTTGGACTTGGCGCCTAGTCTTGAGCCTGGGGAAAGCAATACAGGCTAGCACGAAGAAGCCTCGTCCCGGGGTGAACTTTGTGTCCGGCCCCTTGTACCGAAGACGCGCACGCAAGCTGTGATCAGAGGCAGATCCCATTGCGTGATGGAGGGACAGACTGCTGTCAACTACGCCGGGTGTATACAAAGGGTTGAGGTCTGACACAATAAGACTGCACGCGCCTTTGTCGCCTTTGGGAGGCTGCATCATACGTCTAGATCCCGGCCGTGCGCAGACCCACCAAACCGCTGCTTCCGCATCATTATTTGCGCGCCCACCACAAAGCTTGGAATCCACCTCTCTCGTCAGTCCATCTCCTCGACTCGGAGACTCTTCATCTTCTCGCACTGAGGTGCTTCTCATGGCCATGAGCGCCTCTCGTTCTAGCGCAGCCGCCAATGGCTCGTCGATGCGGACTGCTCGCCTCGCCTTCATCGGCCTCTTCCACGCCTTCGCGCCCATGGTGACCGCGCTGCCCATGCCTTTTGGCGACGCGACCTTCAAGACCGCAGGGGAGGAGGTCCCCACGGATAACGATGGAGAGCGCTGGCTTCTACTGGGTATTGCCGTCGCGCTTGTCTTGGCCGGTGGTGTGTTTGCAGGTCTGACCATTGCGTGAGTTCATCGCGGTCCCGCCATCGTGTCACAACGCGCTAACAGCTCCTCTCCAGCTTGATGGGCCAAGACGAAATCTATCTCCAAGTCCTTGCTTCATCTGGCGAGAAGCACGAGCGCAAGAACGCGGCCAAGGTGCTGAAGCTGCTCGAGCGAGGCAAGCACTGGGTCCTGGTAACGCTTCTCCTGAGTAACGTCATTACCAACGAAACCCTTCCTATAGTCCTGGACAGGTCCCTCGGCGGAGGATGGCCTGCCGTCGTCAGCTCCACGGTCCTCATTGGTACGCGCACCCACTCTCACCTACTCTGTTTACGTCTAACACGTCTCAGTCATCTTCGGTGAAGTCGTTCCTCAATCAATCTGTGTGCGCTATGGTCTGCCAATTGGCGCCATCATGGCACCCATCGTCCTCGGCCTCATGTACATCATGGGCATCGTCGCCTGGCCGACTGCCAAACTCCTCGATTACCTCCTCGGAGAAGACCACGGTACCGTCTACAAGAAGGGTGGCTTAAAGACACTCGTCAGCCTGCACCAGTCGCTCGGACTTGAGCACGAGCGCCTCAACGAAGACGAAGTCACCATCATCACCGCTGTGCTGGACCTCAAGGCCAAGGCTGTCGGCAACATCATGACGCCCATGAAGGACGTCTTCACCATGTCATCCGACACTATCCTGGACGAAAAGATGATGGACAACATCCTCTCCGCTGGCTACTCTCGTATTCCCATCCACACACCCGAAAACGAGAACAACTTCGTCGGTATGCTCCTGGTCAAGATGCTCATCACATACGATCCAGAAGATGCTCTACGTGTACGCGACTTTGCTTTGGCCACCCTCCCTGAGACGCGCCCAGAAACGAGCTGCTTGGACATCCTCAATTTCTTCCAGGAGGGCAAGTCCCACATGGTACTAGTCTCTGAATTTCCCGCCGAGGCTCGCGGTGCCGTCGGTGTCGTTACCCTGGAGGACGTCATCGAAGAGCTCATTGGAGAGTAAGTTTTGCACCCTCAAAAACACTCTGGCGCCTACATTGTCGCCAGGTCTTCCGATTTGCGCCTTTCATCATAGTGTAGTCTGCAAACCCAAATAGCTGCTAACGAGACCAGGGAAATCATTGACGAGTCTGACGTGTTCATCGACGTACACAAAGCGATCCGCCGCATGGCCCCCGCCCCTCGCGCTCGCGTTCCTCGAGGCAAAGTCATCACCGATGTCCCCCGCAAACTTTCCGAAGCACAAGCTGTGGATTCCGAGACGGACGCTGAGCAGAATGGCAAGCCGGCCCCACGCAAGACCTCCCTACCTGACATGCCTGAAGGCCACCCTAAGCCCTCTTTCATCCTTCGTCGTCGTAGCAGTGGTAGCAAGGGAACTGGTTCGCCTCTTCGCAGTGACGATCCGACTGTTATGCAGCATCTGAAACATCTCGGTCCTTCGAACGTTGCTACTAGGCCCAAGCAGACTCGCATCAACACTGTCAAGATCAAGCCCGGCCAGACTGCCGTGACCCCTGACATCCCCAAGACGATACCGGAAGACGCTCAGGCTCCAGCTGAGGCAACGCCAACGGAGGGTGTAATAACCCAGGATTCCCATGCGCCTGAGGGTGGCATTGGCGAAGGCTTGCTAGCATCTGCAGGGCGCGAAGCCAGCGATGGCGTTCACAGCGTAGCGGTGGGATATGGTACCATGGCTCCAAGTGGCGACCGCATGTCGTGGAGATCAGGTCGATCGGGTATGAGAGAGCACGACGAAGAGCCTACATCTCCAAAGGGTCGTGCGAACGAAGACGATGAAAATACCCATCTCCTGGTCGACAATCGTGAAAACGAGGACGGCGAAGCGAGGAGATCACGGGCACGTTCCGTCAGTACCATTGCCTCCTTGCGCTCGATGCGCTCGCGCTCGCGCAGTCCCTTGAAAAAGCGACACACTGCTCGAAGCGGTAGCATCTCTGAGAACGTCGTCGATGTTAATGGCATCAAGAAGATCGTTCTGGAGACCACAAGTTCAAGCGACTCCGAAGAGAAAGCAAATGGCAGTCAAGTCGACGGTCACGATGGAGAGAAGCACTCTGAAGCCGAATCTTCGCATGCCGGAGGCAAAGGCGCGAGCAAAAAGAAGAGGAAGAAGCGAGGTAAGAAGAAGAAGGGTGGCGCTGGAGACAGCAACGAGTCACAACCTCTGCTCGGAGACAGGTAACCTCGTTACCCGTCCAGAGCATGTCGTTAATGCCCATTTTTGCTACAGAGGTCTTGAGCGAAATCGGTGCGAATGCGAGTGCGAAGTTCCTGAGTCATTTCGAGTCTGGCAAAATTAATTGGCATACATCGGCGTCTTCATCTCCTTCTTCTCCTTCGATGTTCAATGGGAAAATGGATGAGAATAATGGGCATTGTTAGGACTGGTATCTTTCAAACAAGTGTATTATAAAGAGGTGTGTCGTTTCTTGGATGATTGGTGTCGTCTGTGAGCTTGAAATATACATTACATAAGCTCGTATACGTGGACTTCTTCTTACCTTCGCGACAATGCGTCAACGTAGAATTCGCGTCCTCAGCTTTGAACGTCAAGTCTCAACGCAAGATGTACCGCCTACCATCAGTCTAGTCCGACCAAGGATCATAATTCCCATCCCCACAATCCCCCGCAAAATCCGACCACGTCAACACGTCTTCATCCCCAACGCACCCACACCACCGGGGTGTCGAAGACGACAGACGAAACCCTCTCGAACTAACCCCTTTCTTGACAGTAGTCTTCTTGCTTTTGCCATATCGCTCCTTCCTCTTCCTCTCTGCCCAAATTCTCAACTTATTCGGATGCTCAATACACCACAGCACAATCTCCCGAGCTGCAAATGCATCTTCAACGGAATCATGTCCCACTTTGTCACCACCCTGGATCTTGATGTCGAGCAGTTGACTGGCTAGATCTTTGAGACCCCACCGCCTCTTCACACCCTTTCCTACAGCCTCAGTTGCTAGAATTGCTGAATCAACGATACGGTCGTGTCGGATGCCCAACGCCAACAAGTCATGCTGTAAAGCGTGTCCAACAAACACCGTATCACTATCAACATACTTGAACAACTCCACGCGTGCTTCAGCGGAACCTTTCAAGGCTCTCCCGTGCAGCACAGCAGTCGCCATAGCCCCTCTCGTGATCCCGCTGTATCGAGTCCGCCAATCTGTGACAGATTCGGTTGGTTGAACGAGCGTATCGATGAGAATCTCATTGGTGAGGTAGTCGATTACCGAGAAGCGAGCTAGCGAGGAGGTGTTGTTGGGTGCGACGCCGACCATTTCGCAGTCTAGCGTTATGGCCGTGCGCTTTGGAGGGGAGGGGTGGGCAGCATTGGTGTTGAAAGGGATGGGCAGGGTTGTTCCGAATTTGTATTCGTTCGCTGTAAGAACTGGACGGGTGTGGCAGTGCATGATGAGTGCGGTAAGTGCTGCGGGTTGTTTGCTGTCTGGGATGGCGGACCACTCGGGGACTGGGTGCGTTTTGGGAGTTTGCGCTTTTGAGGTGGTAGCTATTGGTTGGGGAGCTTTTGGTCTGGGAGATTTTGGGTTGAGAGCTTTTGTGTTGGGAGCTTTTGGGTTAGGGACTTGTGGTCTGGGAACTTGTGGTTCGGGAATTTGTTGTTTGGGAACTTGTTGTTTGGAAGTTTTTGATCGTGGTGTGTTTGTCATTTGAGTGCGCTCCCTGATGAACTGAGTTTGTTTGAACGGTCGCGGCGTCGAGGACAGATCTTGGACATTTGACCATGAAGGTATCCTTGTATGAAGTGAGGACTCGACGTCTGATGTCAATGTGTTCCAAGCCACGGTCGTTTCTTTCATAACTGAGGGGGCTTCTAACCCGACGTTCTTCGTCGGAATCGTGTTTGGCATATTGATTGGTTTCTCGGTAGCAGTGCTACCACTCGTGGTGGCGAATATCGTATGCTTGGACCGAAAATGATCCGATAAGGCTTTGGCACTAGCGAATGGTTTTGTGCAAGAAGTACACGTGAATGCTGATGAAGCAGATTTGGAGTTCTTCTTCGGTGCCATTGCAGTGACGTTTTGCTGTCAACAAATAGAAGGTAGAAGTTGAGTTCATGATTTTACTTTCGAGAAGGGCAAAGGTTATCATGAGTAGCAATAATCGCAGCGGGATGGGCTGCTGACGATACTTGCTGCAGCTGCCATGCTGTGTAACAGCGGAGGGCAACGCAGCCTTCCCCGTCCACTCAGTGCTCGCCACGTCGGTCCAGCGTTCATGCGCCTGGTACTCATTGCAGTGATGAGATCTCTACAATTGGTAGTAGATACCCCGTTCTCTGCACATGTGTATGATCCTAGCGAGTTCGCATGGAAGCACGGGAATTCGGGGTAACGGGCGAGGTGGCGCTGCCTCACGGCGCTTTCGCGGTACTACATTGAACGCATTTTGAACTTTAACGTGGTCACCAATGAAGAGTATGAGTATCAGCATCGAAGTAAAGTCTGATCAGCGTGCATCCTTCGTGCGAGTCGGAAGGAGCGCTGTGACACTGGGTGAGTGACGCTATTCTAAAAGAGGAAAGGTCTCAGAGCGTGATACGGGTTACGCCCGACCTTGGGAGCAACATCTCAGTGCAGTCTTGACAGTCCGAACTCCGAAGAACATCGTCAACGTCCTTCTAGAGCCACGGCGGTTCCAGTGGCGATAATTACGCCCAGCCAAGTTAGGACAGTAGGTGACGATCGATAAAAGAACGTTAGACTTCGCTGCTCGCGTCGTCAGCTCCAAGCCCCGCGTAAGGCGAGCAACTGCACAAGGCGCCCAGCAGCATGGCCATTCAAACGCCAGCCTTGCCATCGCGAAATACCGCCGGCAATACTCCAACACTTGCTTGGTAATTGGAGAACATTTTCGTCAATCAACAAGGATCGCGTGGGTGCCTGAAGCTTGCGTTGATGCTTATCAAGCTCTATATAGCGTCGCGGCTTCCCCTCGAATATCGTGCCCAGTTACGGACTCGTAGAACGCAAAGATGTTTTCTGCAACGACCTTGGTACTCTCTTTGTTAGCCGCATACCTAATTTCTATAACGACTTACAGAGTCCTGTTTCACCCTCTACGCAACGTTCCTGGTCCCTTCTTTGCACGCTTCAGTAAGCTATGGCTTGCATGGCACGTCCGTAAAGGACAATCGCACATCTACTTCCCTAAGCTACACGCGCGATACGGACCCATTGTGCGCATAGCACCCGACCAAGTCCTAGTGTGCGACGAAGGCGCTATCAGAACCGTCTATGGAGCAGCGACGTCGTTTACGAAGGGAGATTGGTATCGGATAGCTGGCGCACCTGACAAAAATCGGAAACCCGCTGAGGAGGTTCTTGATATGTTGACGGAAACAAATATGGAGAAGTATCGCAGGCAAAGAAGAGCTATCGGGCCTGCCTATAGCATTGCAGGGCTGGAAAGACATGAGGGGCTGCTTGATAGCTATGTCAATCAGTTTATTGGCAGGCTGAAGGAGTTTGGAGCAAAAGAGGTGGACCTTGCGAAGTGGACCCATATCTTCGCCTTGGAATCCATGAGCCAGTTCACTTTAGGCAAGCGACCAGGATACACGGAGAAAGGTAGTGACGAAGGGAACGGAGATGCCAGCGATGCGTTATGGCAGTGCTTCACCGTCATCGGTCTGTTCCCAGGCTTTGTAAAGCTTATGCATGCGATACCAAAGATCGGCATATTGCTCGTCCTACCCGCGTCCTTACTCCTAGGTGTTAGACTACCAAAGGTTTGGCCCGTCTTCAGCTTCTCTGCTCCGAACATCATGCAAAGATTGAAAACATTGGAAAGCACGAGGAATGTCAAGTTTCCAGGGGACCGTCCAGGCCTCTTTCATGATCAAGGGACAGGTGTGGAGACATTGGAGCAACAGGGGGATGGCATCGAAGAGACGGATATGTTGGCTACTTTGATGCGCCTTCATCACGACAAAGAGGCGCGTTTCCCTGCTTCGTGGGTTCTCTCAATCGCACTTACCAACTTCGGCGCTGGACACGATACGCTCATGTTCACACTTTCTTCGGTCATTTATCATACGTATCAATCCCCAGCCATCATCACCCGTTTACGCAAAGATATGGAAAGCCAGGGTATCACAAAGGACACCGAGTACGCGGAGATGATTCAAAAAGTACCCTTGCTCCTTGCCGTCATGAAAGAAAGCATGAGGATCTGGCCTACGCTCGGATGGTACATCCCTCGCCTCGTACCTGCTTCAGGAGCTACACTATGTGATACCTACCTTCCACCTGGTACTACGGTCGGGACCAATCTCTGGGCTTCACACTTTGATCCTAAGGTTTTTACAAATCCCCATGCGTTTGATCCGGATAGATGGCTTTCTGGTGGTAGTGAGGATAAGATGAGGGAGATTGGCAGGATGGACAGCATGTGGATGGGCTTCGGGGGTGGAGGCAGGAGCTGTCCTGGACAACATCTTGCGAGGCTTTTCGTCATCAAGACGTTGGCTCGATTGGTCATGGAATGTGACGTTGAGCTGAACGGCGAGCCGAAGATTGGCGGTTGGTTCCAGTGCACGATGAAGGGGGTTGAGATGAGTGTCAAGGAAAGGAAGATGTGATCGTGGTCTAGGTAAGCAAGAGCTAGGAGGAGGCGTATGCCTACAAACGAGATGAAGGGAAGGAGCAATTGATGTCACACCCCTTCGATTTTGCCATGTTTACTCATCCTCATTCAGCTCTGGATTCAGTGCAGGAACACCATGCGTAATGCGATGGACTACCAAGTTCACAAGCTGGCCAATCGAAACATGTATGTTCTCTCCAGCTTCACATTACCTGTCCGCATACCAAGCATGGGATTTGCAAGCCCTTACCTGTATATGCGGCTCAAAGGGATGCGCGATCTCCCCAGATCTCGCTTCACTAGCGGCGGGAGTGCCTTGCGCTAGAATCCACCAAGCTGGCTGGATGCAAACGTCATGACTTTGAACGCTGCGAGATCGCCGCGTGGACGTCACAGCTGTCATAGCTCCAGATTTCTTTTGGTAGAGCTTGGGTGAACCGCACAATCCAGCCCTGGTCTTTCCAACATTCCGTCTTTGACATACACGCCCTCAATTCCTCATCACCTTCATACAACTTCATACACACAATGGCTAGCAGGATCTTCACACCGATGCTCCGTCAGGCGGTTCGCGTCTCGCAGCGAAATGGCATGGCGCCACCCTGCCGTCGCTTCTTGAACACCGAGACAGCACCTAAACTCTACTCAGCAAAGGCGCACGTAGTCGGCGCACGCACCGGGTATGATGAACGACGCTGTTAAACGCACAAGGATATGTAATAACACATCTCCAGCCATGTAGACGGCGAAAACCTCAAGGTCGACCTTACGATGGCCAAAGCCCTCGGCGGCCCCGGCGACGCCGGAAAGACCAACCCAGAAGAACTCTTCGCAGCCGGCTACGGCGCATGCTGTACGTCCCAATCCCCCTCCCACGACCCATCCCTATCCACTGCATACACCTCAACTAACCCCACCCAGTTCAATCCGCCATGAACGCCGTTGCCCCCTCCCTCGGCGTAAAGATGCCCAGCACACCCGAAGACTCGATCGTAGAATCCACCGTCGAACTCGTGGGTAGCATGAAAGACCTTGACATGGGTCTGCGTGTGCAGCTTCTCGTCAAGGTACGCGGTTTGGCGAAGGAGGATCTGGAGAAGGTTGTGTACAAGGCGAGGCAGGTGTGTCCGTATAGTCGGGCGACGAAGGATAATGTTTACACGACTGTTAGGTGTGAGACTATGTAAAACAGAGTCATGACTTCAGAGGACGGCGTGGAATAGGATGTAGATATTGAGACGACGTAAAAGACGAACGAACCAATGAATTACGATTTCAAAGACGCGTCTCCTGTGAGCTTTCTACAATAGCAGCCAATACCCCCTCAGCCACATCCTCCCCATCCTCCGCTTCCGTAACCCACGTCACACGCCCACTGCGTGGACTGCGTACTTCTAGTTCCATCTTCATCTGTTGGACCACACATATCACATCCCCTTCTTTCACCACGTCACCCTCGTCGACCAACACTTCTACCAGTTTGCCCGGGAAGGGGATGCTGATGTGCGACGGATCAGATGGGTTCCCTCGTCTATGGTGAGAGGTTGCTGCTGAAGCACTTGCAGAAGTTGAAGAGAGAGTAATGGTGTAAGGTGTTGTATGGGGTGTGGTAGATGAAGTTGTTGAGGGTGTTGTGAAAAGGAGTTCTGCGCTGAGGGAGGTGGGGAAGTCGTTGCGCAGGACGCGGGTTAGTTCAAGGTGGTGGGTTGGCGGTTTCTCGTTGGGTTTTGTGGTGGGGGTAGAGATCGAAATGGACCAGGCGTCGCCTTTTCGGAAGAGGGTGTTGGCTGCTGTGACTGAGGCTGTCGAAGAGGATGGCGCGATGTCTGAGCTGAGGGCGCTGGTATGGGTTGAAGCGATGGTTTCGCTTGATTGGAGGAGCTCGTTTTGTTTGCTTTCTAGCCATTGCGTATCGCATTGTCCTTGCAGGAAGTCTGGGTGCGCAACGATGGCCTTCAACATGTCAATGTTTGTTTTTACTCCTGCTATTTGCGTGTCATCCAACGCTCGCTGCGCTTTGCGGACGGCATCTTTCCACGACGAAGCTGTGACGATGACCTTGGCGATCAGACTGTCAAAATCTGCGGATACCACGGCGGGCCGGCCACTGATGAGATGTGTGTCGATCCTGATACCGTTACCCAAAGGAAACTGAGAAGATGTAATCTTGCCAATCGACAATGACCAATCGCTTTGAACATTCTCCGCTGTGATACGCAGTTGAATTGAATGCGCTGGAGGAGGCACTTCTGGATCTTGTTCGGCTGTTGGTAGGCCGCAGTCAATCAGAGAAGCACCCTGGCAGAGTAATAGCTGTGCTTTGACGATGTCGGTCATGGAGATGGACTCCGTAATCGTGTGCTCGACTTGTAAGCGAGGGTTCACTTCTAAGAAGTAATACTCTTTCGTTGATGGGTTCACGAGGAACTCGAATGTACCGAGGGAGAAGTATTGAATCTATACGAACATCAGCGAGGTAAAATCGTGATCAACATGGATGCTTACGTGTCTAGCCATTTTCAGAGCGTTCTCGATGACTTTCGCGATCAATTTGCGGTCAGGTACAACGCTGGGTGCTAGCTCAATGATCTTCTGATATCTTCTCTGGATACTGCATTCTCGTTCCCAGAGATGCGTCACGTTTCCAGTACCGTCTCCGATGATCTGTACTTCGACATGCCGGAAGCCATCGACTGCAGCCTTCTCTGCAAAGACTTGCCTGGAAGGGCTTTCTTCGACTGCTCTTTTCACTAAGGAGGCAAGCTGGTCTTCGCTGCGAATGAGACGGATACCCCGACCACCGCCTCCGTCTACTGCTTTGACCATGATTGGGAAGCCTACTTCTGATGCGAAGCGTTGGACATCTTCGACTTTATTAGTCGGCTGCTGGAGTGCTGGAGATACTGGGACGTCGCCTGTTTTACACATCAGTAATGTCGCAGCCCTAAAGCCACTTTGGCCTTACATTGTTCAGCAAGCTGCCTCGCCTTGAGTTTGTCTCCAGTATTGCTCAAGATATCCCATCCAGGACCGACAACTATGGCTCCAGTTTCTTCCCAAACTCTCTTCGAGAAGTCTTCGGACTCCGACAGAAAGCCATATCCTGGATGTACAGCATCGATTTGGTGCTTTTTGACGATGCCGACAAGATCATCAATACTCATGAAGGATGAAGCTGACGATAGCTTGATCGCATGGTTTGCTCGGACGGCATGCGAGTCGTCGCCTGATACGTAGATTGCAAACGTCTCAATGTCAAGTTCGCGGGCTGAAGAGATGATCCGTGTTGCTATCTCTCCCCTACAGACAGTCAATCATTCTTCCCAGAATACTACTTGGCTACTAACCTATTCGCGACGATCAGTCGTTTGATGGGTCTTTGTGGAGGTCGTGTCATATTGGAGTCAAGCCAGCAATATGGATCGGTCAGGCAGTACATTCGTGGAAATAACTTATGCGACTATGCCATCAATGGAATGACTCGAGTGGATGAGTCGTTGGATTAGATAAGGCGAGATCGAGTTGTTCGTTGTCAAGGAAGTTTTTGGAAAGCTGGAATATGATCCAGATCCAATGTTAAAGCAGGACGTTCGTTGAACATTCGATTCATCCACAATGACATGGTCGCGGTTCGGTGGAGTGTGATGAAGGAGGGCAAGCGCGGGGAGCTTGAAGATGCCTCGGTTCCCCAGCTTTACCCCAACATTCCACCACGACCATCCCATCTTGATCCGAATCATCGAGATGTGACGATTTTGCTGTCGCTCCATCACTGGAGCTCGAAAATAACATCAATCCCACTCCATCAATAGCCATGGCTGGTGACGACCCAAAGCCCTCGGCCAAAGACGCGTCGACGTCATCCGAAACCGCCAAAGACCGACTCGCGCAGGTCAGCTCCCACATCGCGCCCAACACACCAAAGCGACGACGACGGAAAGGAGCAGACTCAGATCTGCCCGCTGATTACTCAGATATACTCGGACAGATTGCGACTCTTCGTAAAAGTGCCGCGACACCGGACAAGAACAACAGGGGCTACGTGAGGCAGAAGCAGGCTGGGAAACTATGGGTGCGCGAAAGGGTCGAGCAGCTGCTTGATCCGGCGAGCTTCCAGGAGGTGGGCAGCGTGAGCGGGACAGTCAAGTGGAAACAATTGGGGCCAGTGAAAGAAGAACCAGAGGATTACGTGCCTTCAAACAATGTGCAAGGTATGTTCCATGGACAACATTAGGAAGGTGTACTGACGCCTGACAGGCTTCGGACGATTGCGAGGTCGAAAAATTGTGTTTACGGCTGATGACTTCTCCATACGCGCTGGACACGCTGATGGCGCGCTTATGGAGAAGACAGTGAGCTCATCACACTCTGCTCAACACAAAATTACTGACGACTGCAGATATACATGGAGAAGCTCGCGATCGCGTTGAAGCTTCCCATTGTCAAACTCGTCGATGGCTCATCCGGCGGCGGCTCTGTCACAACCATCCGCTCCACAGGCTTCTCCTACGTCCCTCCGCTACCCTCCTTCGCGCAGGTCGTACAACAGCTCAACATGGGAATACCGAATCTGGGTGCTGTGGTTGGACCAGCGATTGGTCTAGGAGCAGCTAGGGTGGTAGCCTGCCACTTCTCCGTCATGGCTGCAGATATTGGCTCCTTGTTCAATGCTGGCCCCAGTGTGGTGAAGAACGCGACATTCGAAGAGGGGCTGTCCTTCACAGACCTTGGTGGCCCAGCCATGCATTGCACCAACGGAACTATCGACAATCTCGCGCCGGACGAGGCAGGCTGCTTCGAACAGATACGGACGGTTTTGAGCTATCTACCCGACTGCGGTACGAAGCTGCCTCCAGCAATCGACTGCTCTGACCCAATCGATCGAATGTCCGAAAACCTCCGATCGATCATACCGCGTTCTAAGAACCGAATGTACAACCCGCGTGCCATCATCACCGAAGTCGTCGATCAAGGCTCGTACTTCGAGATCGGAGCGCTCTGGGGTACTACGGCTATAGTGGGCCTTGCACGGTTTGCAGGCAAACCAGTTGGCATAGTGTCCCTCAATTGCGAGCAGAATGCCGGCGCGCTGGACGCATTGGGATCTCAGAAGATCACACGTATGCTCAAGTTCCTAGATGTATTCAACCTTCCACTCGTCCAGTTCGTCGATGTTCCAGGCTACGCCATAGGGACCGTTGCAGAGCGCACTGCAACGATGCGGCACGGCGTTACTCTCGCTGCGACCTATTACAGCACGACCATGCCCATATTCAACGTCATCGTGCGACGCGTCTACGGCGTAGCAGGAGGCATCATGCTGGACTGCCGCGACCCACGCATGCGCATCGCTTGGCCGTCCGGTGTGTGGGGCTCCTTACCACTCGAGGGTGGCATTGAAGTTGGACACTCGTTCGAACTCAAGGAGATTGAGAGGAAAGAAGGAAAAGAAGCGCGAGACAGGCGTTATACAGAGCTGGAGAACGAGTATAAGCGGTTGATGAATCCAGTTCGCACTGCGAATGCATTCGGCATTGAGGAAATCATCGACCCGGCGTACACACGACGAGTTTGCTGTGAGTGGACAGATCACATGTACGAGAGCTTACTGCCAGAGCGCATTCTAGAGAGGATCGCGGGGAAGTTGCAGCCTTCTTTCGCTTAAAGTTGGATACTACAATCGCATACGTATCAAGTCTGAACATTCAAGAGTAACTCATACATTTGCGTAAAATTGAGGTACACCTTTATTTAGAGTCCTTACGGTCACCGGTCACCTACACTGCGTTGGTGCTACAGCAGGTCAGAAACAGCGCCGCCTCTATGATACGTTCGCGATACCTGGAGTAGTTCGTAAGACCGTCGCTTACCTACACCGCATCGCTTGCCATCAGGCCTATCGTTCGTGCGACCTCTAGCCCCACTATTGCCCATCTTCCGTAATCGGGTCATTGAAACCTGCTCTTATCCAATGCCATGGAGCCGGACGTTTGCTCTCCGGATGCGGTGCCGTGCTCACCATTCTGGATTATGGCGGCCGTCAAATTGGTATGGCGAATCAAGTTCTTACTGCGCAATTTACCCCTCTTGGCATAATCTTGGGTTGGGGGTACCTCACCTCTCGTACTCGAAGTCCTTATACATCATTTGCACGTCGTTTGGCGTTGACTTACAGACTTCTCTGCAACATGTCGTCAAACACACATCATGCGGATGGGTGCGCACATCATGCTCATAGCCATGCGAACAGCAACACAAAAGGGAACCTGCGTGGCGCACACACTCTATCCGCGTAACACAACTTTAAGGACAATTCTTGATTCGTTACTGGACCTCGTATATGACCACCAACAACATGCGGGGCAACATCAATGCATCCCTACCCCGGCAAAATCTACTACAGCCCATGCAATTTCGTCGTCTCACTTGCATGTAGGCCGATGATACCAGCCATGTTGCGCAGCACAAATCTGGGGTATATAGAACTAACGGGCATGCCCGCACGTCCCGGACGCCCATCATTGCTAGCTGCTACTACTACTTCGTTTATCTGACTTAGCGACATTGCTTTCACAGACTCCTGTTTGAACTCCAATTTGGAGGGTGATATCGAACATGGCGCCTGTTGGCGCTGCCGCTGCTGCGAGGCAGGCAGAACCGGTATTGACACGCATCGTTGAACAGGACCAGATACCTTGGTACAGAAAGCGGAATCTGAGGAGGCTGTATGCGCTCCTATTACCCACGTGTATTGGGATTGAGATGACTTCTGGATTCGACTCTCAAATGATCAACGCGGTGCAGATTGCGCCGACCTGGCGACTCTGTAGGTTAGATCTTGCTCGTAATGCTACCCTTACTAACGACGTAGACTTCAACCATCCGCAAGGAGCCCTCCTCGGTATCATGTCTTCGGCATACAACCTCGGTGCAATCTGCGCTCTGCCATTGGTGCCGTACGTGAACGATAGATTCGGGCGACGATGGGCGATCTTTCTAGGCTCTTGGATCATGGTCGTCGGATCTGTCATTCAGGCCTTCTCCATTAGCGGTGGGGCTGAACGTTCAACCATTGGATGAAGTTTTTACTAACACGTTATAGCTGGCATGTATGTCGGCGCACGCTTCATCCTCGGTTTCGGCATACCATTCTGCATCATCGCAGGTTCTTCCCTGATGGGCGAACTTGCATATCCAAAAGAACGACCCGTCATGACATCTCTCTTCAACGCCCTCTGGTTCGTAGGTTCGCTCATAGCAGCAGGAGTCTCATACGGCACCCAAAATCTCAAAGATGACTGGGCCTGGCGCATACCCTCGCTCCTCCAAGCCGGCCCATCACTCCTGCAAATCATCTTCATCTTGTACTCATCCTATCCCCACCGCTTCCATCGTCCCATGCAGCTAACCTCCACAGTATGATCCCCGAATCCCCGCGATTCCTCATCTCCAAAGACCGCCGAGAAGAAGCCTACCGCACACTAATAACCTACCACGCCGAAGGCGACATCACGTCCCCATTTGCCGCCGCAGAAATGGCCCAAATCGAACACACCATCCGCATCGAACTCGAGCACTCGAAACGCTCCTGGCGCGAAATGATCGCCGTCCCCGGGCTACGCAAGCGCGTGATAATCGCTTCTTTCCTCGGCCTCTTCACGCAGTGGTCCGGAAATACGTTACTAAGCTACTACCTAAATCAGCTACTTAACATGATCGGTTACGACGACCCTGGCTTCGTAGGTAAGGTGAATGTTGGGCTCAACAGCTGGAATCTGGTGAATGCCGTGTGTATCTCGCTATTGGTGAGGCGGTTTCCACGCAGGAAGATGTATCTCATCTGCGCGAGTAGTCTGTTGTGTTGCTATATCGCGTGGACGGTGGCGATGCAGCGGTATACGGCTACGAAGAGAATTGAGCCGGCGAGGTTGACGATTGCGATTATCTTTGTGTATCAGATGTGTTATAATATTGGATATAATGCGTTGACTTATAGTGAGTCGTTGCGATGGCGTATGATGGGGGAGATGTTGCTAACAGCATTGCAGCTTTTTTGGTTGAATTGTTTCCGTTTGCGCAACGCACGAAGGGGATTACGATATTTCAGTTCTTTAGCCGAACGGCAGTTTTTACGACAACGACACTTAATCCTATTGGGTTGAAGCATGCTCAAGGGCGGTGGTTGATTGTGTATTGCGCTTGGTTGGGGTTTGAGATTATCTTCATCGTAAGTTCTCCTCCTTACATAATTCACACACCCCTTAAATCCATCAGCTAACGCATTCATACAGTACTTCATGTTTCCCGAAACCTACGGTCGCACATTGGAAGAACTTGCTTTTCTCTTCGAAGACCACGCGCTTGCTGATGAAGCGACGACGCGTGTGGAGAAGCAGATGGAGTGGGCTGAGAGGCGGTGGAGCCGCATTGGTGAGCGTATGAGCTGGGAGATGGATATTGTGGTGCCGAGGAACGCACATGATAGTCAGAGGGAAGGAGATGCTGGTGTAGGGACGCTGGATGCAAGTGAAGTGGTTCAACGGCATGAGTTTAGGAGACGGAATAGTAGCTGGGAAGATCTGAGACAGCGCGAGTAGCTATAGTGGTACATCTTGTTTGCACTTCAACGTTATGCACACTTCACCTGGCGCCATACCCCCTGACTCCCTCGCAATGCCATGTGGTACTTTAGCAAGTAAACCTGGATTCAAACGACTCAAACCCATCCCGGGTTCCCTTAACCACTTCTACACCCTGCTTGGACCATTCGTTCGCAGCGTTATCTGGACCTACTTGATCGATACCGCTGGAACGCAAGGGTTGAACCGAAAAGTCATCGAAGGTACTGATACCACCATCAAAGAATGTTAAATCGTGATCAGCCTATAGATAGTCGAATGATATAAGGGCAGTGTAGGGTTAATGTTCCCATCCACCCACGTAAAATTCTTCCAGTCAACATGATTCGGCGGGGTCGGCCAAAGAACCTACCCCTCATCAGCCAGCCCCACATCACACACGAACATCCACACATCAAATTCCTCACCCGATGTTTCTGATCGAGAACGGCCGCGTCTAAGATTAAATACTGTCATTATATATGATGTAAGTTTCAAACATTCATCGGTTTTGTAGTGTACGTCTTCAAAGATGCCCACTTCTAGCTTGCCCCCGCTAATCACCATATAGGTAGCGGTTATCACTCCGGATTCTGATCTCAAAATCAGTGTCTTCCGGCAACCCCGGTTCGATTCCGGGCAAGACCTCTCTTTTGCCAATCTCTGCGTCATTCAGAGTGTTGGATGATGCGCGGGAAGAAGATAGGTAGGTTGGATGGTGTTGGTGAATTTTTGCGAATTTTTGAAGCCGAGCGGGACTGCGCGGTAGTTACTGCTGCGCTGTTATTAGACGATGGACTGGTTCTTGCAAGAAGATTTGATGACAAGAAAGAGAAGGTTTGCTAAGTGATGTACTACGTTAGAAAGTGTTTGGGAATAGTTGTCATTGATGCATGTTTTCGCTGTGGATGCTTCTCTTTTTACAACACCACAATCGTGTAGGTTGTATCCGATAGGAAATACCACAGATCGAGGCCATTGACCAGCGCGGAACGAGACTACACAGCAGTTTCATCTGAAGGCGCGGACTCTTCTGTGTCGAGAGAACTGAGAAGATCTGCTCGCACCGGGCTACGCTTGGCTTTGCGCAGCCTACTTCTACACTCAGCAGTATAGCTCCGGTACAAGTTGCTGCAGCTTACGCTCTACTGCAGGTTTTGTGGTCTGGTAAAGATGCGAAGACATTTTGCCCTGCACAGCTAAGATCAATTCGATTGAAATCCAATGTAACAACCCTACGGCGCCTTAACGCCCTTCCCACTACTCCCGCAAATATCCATCCACTTCTCCGTCGCCTCCTGTATAACATCCATCTGCATATCAATCAACTTAGCCAGCGGTGTCGTTGGCGCGTTCTTTCTCAAAACCTCGTTGCCCGGCTCCAGCAACAACTTGTTCACATTCAACTTAACAGCACCAGATCGTATGCATCGTTGCATGACTTCGGGAGGGAAATCGTTGGTACCGTGTAATGCGACGAGGACGCGCTTGTTGATCTGCTTGTCGATCGCTTCGAGGCGGTCGTAGTGTAGTTGGCCTTCTTTCGGTCCAGCTGGGCCGTAGTCACCGTGGACGTTGCCGATTGAAGGCGCGAGGATGTCGACGCCCGCGGCGATGAAGTTGTCGACATCTTCGGGGGATGTGAAGAGTGCTGGCAAAGTCAGTATTTAATCTTCAACTCCGAACCATAAGCATTTGGTATAGCATACCTTCAAGATCTCCGGTATCAGCAATACCGTCCTCGCCACCTTCTATCCGCCCACTCTCTGCTTCTACTGCGATACCCTTGTCATGGCATTCTTTGGTCAATATCTTCGTCTTCTCTAGGTTCTCGGCTTCGTCGTAATGTGACATGTCTACCATAACGGAATCGACGGGTAGTGTCGCGATGATTTCCCGGATGTGTTCGACATTCTGCGCGTGGTCGATGTGTAGGGAGAGAGGTACTGTCGCGGTCTTCACGGCGTGCGCTGCGGCATGTGCGAGGAGGGGTAGTTGTTTGAGGGTTGATGGGAAGAGTTGGATGATTAGGGGCGATTTTCTTGACTCTGCTGCGCGAACGAGAGCTGTGAGTTGCTCGACGTTATAGCTGATGTACTGTTAACATCGTGAATGGTATATGTGGAAGATCTCGTACGCAATTGCGGCCATGACGCCGTAGTTGCCTGCGGCAGCGGCATTGAGTATGGCGAGCGTACGGTTATCTTTGCTGACTGGCATGGTGGCTGTATAACGATGTATATTGATAATGTCTTTGATGCTCTATTGTATTGTTATGTAGTGTTGCGAGAATTCGAGCGCATTCAGTTCACTGTCGGAACCGTTTCGGAACTGAAGCTGTTATCATGTCCTTGCGGCTTATTGATTCGGGAAAGCCGCGGCGTTTGAGAGCTATCATTGGTGCTCGTCGCGAGCAGCTTTGGAGGGCCTTCACGGAGTTGTGAGCGACACGGCGGGCACGATGGAACCGCCCGACAGGCCTTAGCCGATATGCCTCGTAACGAGGCACAAACGTCCCAGAGAGGCGATCGGCCCTCCAACATGTACCCCGCTTCTACTCCATCTCTGCAGGGAATAGCACGACGGCGAACATACACCTCCGTGTGGGGTCTGTGGGGAAGGCGAACCTGAATAAGAGTCTGCTCCGCTACAACCTCCGACTTCTGCCTCGCAACGTGACACTCTGACCTTGTCATGTTCTTCTGATCTTGGCCTAGATACGAGTCATGCGACCAACCCATCGGAACCCACCTGCATCGCAGTGGAGTCAACGCAAGTGCGGCTGAACATGCGGCTGAAAGTCTGTTTTCTTGCGGTCCGATAAATGCCGCATTGCCGCGATGACGAAATTGACATGCACTCATGGAGGAAGATGGGACTTGAGCTGCATTCGGCACGATGAATGGAAGGCTAAGATTCGGCTCGCCAATAGCTGGTAAGGTCCGTGAGTAATGTCTTAGGTGGAAACTTGGTGATGTCAAGTGTTTGCTCGAGAAGATGCAAGATAGCGGTTTGTTTGACAGGGTTCTGAACGCATAGACCAGCTAAAAAACGTAAGCATTGTTTTGGACGACATGTGTTTGATGGAGCTTACCAGCGTAGATAGACTTGAAGTTGACCATGGCGCTCGCGATATCTCTACCCTGATGCGTTATGGCGATGCCGCAGATCATGTCTACACTTTCGTCCAGGGTACGCTGTCGGATTCTAAACTCGTCCACGCCTCCCATCGATGGCTGATTGATTAGAACGATGATTCGCGCAAAGTGAAAGGTTTGCATGGCAGCTGCGTACGAAGGAGGATGGATCCAGATGGGCGTGAACAGAGCGCCCGGTCCAGGTGGAGGAGGTCCGCGATGGATAGGTTGAAAGGACATTGGAAGCGCCCCATACCAGTCTTCTAGGGCTTGTAAAAGCTTTCCAGCTTGCTCGATGCGTGTGGTCAGATCGTACTTCTTCTCGTTTGCCGCAAAGTCTACACATCTTCCACATATGTACACAATTCGTAACGCAAGTTCATCCGGGGTGAGATCCATCAAACGCTTAGTAGGTCGCCAGATAGTGAGAACCCGTCGTCCTTCGCGGAACGCGACCCAAGTATCCTGACGTATCCATTGCCACCAGGCAGCTCGCCGGAGCGGATCTGGTGACTCTCCGTTGTTATTCTGACTCCGCTGTATCCAGAATATGCCACGAAGATGTCTCTCCCAGGCTCCATTACTGTACTGGCCTTCAGAGTCCCACATCTCATATGTACTGATAAGGATGGAGGTTGATATGATCTCCCTAGACTTATTGTAGGACGGGTAGAAGAGATTCTTCGATAGGTAATGCAGAGTCTCATAGTAATACTGCGTTGCCACCTGAATTAGAGGGCTGTGGAGTTGTCTTGTCCTCCCATCTTCGGCGTCTGGTGTCGGATCGTGTATGTTGAGCCGCCGAAGCTGTGGCTCGTTCAGAAGTGCCATGTGCCGCGCCGACACGGCAAGCAAAGACTTCAAAAGGCCAACATTGTGAACGGCTAGAGAAGGGACAGTGTATGTGAACTGCTTAGAAGGGTCGTTCAGGTCCAAGATGGGTCCAATAACATTGACGTAGTGTTGGAAAAGCACAAGCTCGTCGTCTGACATTGGTATGACATCGATACAGTTCCACGGCTCATGTCCCGATGGATCGGCATCTTCCGTTCGTTCATACGAAAGCGGGTGTCGATCAGAGCTTGCTCCGTCGGTTGCTGGACTTTGCTGTCTGGACAAGTTGTTCCTGTCTAGGTCCACATTGAGATTGTACTTGTCGATATTGTTGATGGCGTCTTCGGCAAGCAGATCGTAATAAGCTAGAGGGGCTGAATTGGGGGAAGGCAACGAGTTGATGACCGTCGATGGCGATTCGAACAGGAGCTCGGGAGAATTGTTCCAAAGCTGAGGATCGATTTCAGATGGGATTGCTCGTCTGGCAGGCGCCGGTGATGTAGTCGCGATAGAAGAGGCATCTTGGGCCGGCGACGTGTCAGACTGTACAGATCCAGAAGCATTGCTTGCTGCACCTCCAGGAGGATCATTGGGTGATGGCCATAAGCACTCTCTGTCGGATTTACTGCATGTTGCGCATCGCGGTCTTAGCTCGTCACATTTCACCCTCCTTCGTCTACAAGTTAGGCTGTCTGTGTTAGCTAGTGATCGTCTAGATATCTTGCGCGTTGTAGCTGATCGGGCTAGCGAGCTTCACCATGGGGGTGATACATGATAACACGTGCTGAGGGAACAGCTTACCATCCAGTTGTCGTACGTAAGCCCTGCAAGAGAAGCGTCGAGTCAGTAAAGGTTTCACATGCAGTGGAGATAGGCAAACTTACTCGCGCTCGTGAGGGACGGGGTTTGCGCGGCTTAGGATTGCCTGTTGACGATGCTTGCATCACGAATGATGTTGCGCATGCTGGTGGAACTTCGCTTGGCCCTCGAGGATCCGCTTCGGCGATTAGGCCTGCCGTGGGGAACGAGTCTCTGACCAACGGGACAGGCTTTGGACTAGTCCAGGATGACACAGCGCATGCAGAGCCCAGATGTTGATATCTCGCGAACCTAGGAAAGGCGATCAGACGGTGGTTGGGAAACTGTGGCAATTTCGCAAAAGGCCCGCGTCGGATACAGTTCTAGGACCCCGCGCCAGTCCAAAGCACTGTCCACCACCGGCAGAAGTTGGGAGGCCTGATGGCCATGATACAGTCCTGGAGTCTATTTGGGAGATGTGAAGAAGTTGTGTTTACGCAGAAAGGAGGTATCTTGATGATAGCGATTGGTTGTGTACAATGCCAGGACGTGCTTAGTCAGTCGTGGTTGTTGCGTGTTCCGGGTCCCTTCCGTTTGAGGCGGATCGCTTCATCCTTCAGTCAGCACCACCACATCATCAGGATCGACTCCCATATCCACACCAACATTGGCATGTATCACCTCGTCTTTTCAATGGGAACGAGAATTGGAAGAAAATGCGTTGATTTGACTCTAGATATATCCCAGCCAGCCGGCAGTCAAGAACTCCACCCAATGCATATAGCGCGACGAAGAAGCAACCAAAACCTCTACCAGGCGCCGACAATGCCCGCAACAGGAATATCGATACCCGTAGTGTAACTGGCACTGTCTGAGAGAAGGTACACATACGCGCCGCCAAGTTCGCGGGGGTCGGCCAACCTAGGCATGCCGCCATAGTATTGCATCTTCAAGTTCCAATCGGGCGCCCGCTCAACGTAGTAAGTCATCTGCGTGCGCACGAAACCCGGGGATACCGAGTTGACTCGGATGCCGTGCTTCGCCCACTCCATTGCCAGTGTGTGTGCCATGTTGCGGACTGCGCCCTTGGTTCCTCCATAGGGCGCTGATGGCGCTGCCCTGTTTGGCCGGTACGATGTCATGGACGCTGTGAAGACGATGGACCCCTTGATACCGAGCTCGATGAACTTCTTTGCGGCTGCCGTTGCGCAGAAGTATGCGCCAAAGACGTTGAGGTTGAAAAGCTGCTCGAGCTGCGGGCGGTCGAAGTTGAGTGCGGGCTGGTGCTTGGTCATTCCTGCGTTGGCGATCATACCATCAATGCGGCCCGATTGTGCCACAATTTCGTCAATGGCTTTGATGACGCTCTCCTCAGAGGTGACATCGCAGTGCAGGTAGTGTACGCGCTTGGGGTTTGCCTGTTGAAGTGCCTGGAACTCCTCGCCGGGCTCAAAGAGGTCCAGAGAGTAGATCTCAGCGGCTTCGTTTGCGAGGCATACTGTCGCGAGACCAAGTCCAATACCTAAAAGGTCAGCATCTATCCGCAATCTAGATCCGACATGCACCGACCTCTGTTTGCGCCGGTAATAGCGACTACTTTGCCCTTCAGGGTTATCTTCCAGTCAAAGTCCTCCTTCGGCTCAGTCGTAAGGTATACGGGATTTGGGACACTTTGCTCGACTTGACCACTGGCGGCCTGACCAGCAGGTGCTGTCTGGTCAGATTGCGGTGTGATGGCGGAGGGAGACATTTCCGGTTGAACTACAAGGGTAGGCTGCGAAGATTTGGGGATATCTGGAAGGGCAGGTCTCGCGAGAGAATGGAAAATCGAGTTACCACCACCACTTCGCTGGCACCCCGCATCTTTAAGTACATCGCATTTGGGTACCCCACAAAGGCATGTGGCAACCGAGTGCTGTTGATCGGTACCAGATAGTCTCCACGAGTGAGAGCGCCGCGAACCAGGTCCACAAGGCCGGGATGTTGTTGAGACTCGGCTCAAACCATCTTCGGAGGAGCGATGGCCTCGTGGCGAGCATACGCGCCGACGCGACAAACACGTGAGATTCCGAGCTTTTGCCTTCGCTTAGTGGCACAAAGTTCGCCTCGAGGCACATAGCCGGGCGCGCAGCGAGTTCATGCATGGAACACGTTCTGTCGTGTTCCACAACCAATCGTAACCGTCAAGTTATCGGTACAGGCGGGTCTGTAGCGGGCTCGTAGCGGGCTTTCGGCTTCTAGTATGCGACCTGGGCACCTGGGGTAGGGAAAAGGGCCGAACACAATCTGGGGAGGTCCAAGCTGTTTTTGGCCAACATCATCAAAACCTGTGGAAGTCAGGTATCTTCCTTCTATAAAGCTACACGGGTGTCGCACCCATCCGAAGATATTCGCAACGGTTACCGCAACACTGCAAGTCGGTTCCTCGCACTGCAGCTTCGTTCCTGTCACAACGCTGTCGCACCTGTCAAACCGCAGATCAGGACACCATGTCGTCGACACGCCACTCTCAAGATCCAGTCGACTTCAAAGAGATGGACAGCACGAAGCATGTCGAGGTCACTGAAGATTTCACCTGGACAAAGGATGAAGAAGCGAAGTTGGTCCGCAAGATCGACCTGTTCCTGCTTCCCACAATCTGGCTGATGTACCTGCTATCATACATGGATCGCACAAAGTAAGTTGTATTTCGAGTGACGTAGCAGCCATAGCTAACATGATACAGCATTGGAAATGCGAAAATCGCCGGTATGGCTGATGATCTTTCACTCAGCTCCGAGCAATACTCCATCGCGTTGGTGGTATTCTTCGTTACCTACGTCGTCTTCGAGCCGCCTTCCAACATGCTCTTGGTTCGCCTCAAGCCATCCGTCTACCTTCCCGCCATCATGATTGTTTGGGGAGCCTTGACATGCTGCATGGCCGTTATCCACGATTTCAAGCACCTTGTCGCACTCCGAATCCTCGTTGGTGTTTTCGAAGCCGGTTTTGCGCCCGGTATTCTTCTGATCATCTCATCCTGGTACAAGAAGGACGAACAGTCGAAGCGCTTCGGTGTATATATGTCTGCGGCCATTCTCAGTGGCGCATTTGGCGGTCTTCTTGCGGGTGCCATTACTGGCGGCATGGAGGGTACTGGCGGTCTTCGCGGGTAAGGAACAAGCCTTGAATGTTGGACAAAACCTTATAACTAATTCTGTAATAGATGGCGATGGCTTTTCATCATCGAGGGAGCTGCGACCATTGTCTGGGCGATGTGCGCATACTTCATCCTGCTGGACTTCCCCGCCAACACCAAGCGACTCACTGACCGTGAGCGTGCTATCGCTATCGCACGCCTCAAGGAGGGCGGTGTCCAAACACATACTGAAGGCGACGAAAGGATGGGCAAGGGAAAGTCCTTCCGCCTGGCTATTTGCGACTGGAGGACTATTTCTTTCATCCTTGGCTACATGGTAAGTCATGTCGTGCGAATCATGAAGAAGTCGACTAACAAACGTCAGGTCATCGTCGGCTCCTCCACCCTCTCATACTTTTACCCTACGCTCATGACGGGTCTCGGATACACCGACACAGTCACTGCTCAATACATGACCGTCCCCATCTACGCCGTCGCCTTCGTCTGCACAGCAGTCACAACCTACTACGCCGACGCCATCTCCAACCACCGTGGTCTCGTCATCGCAGGCTGGCTCGGATTCGCACTCATAACCTCGATATCCGTATGCGTCGTCTATGAATTCAAGGCCCGATACGCGCTGCTCGTTCTCATGGCCGCTGGACTCTGGGCCTCCAACGCCGTTTCGCTATCTTTCGCCAGTGCGACCTTCGGATCCATGCAGCCGGAAGTTAGGGCGATCGCGATCGCGCTTGTCAACGCCATGGGCAATCTTGCTCAGATCTATGGCGCATACCTCTTCCCTGCCGACGATAAGCCAAAGTACCTCATGGGCTTCGGCGTCATCTCTGGCATGCTGGGACTTGGTATCGCAGTCTACATTTCCCTTCACATTGCTTTGAGGAGGAAGGAGGGAATCACAGCATTCTTTTGAGGCATCTTAGAATAGCTATTGATAGATGGCTGGCCGTCACTAGTCATGCTTGTCTACATGTATATATTATGACAGCGTTCAGTTTCCATGACAATGATCACAAAGATGATCACCAGAACGACCGCTTTTGTGCAGGTGACGAGTAACAAAACTGACGTGTCTCCATCATGCATCAACAGCATACTGTGACCTTTTACTTCCATACTCCAGCAGGGCGCGGTCAGCCTACAATATAAAGACAAGTCCAGCCTCCTAACCCCACCAACATTCTACGATACAACGTCTCATACCGCCTCCTACACTATCGCAAAAAAAAAAAAAAAAAAAAAAAAAAAAAGGCGTAAAAGCCAGGCCCTGCGATCTTACGTCGACACCCCTAACCAGCATCATTCGCAGCACAAACCACGCGCAATGGGCCTATTCAACATCTTCAAAGGCTCCAAAACCCCACCTATACTCTACCAGCACGGCGAGGTCGGAAGTGGAAACGCGTACTTGTCGCCACTACCCAGCGATACGCATCCCTCCATCTACCAAGGAAACGACCCTAAGACGATCAAGAAACGCGTGAAAGAGAGAGTAGATGCCGAGATTCTCTTGGAGCGGAGACAAGCAGAGATAGAGACGAGAGAAAAGAGGGAAGAAAGACGGAGTGAACGACATATGAATCGAGAAGCAATGTTCATGGAACAGATGGGAGTGCGTGGTGGCTCTCGCGATGAGTCACCTGGTGTACGGCCTTTTCGCCATGGAGACCACGGATTTGTTGACATTCCTGATGATCCTCGTGCTTTGGGGTTTATGGCCATGGGTCGGCGAGGAGAAAGACGTAATCCAGGATGGCCGGACCTAACGGGTATGGGCCGTGGAGACCCAGCTGTTCCAGACCATAGCTTTGGGCGATGGGACAATGGTAGAGGGGAAGGAGGAAGAGATCGAGGCGGTGGGCGCGGCCCGCGTGGGCCTGCTGCAGGGGATAAGGCTTCTGCTTGGAACATGCATGATTGAGCGGAAATTGAGCGGTTTGATATCGGGCATGAAGCAGGTATGGGAAATGTAGGACACATGGCCGGTGGGCGTGGGCAATTCAAACTCTAGAACATGATGGGAGAATGTAATTGATAGTTTCATGTCCACTAATGCTGTGCGATGAACGATTCCCACTTCCTCTCTTGATCACCTCCGGTCAAACAGAGTCTTCCGCATCGATTGTATTTTTCGGTATTAATAGCTCGCGGCACAACCTCTATGTGGAATTGCTCAATTGACTGGTGATGAATAAATGAGCTTTGTCACAATAATAGAATATTGATGACGTCTGTGACATTTGGTTCAGCTGACGAGCGCAGCAGTGTACGTGGCGTCACCTCAAGCCTCATCAACAGCACATGATCATCCTTCACAATCATAAGTCACAGCTGCTTCATATACAAGATCTCTCTCTCTCTCTCTCTCTCTCTCTCATAGTTAGCGCAGCTTCCTACGATACCTTCTTCTACATCGATCTGCACCAACACAGCTGCTTAGCTACAACTCCGGCTTGACACTGACATCACAAACCGATACCTACTACTTATAAACATGATTCCGATCACGAACATTTACGGTGGAAGGCGTCATCCCTTCGGAAAGGTACAAGGCAGAAGTCATCTTTTTCCCACTGACGAAGAGAAGGAGAAGACAGCCCAGGCGTGGGTGAAAGAGAGAAACAGACTGCTTGCAAGGCACAATGAGCACAGGAAGGATCATGGTCTTGATCTAATGCCAGCCGAACGGGCACAACGTTTCGTCCAGCCGCCGAGCGAGTTAGAGGCATATATCTTCAGTCGATATCGGGCCAACAGGGGGTTCAACAGCCCTCTTAAGGGTCGGTTCAACAGAAGAGATCGATTTTCAGCACAAGAGGACTACTACGAGCTGCTGACAGAAGCATATGGTGATGCCGAAGAGTGGGAGAAAGTCTACGCTGATGAGTGGGCCAAGCTCTTCAAAGGACAGGTCTTTGGTAGGAGGGACGAGCGCCGCAATGTGAGGGCACAATTTTGTGATGAGGATGATGAAGATGACGATGAGCACGAAGATTTCAGAATGCCTCGAGGAATAGGCGAGCCAGTGGATGGGGCTGGGAGTGTTGGAGGTCGTCCTGGTGGCATGCATGGACCTGGTGGTAATGGCCCTAGACTTTTCGGCGAAGGCTTTGATGCTGGCTTCGGCAGCGGCAGGAGGCACGGGCGTCGATAGTAAGATCTGCCGAGTTCACTGCGGAGTAAAGACATCTTTGAGTAACAATCATACATGAGTACTACTTTCAGTCTCGGCAGTCATCTTCTATACTCATTAAGCAACGATTTTGTTCCGCATGTTCTTTCATGTGATACAGCAAATTCTCTCAAACCCGTCATTCATCTTCGCATCGCAATCGTATTCCTACCAGAGACCTGACAAGAAAAACATCGGTGACAGGAGCATGCATTGGAATCATTGATAGCCTTCATTCGTCGTTGACTAGGTATGCAAATTTTCGGTCATACCTGGGTACTTTACTCTCATCCTCTAGCTTCCAATAATGGAATGCCGGCGCATCAATCTGGCTATGACATTCATTCGTACATGGTTCTACGGACTTGGTGCTCGTTCATTGAAGCATGCATATGGAGCGTCAGAGACTACTTCACATATGCTGGTGATAAAAAAACCACGTTCTCCCCTGCTTCTGAACCTGTAAACCACCTCTCACAGCCTCTCCACTCATCGAACATTGCTTAAAAACCATACGCCATAATCTGAAGCATCATATTCATCGAATGTCATGTTCTCAGGTTCATATGCCGAGAACAATCAATGGGTCCGTCGAAGAGGTGAAGCCTTCGGATTGAACGCGGAAGGCGAAGCTGCGTACTACAAGAAGGAGGTCAAAGGCAAGAACAAAAGATCGACTAGCAGCTATTCCGAGAAGGTCGTGAAAGACCGCGGGTCGGGGATCCATCGGTCCTCAAGCCGCGTATCGAGTCAACGCGCACCATTGCCAGAAGCACCTGAACCGCCACCTGCTGTTCGTTCTCCGAACAAGAGTACGACCAACTCCAGTCGTAATGCCTCTAGAAGGATCTGCGATGCGCCATCTGCACAAAGGATGCCAAGTGCAGCTCGCAGCATTCGCAGCTCTTACACTACTAGCGAGGTCAATGCTACCCAAGAACATGTACCGGAAGTACATCCTGCCCCGTGTTCACGAGACGTTCACGGTGTGGCATCAAGCAGAGTCTCAATTGCTCAGGCTCGAGTTGATGAGGGGCATGCACACAAAGCCGCCGAGCGAGATCGTAGCGTCCCCGGTAGCAGTAAGAGTCGTCAAAGCCATCGTGAGCGTAACACCCCTTTCCAGACCCATACTTCCACACGCGAAACAAGTCAATCAGATCGTGCACGTAGTACCTCGAGTCGCCTCCACGATGATGTCGAGTACAACGCGAACTCTCGCAGCGGGCAAGCCCAAAGCGAAGTCGGTAGTCGACACTCAAGCTCTCGCCAACGCTCAGAGCATCGGAACAGAAGCCGTGCTCCATCTGTATATGAAGATGAGCAGCACGACAGAGACGAGGAGTACGTTTCTGAGGACGACGGGATTTACAACAGCGAGGGGATTCGACCCGAGGACTCCGCCTCTTCTGTAGGTGCAGCGCGCGTGAAGAGAGCACACCCGTATCCGCAGAGTATGGTCAATCTAGAAATTGAAAGGGACAGGAATGGCTTCCCAAAGTACATGCCTACTAAGGCCAGACAATACACACAGAACGATAGACATGCTATTTATAGAACGGAACTTGTCGCTCCAGCGTGGATGAGTAGAGAGAGGGTAGTGGGCAGTGCTGGAACGGTAATCTAGGCGGCGGATGAATGAAGTGGTATGGCAAATTATCATATTAGATAACCCTAAACCCTATGACATCAATTCGAGTGTTGCCACACAAACCTTAGAAGTCCAGCGCTTTGACACTCGCGATAGTGAACGTGAGGATTGCGAAAAGGAAACCTGCGACAGCGAATGCGCCCTGTATGTCGTGTTTTATCACTGACCAAACAAGCCCGAAGATAATGCTTGCCAGGGTACCAAGCAGGGCTAGGCCGAAGAGTTTCAGCTCGTCAACACCAGTAACGACGTCAAGCCCCCAACCGATACTGTAAGTGTCAGTGTCTTACTATCACCGGAGAGAAAGGCAACACTTACCTACTACCGCGCACTGGGCAGGGCTCGAGTATGTTATCCTTGCGTTTCGGTATACTTGGAAGCAGAACCGCGGATGAGGGGCTCTCTTCCGGATGCAGGAAGAAGTGCATCAGCAGATTCGGACCGATTGGAGGAACGTTATCCGCTGGCATTGGTGAGTACTCGTACTCGTGGTTCTGATCTTCCGGTGGTATATCGTTGATCTCATGAATATCCACCAGCTGGTGATGGTAAAGGCGGAACTCGTGAGTACTATCAGCCAAGTCTATATCGCGCTCTGTATGCGTGAGAAGAACCTGCCTTTACAAACCGCAAGGCTGTTGGTTTTTTGAACGATAACAGCGTCTTGTATCGATCCTTGGACTGTGCATAGCGCTGCTTCAGGGCTCTGAAGAAATCGATATCTGTTTTGAACTCGCATGACTGCAGCGCAGACATGCGTGTAGCGTAGCGACTCCAAGGGATACACCAATGAATAAAGTGGTGTTTATGCTGATTCGTTTGGGTTTGCGTATCGCATGGCCTTTGACCCAAATCATTGCTTTTTCGATTGACCGGTTCATGCTGTGGAAGCTGGCGTTTTGGCGTTGTTTTTGAAGTGAATGAGGGTAGTAAGCCCCGGAACGAAAACGTTGTTCTTTTCCGCTGCGATTGCCGTGAGGCTACTTGCTGATAGATTTGACGAACCGATAGTAGTCTTAGCTGTCGCAAAACATTGCTGACGGTATCTTTAGAAAGCTCTGTGTAGTTGTCGGTGATGGTTTCTCCGCAAGACTGTCGAAGTTTAGCCGCTTGGATGGAATTAAGAAGTGGTGCAAGAAACACCTACACATCCAAATTGGATTGACATGATGCGCGGTACAGAGAACGATATGTCGCTCGTGGTTGGCGTTTCTCTTGTTCTGGAAGACGGAACATGGATAGGCTCGCATGTGTTCTTGTATGCGTGAGGTGACAATGATTTTGTTAGACACCAGAAAGCTCTGCTTGAGCACACGAATGTCTCAAAAGTCTCTACTTCACCTTGACTTACTATCGCGTTTGCTGAAGGACTCATAAATGATCGGCAGCCATTGTTAGTTGGTATGAGCGGATAAAAGTGCCACGATGGCACTTGATCCGTCCACAACGCATTCAATCTGGCTGCAAGTTTCGATAGCTTTTCGTGAACGCTCTTGATCCCGGCGCGATCGGAAGCAGAGATCATATGGATTTCTGCTTCTTTCGCAAGATCAGCAAGAAAGATATTGAAGAGATTGAACAGGCGTGTCGCATCAACGTTTGGAGGAGATCCCAAATGCTTGCTGGGTGGGTGTACATTCCTCACCATTATGTCGACCATTTCCTCCCCGTAGTTGCGCGTATGCTGTGTGAAGTTTTTTACGTTTTCCTTCAGTGCCTCATAAGCGGTTCCATCGAAGAGGAATTCTCGAATGATGGAGAAGGCCGGCATGAGTGTTGGATCTGGCTCGTCGGTGTCGATCGGCTGGAGTTGCTGTAGTGACCCGGTGACACTCTTTCCGTCAGGAGAGTACGCATCAGAGGCGGTAATCTCTTCAACGTTGAAGTGTTTGTATATCTCAGACGATAGATACCGTAATCGACGTCGTAAAAATGCGCAGGCATGGTGTTGCAGGGTGGAGTCAGACTCCGCGCGTAAATCCCTCTCGAACGCACCTAGGAAGAATTGGACATCCTTTGCCTTCATCTCAGTGGTATTGGTCATCTGAGAGCGCACCAACTCCTGCCAGCTTAGTTGAGGGTCTTGTAGCAGGACCTCAAGTACCTCTGCAATAGTGTCTTGTCCATCCGAAGCGATGAATGAAGTACATCTGCTTAGCGAGATCGAGGTAGAAAAGATGCTGTCGCCGTCATCCGAGCTATCGTCCAAGTCTGAGAGGCCGCCAACGATATCGGCGACCCCAGTGTTTTGTTTGTCCTTCGAATGTGATGAGCAGGCATAGCCTACTAAGATCGTCTTTTCCTGAACGGCGTGACCTCGCTGGCCATGCTTTGCACAGGGATCTATCGCATGCTTGTAGTATAAGCAACGACAATAGGTGTATCTTTCGATGACTTGATAGCACATTTGAGATTGCGGTTGAGATGTAGGCCTTGGAAATGGCGTCGCCTTGGAGGGAAGGCTGCGGGGTAAGTTGAAGTGTAAGCAGCAGCCTGTCCAACGAGATTGGTTGCTTCCTGGGTATCTTTGGCTTTAACCGAATGTGTCATGAAGTGCTTCCTCTATCTATTTCCTAGCACCATAGCCTTGTAGATAGACATTTTCATACTATAAATACTTTCGCATTCATCCTGAACAGCCTCTGCCCGTTTTGTGACCAGAGACTTTACAATCACATGTGTACTCTTACAAAGTCATCATGCCGGTACCTGCGCTCATAGTGGGACTCGCCAAATCCAAGCAGAATTTCGCGTGTACTTGAAATCCCCTCGTGATCATTGCTCATACTAATCTTGTACCGTGATTCACGTCTCACTTCCGTCACCCCTGAGCGTTTGTTGAGCTACGGTTATGTCAACCTGGCCAACTCTACTCATTGACACAATACTTGAAGGCGGCCATACAATTCCATGATCTGAGTATTCTCAATAATGACGATTCACATGAAGCGCATCCAAACATGCCGTAAGATACTGTACCTTCTCCATAATTTGCCAACTTACTATCTTCCTCAAAAAACTAATCCGGATACATTCCTTGATGCGCGAGCTCTTACTCAGATTAACATGGGCCTTCCTGCAATCCAGCAACACAAAGAAGCGCAAGCTTGGACCCGTACCAAAGAAAAGGGTGCTGAAACCAAGAGGTTCGATGTTGAGAAGCTGAAAGACGTGTCCAACAATCCTAGAAAACGCAGACCAGCAAGTTACAAAGTAACGAGTCGCGAACCACATCAAGCTCTGCCAGAAACACAAAAACCGGCTGCAAGGGGAACCCCACCTGCAGTACATTTATCTAGCACGAGTAAAACAAGCGCGGCATCAAGTAATAGTCGAGAGAGGCCCTACCCACGAGGTGTTCCCGAAGGCTCGGTCGTGTCTTACACCGCGTATCCTCTAAGCACCATCAGTGAGACTCCAGGTCATGCAACGACAAGATTGAATCTTACAACTTCATCGCATACACCAAGCGTCGCTCACAGTACTCATAGTATTTATAGTAGTCATGGGAGCACCAACAGCGTCACTCAACCTAGTTTGCTTGGAGAAACCCACCCACATTCTCTAAAAGCTGTTCCAATACCATCCTCAAATACGACTAGCTCTCATGCTCAAAGCGCTGTAAGCATTGCTCCGAGGACGGCTTCCGAGAACTACCTGCCCTCGTCCGTGTCAGGAGATAGCTCTCGCGCACCGAGAGCTGCAGGTGTTGCTCCAAGTCATGTATCCAAAATATACCCGCCTCTGCCCCCGTCACGAGATAGCTCTTGCGCCGCTCAAAGCATGGTACCCGAAAGCACGACACCTGCGTCTGAGTCAAGACTTCCTACGTATCGCGCCCCAAGCGTGGTGACCGTCACACCAATTACAATATCGGACCAGAACCCGCTTTTTCCCGCGTCAAATGCTTCGAGCGTAATACCCAGTTTGCAGCCGTCTCGTTCGCGGAGTGTCGCCAGTATTGCCCGAAGTGCTCTTATAAAGGACAACTATCCACTACCGATATCTGTATCGAGAAGTCCTAGTATTGCACCCAGCATCTTCAGCATCAGCAAAGAGTCCCTGCAAGAAAGTCGCTCTCGTGATCCTTCGCGAGCGCCATCCTCACGAACACTGTCTTCACGGGCTTCGCCTTCGCAAGCGCCATCATCACGAACCGCTAGCGTAGCACCAAGCAGTCGGAGCGAATGTGCTGTGACTACTCCCAGTGCCGCTCAACGCCGCGCCGACGAAGAATATGCCAGACCTGAGGCTGGCAGTAGTTTACGCGCCGCGGAAAGCAGCGTAACGAGCCGCAGACCAAGTGTCATCCAGCACACTGAACAACATGCTGCCCCAGTGTCTGAACGAGCCCCAAATATCGCTGCAAGTACTAACAGGAGTGTCAAATCGGGTCGCAACGAGCGAGATATCAGCATCGCGTCGATAGCCAGAAGTCATATGCGCGAGGAAGACTACGAGCCGAGCATCCAAAGTAAGTCGACCTCGAAGCGAGCCTCGAGTATCAAACCGCCTAGTCGGAGTGTGCGAGGGGACAGCACCGCGCCAAAAGCCAGAAGTCATATCGAAATGGATGACCATGAGTCCAGTATCGAATGCGAATCAACTTCTAAGCGAGCGTTGAGTAAAACCAGCAGTTTCAAAAGTGCTCGCAAAGCGTCACGCGATGGTCGAGGTCGAAGTACTACATATCGCACTGAAAGCGCCCACGATGAGTTAGTGGAGGTGAAAGTGACTTACGATGAACACGAAGGCGCCGGAACCAAAAATAGACCTGGCTCCGAACGTAGCAAGTCTGCTTCAACGCGTCGCAGTAGCTCGGTATCAAGCACCGAAACCATCCGAGCACTACGAGCAGGCGAACACAATGCAATGATAGCGTACCACGACAACGCCCTTCATACTGCCAAAGTTTCAGAATATGATATCCGCCGAAAGTCGTCCAGGCCCAGGAAGAGCCCTGTAATGAGCGTCATTTCGGTTTCCACCAGCGGTGGATTGGATGTAATGCACCCAGACGCATCGGATGACGAGGTTAAACAGACGTCTGGGAAGAAAAGTCAGCGGTCGCATCATCATCATGAACGGCAGCAATATCAGCAACAGCAGAAGCATCAACCGCAGTACTCACAGCCTCATCAGCAGCCGTATCCACAGCCGTACCCACCGCAGTATACGCAGCCCTACCACCAGCAACCGCAGTGTTTTCAACAGCAACCGCAGACCGCTTACGGCGTTTTCGGCTATCCAAGTGTACACCCGCAATACACGAACCATCAATATACAAATCAGCAATACCCAAACCCGCGATACACACATCGACAGTCTACCGCTCAACCAGACTATTCAACTGTGAATGCACCGTATCCGTCGCAGTACGTGGCACCTGAGCCTCAATACGCGACGGCGTATGCAAACTTAGGCGAAGAGCTTAAGCAAGGTCGGAAAAGCGGACGTTTGCCCAAGGCCCGAGATAGGCGACCCGAGAAAGTTGAGCGGTCTGAGAGGAGAATCCACCGGGAAGAAGAGTATAAGAAACCGCCACTCATACACGAATTGCGGTATGATGAAGGTGAATTCCCTCCGGGTTGGTTTGACACATAAGCTTGGTGATATGGATGATGAGATGCTGGAGATTGGAGATGCTGTACAAGGGTTGTGTGGCGCAGTGAGGTTTTGTAGAGCAGAAGTGAGAGTTGGAAGATAGATGCCAGATCATTAAAGAATGATAGAGTATAGGAAGGCGTGGAGTTCGTGGCAGGGTGGACTCATTGATATGTATGTTACGCAAAACCGGCTGGTGAGTCACATTTTGTTAGTCATCCAACCCGTCTCTCTTGGTGCGGAATGGACATCCCTTTGCTATCATGCTCTCGCTAGCTTCTTGATTGTGTCGCATCTGAATATGTTAGAATGTATCGTAGGGCGTGGCTATGCATACTGACCTAGTCATTGCCGCGATGGTGATCGAAATCGTTGTGTATGCTACCGTCATTGCAATGGAAGGGCCAAATCATGGGAGGACTTCGAACCAGTCACTTATTCGATGTCGGCTTCGATGTCGGATATGTGGAATAATCATGAGCGTCCTGACAGTGAACTTTCTAAACGAAGTACGCCACATGGCCTGCCGACACCGTCAATAGTGTCCGAATCAAACGCCAACTTTTGAATGCGCGATGTCACATATAGTCTGCGAAGAGAGTAGAACTCAGCCACTTGTATCTATAAATGTCACCACCGCATACCTCATTCCTTCCCCATTACAACTCTTGAAATCTTCAGTTCGATATCGAGCATTCATCGAAACGACTTGCGATACTTTCATATTCAGATCGTCCTAATTACCACGCCAATCACAAACTCCCTGATCAATACGCGGCCTTCAGTCACTAGCAAAACGATGCCCAGCGCTGCAGAGATGATAGATCGGAGATTTCAACAAAGGAACGCCCTCATTCGACGCCAAGACGGCACACTCAAAATCGTCAACTGGACGCCCAAGTCGACGGAGGGAAGCACGATTTCGCAAGGCACTGGGACGAGTACCGATCAAAACGCCAAAGAAGCCGAGCAGAGGCGGGAACAACTAATTTGTGAGAAGCAGAAAAACCAAACCGATGCGAGCCAGAAATACCAGGCCGAGAAGAAGAAGAATGAAGGAAAAGTTTTGGTCACCAAGAGCACGGCGAAGTTCTTCAGCGGTAGAGCGGGCCCGAATCTCTTCGGTGGCAGTGGCAGCGGCAGAGCGGGCCAACATTAAAGGCAAGAATCAAGACACTTGACGTTACGGGGAACGTGGTCGACCAGGATAACTGGCAGAAGAGGCGATGTTAGGCGGTGTCTTCAGTGGTCTACTCTTGTGATAGGTTTTCACGGTTTTCGAATTGTTGTGCGCGATGGGTGTAACGTTTTGGAAGGCGTTTGGTGCACTGATGTATCATGGCATTAGCATTGGCGCTAGATGGAATGTCGTAAAGGTCTGTGACCTTAATAAAATCATGATAGTTGTCGATTCTTGACCGTTTATGTCGTGGTCCATATAGTGCCAATGCGCTTCTCCGGGCCAAAGCATTTTTCTTCCGCTCATCGACGATCCTGAACAATAACTCTTTCTATTGAGGACAGCTTTGAAACCCCACAATTGCGTCTTCTGTTCAACATCCAACTCTTGTGTCCATAGTGTCAACAGCATGGGCTTCTTTGGGCGAATCTTCGGGCGAGGTAGGACTCCGCGTCCCATTCACTTCGGTAAGCTGTTCAAAAGAGTCTAATATTACATTGCTAACTAAGCAGGCTCATATCCCGCATACGGTGGATACCCTGCATATGGAGGGTATCCTGCATACGAAGAACCAAGACACGGAAGGAACGCGTACGATAATGGTTACGATACCAATGAGAGCCACGAGGACCGCTATGTTGGCCAAGGTAGTTATCAATATGGTGCTGATCGGTGACAATACCGCAATGGGTCGGGAGACGTTGTAAGTGACAATTCCGTGAACAGTTTCCGCAATTATTGTTGGGCCAGGACTTCCTATTCCATCCTCCCAGCAGTCACCATGTCTCAATGTAAGATCGCCGTAGTTGCTTCTTTCTTCCTATACCCAGCGCGTTCTCACCAGGCACCATGGCACGAACGAAGAAGTTTTGGGTACGCAAGCATATCCCATCAATCTGGGAAGAACGGGCCGACAATCGACGAGGTCATCAAATGGAAAAGAGACAAAAGAACTCTAGGCCGCGCGAAGAGGGAACAGAAATGCCGAATCGTAGAATCTGCCATGTAATAAGGAGAACCGATAGGAGAGAGCTGACCATGAGACAGAAAACCCGGCCGGCGGTCCGCCAGGCTTCGTACCGCTTGGTAAAAATAACGATAGGAACAACAATGGTAACGTTCCTGCGCCACAGCATGTGAATAACACCCCAAACCAAGTACCACCATCTCGGGGTCCGGGGGTTCAGGGCCAGGGTCAGGACAATGCTCAACCGCCGCCGCCGCAGCAGCCGCAACAGCAACAGCAGCCCCAGTTCCAACGAATGCCCACTATGAACAACGCCCGCGGTTTACAGCCCGGTGAGATAGATCCACACTTGCAGCCAGAAGGGCAGAGGGAATCTAGTGAGCGACCACGAGGGCAGAGCCGAAGCGAGTATGCTGACGCTGAACCCACTGTTCCTGGTGGCGGGCGGGGCGGAGGTGCGCCTGAAAGCGGGCAGCCTCAGCACCCGTGGATGCCAGAGACGCGATTCTATAATCAGCAGCAGACGCGAAGGAGAAGATGAGGATGATGACGCAAGGTGAAATGAAGATGGAATGAAGAGGATGGGTGATGAGAGTGGGAGACGCGCCGAGCGCCCAAGCTAATATGATTAGCTATCTTTGTAGTATGCATCTCAATATGTTTCCTTCAAAACGACTGCAATGCATCATGAAGGGATACCCGATAGCGCGCGTGGTGCGATGACAGTGACAAGGAGAGTGGAGAGAGTAGGGTGAAAGAAGGTTGGCGTGGCCCTGCAAGGGTCAGGAAGGTCTGGCCGCGGGCTTATCGATTAGGCCGCGTCCATCCCCAAAATTTCGACCAGCAGTCCGACACCAACAACACCGCCAAACAACGCCCACCATGCCGAAAAGAAAGCGCGAGACGACTGCCGCCTCTGGGAAACCCCCTCCTCCGGTAATAATGAACCCCGCGAAACAAGCCAAGTACTGCCAAAAGCGCCTCGAAGATGCGCAAAAACCGCTCCTCCAAGCTCTGCGCCATGCTTCACAGCTCGAGCGCCAGAAGCACAGTCGCAGAAAGAAGGATGCGATCAAGAAGGGACAGACAGAGGCAGTATCCCGCTTGAACGCCGAGTACAACGTTCTCAAGGCGCTGAATTTGGAGCAGCTGGGCGATCAGCATCTGCGCAAAACTTTGTCAAGAGTCAAGAGCTTGAAGGATGCGGAGCCGCTACAGGAATATATATCCGGCATCAGAGAGGGCAGCAAGGATACCAGTACACTCAATGTCACGGCAAGGATGTTCAAGGTGGTGCAGGTCAAGAAGGCTGTGGATGAGGTTGTCGAGGACCTGAAGCGCATACTTGGGGTGGACAAAGCCAAGGACAACGAAAAGGCAGAGGAAGTGGTTAAGGAATACACAACAGAGGAGATGAAGAAGCACAAGGAAGAGAAGTTGACGGGGAAGGCGCAGAGGACGAAGGGTGCTGAAAAGGACGACGTGGAGATGAAGGACGCGAGCGACGAGGAGGACGATCCATACATGGCGTTCAGCGCGCGGATAGCTGCGCCGTCCTCAGGGGAAGAAGATGACGAGGGCTCGGTATCTGGCGATGAGCGACCGCCTAGTATCGCAGACAGCGAAAGCGAACACGACCCAGACGACGATCTGGAAGCCGAGAGCGACAGCCAGGACGAAGCGGAGGAAGTCGCACAATCAGGCGACACCACTGACGACGAAGACGAGAACAACGACACCGTAGCTATATCGCGATCAGTAGCGCCAGCCTCTGACGAGTCCTCCGCCGACTCAGATGCGGATTCTGACTCCGATGAAGCCGTCATACCCACAAAAAAGCCCAAAACCAAAGCCGCCCTCGAAAAGCCCACCTCCTCCGCTTTCCTCCCCGCCCTCAGCCACGCCGCCTACTTCTCCGGCTCCGAATCCGAAGCCTCGGACCTCGACGCAGACAACGCACCGCGCAAGAACCGACGCGGCCAACGCGCGCGCCAAAAGATCGCCGAAGCGAAATTCGGTGCCAAAGCCAAACACCTCGAGAAACAACAGCAGAATGTGAAATTCGACCCGAAACGAGGCGCCGTTGCTGGAGACGACAAGCGACAAAGACGGGGTAAGCCGATGGGTGGTCGGGGTGTGCAGCAGAGTGGAAGCAATGCGGAGCCGTTGGGGAAGAAGGATGATAAGAAGGATAGGAAGATGGGGCTGGGTGTTAAGAGGGATGATAAGGGTGAGTTGCATCCTAGTTGGCAGGCGGCGAAGTTGGCGAAGGAAAGTAAGAAGTTGAAGATCGATCTTGGGGGTAAGGGGCCTGCGCAGGGGAAGAAGGTGGTTTTTGATTAGTTTAGATACCCATGTTCATGGCGGAGGGAGGGTTGGTAACATGATGCCTCGTTCGCACAAAAGCTGTGGTGAAGGTCATTCAGTTCTTGTCTGTGTGATATGGACGTGTCTGGCAGACATACCAGTCAACTTCGGTATAGCAAAGCATTCAGCGAAGAGAAGCAAGAGGAGAAGAGTCGTTACGCATTCTACGATGCAAACTAGCTATACTGCGACGTAAGTCTGCACTCGTGATGCCACTGTTCTCAACCCTTCATTTCAACCTTGCTCGCACGCTTCGCACCACCGCAGATACCGCACTATGCATCCATATCATGTCAGAATGCGACGAGCAGAAGTATCGATACGTAAACGCGAGACGATCGAAGATCACGCTTTCGCATCACCGACACAACTGCGGGCAGTAGTCCGCACAAGTACCGCGATACCGTCCATGTCGACCGTCTTCAACCAGATACCTCTTCATCTTATTGATGCAGTTGTGGCGGCAAGGATTATTTCTGCAGTGAGCGTTCTGGGGCACTGTTATTCACTGCGAGGAGTAGAAGTGGGGTGGGGTGGGTGTGACCTACCTTGAAGCAATCATCGCGCATCCTCTTACATTTGGTACAGGGGAGGTCGGCTTTGTGGGCAAGGTTCTGGGGTTTGTTAGCATATATTAAACTCTTTGGGAAGAGGAGTTATGTTCAAGCAGCTTACAGCGTCGATGCCGTCTTCATCGGCGTCCTCGTTACGAGACAGAACAGTCTGAGCGACACACTGGGGCGCGGCACCACTAGTACAAGTCTCGGTGGCTTCGCAGACCTTGATGTTGACCCAATTGTGGCGGTTGCAGCGCCGGATGATGTGTCGGCGGATGGGATTGAGGTACGCGCACTGCTGGGCGCCCTCGCGACAGTCCTCTTGCCTGGATGAAAACTCGTTGGCGGTAACAGCAGGTTCATCGGCCTCGTTGGTGATCTCACCGTTGAGGGTTGCGACGGTACAGTGAGGTGAAGGGCCTGCGGTATAGATGACCCCGACGTTGCAGATATCGTGGTCGACCCAGTTGTGGTTGATGCAGCGCTTGATTGAGTGGCGGCCAAGGAGGATGATTGGGAGGATAGAGCACTTTTCGTCGCCGTTGTGACAGTCCCCGGTGACGGCAGATTTAGTAAGCTCGTCGGAGACGCTGGTGATAGCGACACCCGAGGCGATCTTGACAAGGCCCATGAGGGCGAGGAGGAAGAGAGCGAGGAGCTTCATGATGAGCCGGATGTGTGTAGGAGTGTGGAAGTGGTCGATGAAGTAGTGTAAGGGATGAGTAGGTTGTTGAGAAGAAGATGTTCGAGAGGATTTGCAATATATGAAGCTACCGGCTATAGGTATAGGAAGAATCTACAGTGAAGTTGGCCGACCAAAGTCGAGGTGAAGGCGACGAAACACGTCATGGGGTCACGCGCTTTTCTCTAAAACTTGCTCATGGATGCTGGCTCACCTTTAATCTGTCGTCGACGAGAAAGGCGTTGAAGAGTGCTCAGCAAGGCCCGCCCTTGGTAGCCGTCGAAGGACGCGCGAGACAGATACATGCCGGCCGCCCAGCTACCGACTTTGAGCTGTGATACCATGGAGCATTTCTCGAGGCTGCAATGTCGCTTTCTGGACCATGTCCCAGATCTATATGCGTCCTACCAAGGCGTTGAGCTCTTTAGAGGTTGTTCGCTGTCGCTTTGGGATAATGGCGTGGTTGTCGTCGCGTGATCACGTGGTTACGTTGTAGCGTGTCGATCGGCTACACCGCCATTGGCCACGGCTCGCTTCTCCATCCCATGCAGTCGTTTCTGTCCTCGCACCCCGCTCAAGACTAAAATTGAACATCCAAAGCGGTCAACGTATGTAACTACATTACCTCTTAAAGTCTGCCAGAGTACATCGTAATGCTAATGAAGGCTGTGGAAGATCTGCTCGATTTCTTCCTTTAATAGGGTTCTCGCAGCTCCTCGCACCACATCTGTCAAAAACATAACGCAAGATGAGGAGCCTCCGCCATGGAAGCGCGGTTATCCCAAGGGAGTTAAGGAGCTCGCAGGGCTTGTAGGGGTCTCCCGAGAGCGAGCGTGGCCATTGCCTAGGATTGACGAATGCCGCAACGGTCATGACTTCGTGAAAGAGCAACGTGGACGAGACGATGTGGCCTTTCCATTCTCAATCTATCATATTGAGCGTTCCGATCCTTTTGTGAAGATCAAGTCGTTGGAGGTCTTGACACGGGCGATTTCCACCAACAACAAGGACGTTGAAACGCTGTACTTCCCGGGCTAGGTCCATGTCACAGAGTCGGTCGTCTAGCCCGTAGCACTACCAGCGCTGCAAACCTTTCAATACACTGACGAGGTGCCTGCTACAGCCAAACGATGAAAGAAATCATCGACGCTCCATTGGAGTTCCGAGAATCAGTCTGCAATATCTATTGCGGCAATCCATCGCGCAAAGGCCCTAGAAATCACAGACGAGACGGTTGCCGCCATGGTTGAGGCGCTGCCGAACCTGGAACACATGCGTATAGATGGTGCACTCAAGGTCACCGACCGCACGCTTTCAGCATTACTCCATTGCGATGACATACAAGTGATAACCCTGACTACGACCCGCGATCGGCCAAACACATTGAAGAAGGAGACGCTGGAGGATGGACCATGGCTCCCACAGCTGAAATTTCTCGAGCTAAGCGGCCAGAAGCTGCCCGGGGATATTATCGACTATTTCGAGTATTGGACTAGCGAAAATAGAAGTGCGCAACTTGGAGCGAGCCTAGAGATCGTCGACAACTTCAGACCATGTCACATTTTCTGGCGTGACGGGTTCCCGCGGTGGATCAAGGACTGGGAGTTTGAGCAGTACGGGGCATGGGATCCCGATTTCGACGAGATGTAGTTGCTCCGCGCGTATAGGACGGACGTATCCGGCGATACCTAGGTACTCAATATGAGATGGCTTTGATTATACGTAGCTGGAATTCGTGGGATTGATCTTGTACCTTGCTCAACGTCATCTCGGCCGGGTGGCGCAGTACAACGCGTCCGCGTCAATAAGTGCCCCTGGACTGCGCCTCAAAATGATTGCTCAAGTGGAGCTGTTACAGCCTAGCGCATCCGGGAGGGACCATCCGCGTGCCAAGTAAAGCTTGGAGAAGCTTGACATCTTGCCGATGAACACTGGTCGCCTCGTCCGAATCGCCATCGTTGTCGGATTTTGGCAGCCTGGCGACGATCTAAAGTCGAATTGAAGCGGATGTTTTTGTTGCAACTTCTTGCTGCTGGCGACCGTGGCTGCTTTTTACCTGATTGGGGAGCGGCACCGCCTCACCGCCTCACCGAGATTACGCCACGTTTCAAAGGTCCGGCCGTTCGCATTTGTTACGCATCGTGAGCCATCTCGAACAGATCTAGCTGCAGATGTAGTGGACCGATTGATGCGTAAGAGGGGCATGAGTAGATCATTCAATAAATACCTCACCCCACCTGCAGCCACATTGACAGACCACACTCAACCTTTTACCAACTTCTCAGTCTACCCAACATCCACCACATACTCACCATGGGTTTCTTAAGCGAACTGATCTCCGATTTCACCAGCTCTGGCTCAAAGGACCAACAGCAACAGCAACAGCAGCAGTCAGGCTATGGCCAATACCCACCCCAACAACAACAGCAGGGCTACTCACAGTACCCTCCCCCACAGCACTCTCAGCAACCACCACCAGTCTCACCACCATGGTATGCTGAGTGGGATCAACGCGAAAACCGTTGGATCTTCGTGAACCAACACAACGGCGAGCGGACCTACGAGTACCCCGGACCTGGCTACGCGCAACAACAAGGCAACTACGGTGCTCCACCATCACAAGGTGGTTACGGCTACGGCCAGGATGGCTACAGCAACCAGGGTGCATACCAGCAAAGCGCATACGACCCAACTCGCAGTGGCCAGCAGCAAGAAGAGAAGAGCGGCGGTAACGGCTGGAAGTACGCCGCAGCCGGCGTCGCTGGCGTTGCAGGTGGTGCACTGCTGATGCACGAGAGCGACAAGATTGGTTCGTAGTCCTCCACTCACCCTGCATACCTACATTGTCACTGACCACTTCCCACAGAAGACGGCTGGGATAGCGCCAAAGCCAACGTATCCAACGGTGTCGACGAATTCGGCAACGACGTCAGCAACTTCCCCGAAAACGCCGCTGGCTGGACTGGCGAACAAGTCGGTCGCGCAGAGAACTTCGGCGACGATGTCGAGCAGAAATGGGACAATGGTGTTCAAGACGTCGAGAACTTCCCGGAAAACGCAGCGGAGTGGACGGGCGAGAAAGTACAGGCTGTGGAGGATATACCGCAGGATATTGAGAACAAGTGGGACAATGTGGAAAATGAAGTAGAGCAGTTTGGTGATAACATGGGGGATGCGTATGATGAGGGGAGAGAGGAGCAGAGGTATGATGATGAGTATTGAGGTGGGGTGAGGGATTGAGTGGATGATGGGAAAGGAATGCAAGGCTGCACGGTAAGACGTGTAATGCTCATCATTAAATCGGACCGTATTTGTCGCAACGTGTACTGTTGTCAGGTCAACTCCATCAGGTCAACTTCAAGGCAGACTTCTTTTACCCGACACGTCGACTGTGTGAAGTAACAGCGACTGTAGAGCCGAGTACGAGAGCAAGGAAAAGAACAGAATCAATCCTTTGTTGTCGAGGTAACTGTATCTGGCGTTGGCAGCGAACTCAGGTCCAGCCTCCATTGGCAAAGCAACACCACAACCCGGCGTAGTCGCTAAGACGACGTAAGGATCTGCCTAGACTCCGCTCCAATACACTGCAGCATCAATTGTATCCGCGCGAATGATATTTACGCATTCTTCTTTCACAGCATGCGCTGCATCTGCTTGGCGGTTGAGGTGAGGTCGCAGAAGTCGGACGCGGGACGCCTTACGGAGGCGCAGTTGCGATTAAGCATATCTTACTCGGGTCCCGTTCCAGCATGCGGGTGGAAGAACGCGGTGAAATGCTACCCCGCCCTGCTTCATCGTGATCGTATATAGTGGTAATGGGTTGCCAGCCTTGTGCTTCACATTACCATCTTCCTCGCGCTAAAAAAAACCTTCTTTCCTCCAGTCTTCCACCATAACCCCTTCTGTCTTCTCCCTGCGATAAACATGACCCATGATACAGCCATGAAGTCCACAGTACTCTCCTTGGCCCTGCAAGCCATTTCCCTCCTCGCCTCGACGACCCTCTTTGCTCTCTCGATTGCAACAGTCGTCCTCGTGACACACTACAGTGAAGGAGTAGACGAAAGAGTTCCAGAAGGTAGCTACACATGGTACGGACCTCTCGGCTCAGGTGAACGCAGAGCGTATTGGGAGGAATATGACGCTGGGAATAGAGACTTCAACAAAGTATATATGGAATATGTGACGAGCAACGACATCTGCGTCCTGGTGAGCGGCTGCGTTGGGCTGGTTGCCGGGTTTGTGGGATGGCTGACGGTGGCCTTCATGATGATGAAGGAAAAGGTATGCTTGAGTATCTCCGATCCCTGAGGGCACTGCTAACAAGTACTATAGAACTCCAAGACTGCTGGCTCACGCTTCCCATGGGTGCTAGCCTGCTCGATCTTCTTTGGCCTCGCCGCCTTCGCGATGTCACTTACCTCCACCATCATGACCTTCGAGACTAAGAAACGTTTGGAACGCTCGACATGCATACCTAGTGCTGCATACTCATCAGACAACCCGTACTTCGTCTGTACGCGCGAGCTAGCTGCTTGCAGCATATTCGAGATGGTTTACATGGAGGATATGGATCACAGCAAAAAGATGTGCAGCGAAGCGCAGGCGAGCAGGAGGATGTTGATTCCGACTTTGATCTGCGCGGTGGTGCTTGTCAGCACGTGGATTACGCAAGCTATTGTGAGCAAGAAGGGAGCTAATGCTGTCGCCGACAAGAGGGTACAGAACTTGCAGGAGCAGGAAGAGGCGAATTAGGGGGCTGGAAACGGCATAAAATCGTACAAAGAATGAGAGTGAGAGGATGTGAGGGTGTTCGAATGAACGTGGGGGTAAGGAAGATATGAATGAGGATAGGAGGTAGATAGAATGGAAGCAATAATGCCATTAGATGATGAGAGATGCATCGATAATTCCACGAAGCAGCGAAGTCACGCTCGTAGAGCCTGCTACGATCCAGTCCAGGCACGGAGCAACTTGCGTCTTTTGACCAATACCCACGTCGATGAGATTTTGTTCAAGAATCGTAGCACGCTCGCAGCCAGTGGTGTCAAGTATACATCAAACGCCGACTCCTTGACCACATCTGTCCTTGCGAAGAAAGAAGTCATCCTTGCAGCCGGAGGCGTCTTCACACCGCATCTACTCATGCTTTCGGGTATCGGTTCGAAGGATGAGCTTTCTGCTGCTGGAATTGCCGTAAAGAAAGACCTTCCTGCCGAGCTATACGCAGCTAACCGTACGGGCCCATGGACCTTTGGACGAGGCAATGCCGCGCTCTTCCTCGCATTCAAAGATTCCTCGACTAAGTACATTGACATAACCGCTCTTATTTCTGAGCAAAATGCCACTGCCTACCTACCACAACGCTATTCTAAGATCGCTACCTTGTTGAACGGCTTCATGGCACAGCGCAAGATCCTTATCGAGCACTACCTCTCTGACAATGCGGCTACAGGCGAATGTCCCATTCAACCTTGGGGTCGTGTAACTACTGCGGTACAAAAACCTCTTTCGCGCGGCATGCTGACTGTCAACACCACGCACCCATCAGCAAATCCCATCGTCGTCCGGAATGCATTCCAAAGCCCTGTCGACAAGTTGGTGCTTGGCGAGCTCGTGCGCTGGAACAGGAAGCATTGGACCACCGCACCCCTACTGCAGCGCTATGCTCCCGTCGAAACTGTGCCGGGCGCACAATACCAGACCGACGACGAAATGTTTGACGCGAGTATCGAGGCAGCTGCTTTGGACCCGGCGTATGCGCATTCGAGCGGCGCATGTGCGCTGATGCCGGAAGAGTTGGGTGGATGTGTGGATCCGCAGTTGAGAGTCTATGGTGTGCAAGGGTTGAGGGTGGTGGATGCGTCTATCTTGCCGTTGATACCGGCGGCGCACCTGCAGGTAACGGTGTATGCTGTTGCGGAGAAGGCTGCGGATATCATCAAGGGAGTTTGATCAACCTGATTCTGAAGGAAAATCGATGTCGCAATGCTTGTCAAGGAACAGGGCCGGTGCGCGCATCTTGTGGACTGGCGGGCGGGCGAAGTGAGTCGCGCCTGCCCGCTGGACGCCTGCCGCTGCCGGGAATGGATGCCTGGAGCGCATCACGGCTGCTCTCATCTGCGCATGCGTCACGTCAACACTGCTACTCATATCATAGTACATATCCTTCCAGACCCTTCTTGCGTGTCGATAGTCTTACCATGGGGCTATCCTCAAGCACGATCGGCCCACCGGTTGATCCCTTACACGTGTTCACAGGACAAGGTGATGAGCATTGGCATTCCTTCTAATAGAGTACTGATACAACTTACTAGGCCAGGTGCTGGGCCTGTTGTTAGACGAATTGTATATCTACTCAGAAAACCCATTGAACGGGCTGCGCAGACTTTTTGAAGCAAGATCAACATGTGATTATGAAGGCGGGCCTCCATGTAATGTAATCTGCTCACAAACAGGTCTCTTTCTCACTCAAGCAGATTGGACGGTTGATACCTTCGTTCGCTACCTGGTTCAACGCAATCCCGACGTGGCCGCCGCAATCAGGAGGGCTGGACCACTGCTCTACCAGATCTTGGTACATTACGGATCATTGCCATTCCCTGTCGACGAAGATAAACGCATGACATGCGGTTCCTTCCTTCGCGGCATCTACATGCTGTCTAAAAACAACCATCGCGTTCTCTCGCACCAAGTTTCCAGGTGGCAGGGCGACGAGCCAGTCACTAGAGCAAGAGAGCCAGCAGACGATACGCGAATCTTGTTTCAGAGCATTGCTACTGGTAACCCGCGCACATTCCAGAATCCAGGTCATCGCTCAGAAGATGACGACGAGGATCTCATCGATGTACTCTTCAGGCTCGGTGAGACCATTCGCGAGCGGCGATCCCCCAAACACGGCTTCAAGCGTAAGGACGTCATATCAGCTGCGCCTTTGCTTCCCAGTTCGTATTCGAGAAGCTTGGAAGGGTCTGTATCTGTACGCGACTTGGAGGTCTTGTTGGACTTGATTGTTTCATTGATCAGCAGACTGTTCGGCGTTGCAGAGCAACCGGTAAACCAGGCCGTCGTTCAATGCATCATCGAGGGCTTTCGACAGAATTCTAGAGATATGACCTCCGTCGAGTGGCCGACGTTTCGAGACACCATACTGTCCTCGGTTGTAAGGCAACCCCTGCCATCCTGAGTTTGTACAGACGCTCATCAAATCCTACCCCAACTTACTTTCGGTACTAGAGGCATTTATCGAGCAGAGCTTCGGAATCACCCCGGACTTTTGGCACGGGCTACTGTACCCTCTGGCCATAGCAGTATGTGAAGCCTGTCTGCAAGTGGATACACAGTGAGAAACTGATCCACGATAGGGCGTCTACAAAATGGTTGTTACGTCCAAAATCATCGCTGTAGAGCAGCTTGCGCAATTGTTCCTGATCATGTGTAGTGGATATGGTCTGGCGCCGGACAATCAGGCCATTATTGTGCCATTACAACCTGGCAGCACTAATTTCCAGGCCGATATGCGACATATCACCAACATCACGACGCTTTTACAAACGCCGGACCATCTACTCATCGTGCAAGCCAGGGAAGATATATCGGAAGCTGCGTATCAATCGACGACTTTTTGCGTTTACACAGGCGCGCTTGGAGAACTTCAAATCCACGACTTGGATCGTCCTCGGGTTCGGTTCCGTAGACCTGGGGAGAAATAGTCGATTTTTCGACTTTCTCCTGTACACCGTGTCTTTCAGAAGGGGATAAATGACCCAAAAGATACTTTAGAGGTATTGACAGAGCAGAATGGCGTGAGGATCACCACTAGAGCCCTAAGTCTTACTTTCAACGATTCGCTGCGCCATTTAGAGATCAATGGAGGCTCGATGGCTTTCGAAGGCAAGGTCACCGCACTCGAGATCTGGAATGTGGGATATGAAGGATGAGATGCCCCGACCATGTATGTTAGCGAATGAATGTTCCAAGGTTGTTCTTGAACAAGCTTCCTCGCGCCCTAGGCAGCGTTAGTAATAGCCTTCCGGATAGAGTATAGGGCTAACCGTTTGTGGTGTAGCGCAATGCAAACTTAGAGTGAAAATGTTTCCGACCCTCTGGTTTCCCCCGCACCACCAATCCGCTACAAGCAAAATGACGTGCTCCGTGGCAAGCTGTGCGAAATGCGCCAGAAGTGTAATGATCGCTGACTCGCCTGCGAATTATGGGTATCGCGCTCGTGCTCAGTAGAGAAGTAAGCTTCGCCATGAAAAGCTTCCATGCGCCAGCTCTGAGCTTCAGCTCTTACATCGCATCGCATCACCGTGGTAGACCTCGCTCCAACCATGGCGACCACTGACCCTGAAAAAGATCCTCATGATGTCGCAGCGGTGTCGCCCGAATCCCTGGACCGGATACCTTCCCATCTCGTCAATGAAGACCGCCTCCGACGCTCTCTCAGTGCCCGACAGGTGCAGATGATAGCCATCGGAGGCACGATCGGCACTGGACTCTTTCTCGGAACTGGCAAAGCTCTCGCAACTGGCGGACCGGCTTCGCTCCTCATCTGCTACTCGATCGTCGGCTTCATCGTCTTCTGCACTATGCTATCTCTTGGCGAAATGGCTGCCTTCGTCCCCGTCGCAGGCTCCTTCTGCACATTTGCCGGTCGCTACGTGGACGATGCGTTTGGTTTTGCGCTAACGTGGAATTACTGGTTCAACGATGCTGTCAGCACGGCGGCAGATCTGGTCGCTTTGCAGCTGTTGATTCAATACTGGAGCGATAGCGTCCCATGGTATGCCGTTGGCATAGCGGTATGGGTGCTGATCGTGTTGGCGAACATCATCAACGTCAAGGCCTATGGCGAGCTGGAATATTGGTTGAGTCTTTTGAAGGTGGTGACCATCATCATCTTCATTATCCTGAGCATCGCGGTCAATGCTGGTGCCAACACCGATTATGGGTACATTGGAGGCAAGTTCTGGACCACTGGAGATGCGCCATTCGTGGGTGGTATTGGAGGCTTTGCATCGGTCTTCGTCACTGCATCTTTCGCCTACGGTGGAACTGAGTCCATCGCAATCACGGCTGGAGAGACGCGCGATCCAGCACGCACGCTTCCAAAGGTCGTGAAGAACGTCTTTTGGCGCATTTTGCTCTTTTACATCCTCACGGCCATCATGATTGGATTCAACATACCCTACGATTATCCCGGTCTCTCAACGAAGTCGTCACGTACATCGCCTTTCACTATCGCGTTCCAAATGGCCGGCTCGAAGGCAGCTGGATCGTTCGTCAACGCAGTGGTCCTCACAAGTGTCATATCGGCAGGCAACCATGCCCTCTACGCCGGCTCGCGCCTACTCTACACACTCGGAGCGAATGGACATGCGCCCAAAGTCTTCACGAAGCTGACACGATACCAAGTTCCATGGATCGCAGTGCTGACGACTAGCTTGGTGTCCATCGTACTTTTCTCGCTTTCTTTCGTCGGATCGGGCCAACTGTGGACCTGGCTGCAAAACATTGTGGGTGTCTCAAATCAACTGAGCTGGATATGCATCGGCATCTCTTCGCTGCGTTTCCGCGCAGGCCTCAAGGCCCAAGGAAAAGAACACCTGCTACCCTTCCGAAACTGGATGTACCCTTGGGGCCCTTACATCTGCGTTTTTCTGAACATCTTCATCGTGCTAGTCCAGGGATGGTCGTCCTTTAGCCCCAAATTTGCCGCCGTGGATTTCGTTAGCTTCTACCTTGAACTTCCTATCTTCCTATTGATGATTGTCGGCTGGAAGCTTCTAAAGAAGACCGAGTTTAGGAAAGCGAGCGAGATGGATCTTGAGACCGACGTCTATACCAAAGAAGACATGGAGCCAGTTAAGAAGGGATGGAAAGGCAAGAGCAAGAGAATCGGCACGTGGTTTTGCTTTTGAGGACCTGGAACTCTGCGCTAGGCTATACATACGAAGAATCATTCCTTTCTCCCTGAGTTCCCCGGGACATACCTAACGGTGTTCTTTGTATCTCGTACCCACGCGCTAACAATACGAGTCCTAGCGAATGCACTTTGACTAAGTTTATCTCTTCGTACCAGACGCGTCGCTGCTCTCCATCCGGGTGCACTATCATTTCGTTGAATATGGACAAGCGTATGAGCGAGGTTTCATGTAGCGTCGAAGGCTTCTTGAATTATATGCCTCGGCTGGCGCGTACCCAGCAAACCGAAGGATATTTCAGCATCCGCAGCGGTTCGGGGGCCGAAGGATGAGCTCAGAGACACGGACAGTACCTGCATCAGCTCGACATCAAGATTCCAGGTGTCGCAATGCATCGCTCTGCACAGTTCATCAGAGAGACGACTACCTGTAGCCCTATGGCGACCGGCAAATTTTGCCCACGCATTGAGATCCCTATCGCAACATATCGGCTCCATGCAGGACCTGGGATTAGGAGGCTCCCAGCCCCGCCACGACGGAACGCCTGCTTGGCGGGCGCCAACCAAACCATGATTGGACTAAGTCGCATTTTATCCGCCTCTCAAACCCCCGGCCCAACGCTGCCCGTGCTCTAAGGCTACGCCCCGCATATCCACTAATCCTCAATCGCGTTCCCGTGCCTCATGCACCCACTCACAGCCGTCGAACATGACCAGGATGTCGTGATAGTCGGGCGTACTTAAAATGACACGATGGTTGGGGTCCAAAAGACAAAACCCACTTTGCGACGAGGTCGCGGACCTTGAAAGCGACTCTGTCGCTCTTTCCTCCACCGATTCGAGCAGTGCATGCGCTGCTTGCCCTGGTACTGTGATCTATACGATTCCCTCAACAATTCGCCATGATTTCTCTCCTCTTGCAATTAGGTAGTATTAGTGTCGCTGCTGCGGCACTGATACCTGCCGCAATGCCTGCACCTACAGCTCCTGCAATGCTCCCAAGGCAAGACCCTGCAAATGGCATTGTGGTTATGGGATACGAGCTCATCGGCACGCAAGACGACGAGCCGGTCTGTAAGTACACTGATATGTGAGCTCGGTTTTGAGATGCGCTTATCTGACCTGGCAACAGGGTCGATCAAGACTTTCCCTCAGTCCGACGGCTATCTTTTTACAACAGGCAGCCTGTATCAATCGTGCAAAGCGTCATCCGCTTTCGAGATTGATGGCACGACTACGACCTCCCCCTTGCCAAAGACAGGTTGTGAGGCGTGGACGAGCTGCTCACATACAACGGTGTATGGGTCTGGAGGAGTAACTAGTACCTGGTAAGTTCAGCTCTTGCGCGTAGACTTGGCCCTTTTAACCATCTGGACAGCGACGGAGATTATGGGCTTTGCTACTCGGACATCATGTTTACCACCTTCGGTGCTTCCGATGCGTACACGCGTATTTATTGCGATTGGACAGGCAGCCATCCGTTGATGTCGACGACACTTTACCAAGCGCTTCCGGCTAACGGTACGTGACATTGCGCAAGTGCTATGTTTGACTTGTTACTGACGTGCTGTAGTGGATTCAACGTCAGTCGCGTCCCAACAGGCAGCCTCCAGTATACCTGCATCGAATAGCAACCCGTCCATCTCGGCACCTACCCCGTCCCCAACGTCGAGCCCGGCCAGCGAGCAGAATCAATCCCCTGGTGGAAGCAGTGGTTCAGGCAGTACAGCCATAATCGCCGGAAGCGTCGTTGGTGGGCTTGCGGTCATCGCATTTGCCGGCGTCGCCATCCTGTACATCCTCAAGCGCTCTAAGCGCCATCCCGCGGGTACTCCCGTCCCGTCGAGCGACGGTGATTCCATGAATCCGTATGGCACGCCAGAAATGACTAGGAACGGATACCCTGAGGCGCAGGCGTATACGTACACGGCGACAAAATACGGACACGCCATAAACGGAGGCGAACTCGATGGGCAGCATGGCACCGCTGAATTGGGCGGCATCCCGCTTCACGAAGCAGAGGGCCGACGATGAGGTGAAGAGAAGGAGGGAGGAGCGTAGAGTCGGTCACGAAAAGGGCCAAGAGGGCAGCGATGTAGTGTTGTATGCAGCCGCCCCAGCAGTAGTGCATCGTCTGGTCGGCTTACGTACCGCTGCTGGTTCCCGCCCCAAGACGATACGAGTAAGACGTTCAGCCAATGTCTCGAGACGAAGTCGTCCCTTAAAAAGAATGACAGCGCACCCATCGATCACGCGACGCATGCAACCCTTACTTTGAGTCCATGTTCGACGGTCAGCAAGGCAGCATCTGCGCACTGCGACTAATACTGGCCATACTGACCACGAGTCAGTGCCCCGAAGTGGCAGTGCTGCTGCGCTATTTAGGCCTCGATCTGGTACCCGCGAATCAAAGCGATGCTGACGTGCTCCGCAATTTAGCCGCACCATAGGCCAGCCTGCTCACCACATCAACACCTACAAATGTAGATGCTGCGCATACAGCTGACATGAATTAGATTCTGTCCAGTTACTGCGGTTCTTTTCATACATGTGCTCCACGACAGAGAGCCTCAGCTCTTATTTCCCGCAGTGATTTCCATCGAAGAATATCCTACAGTATGAGAGGGTACAGCCACGCACGTACGTCTCTGCCGAGGTCTGGCCGAACGCAGGTCTTTCAGACTATGGGTAGTCGGTGATCCTAGCAATCAATACGAAGTAATACTAAGGACTTCATTTCTTCGAGACTGTGGACATCCTCTCTTGTTTCGACTTTGTTTCCTCTGCTGCATCGCGAACGCCCGCTTCTACATTCTTCAACATTCACAACCCCAACATCAGGATGCCTGGGTGCAGCCTATCTCATCGCATACTCTTCATAAGCTCTATTCTACTCTTGATCGTATCTATCGTAACACTCTGTCTTACTGGTCACGCGAAATGGCTTTTGGTCCGATACTTTCCTGCTGATGCTTGGTACATCTGGAGAGGAACAGATGATACGTATGACGAGCAGCAGACAACTCAGCAGTGGATTGCTGTTGCCTACAACGAGACATACGATAGGCTGGCCCTTGTGCGAGCAGTACTAGGCGTTGTGGCTAGTGTGCTAAGCATTTGGATCATGCGAGCGAAGCCCAGAGCTGTAATGGAAGAAGATACCCAGGTACTATTCTTCATGATCACTGTAGCTTGATCGGGGCTCACAACGTATCCAGAATTTTCAAAACTCATTCCGAGGCAAACCTATATACATCACAGCTGTGGTGCTCGCAGTCATATCGTTCGCCAGCACACTTACATCCGCGATATGGTCCTCGATCTTGCATTACCAATCATCCAAGCGTTGCCAAATACCGACGGTGTTGGCCAAATACAACAACAACTTCAAATGCACGCGTGAGCTAGCGACCTGCGTTATGTTACCCGTCATCCGGAAAACGGATGATGCAGCAAGGAGGCTTGCGTGTGTGGAGACTGTAAGATTGAAGTCAAGAAAACGAATTGGAAGACCGCAAGCTGACTGTTGTGACATACAGAAAACTACTCGGTGGCTGCTAGTCCCTATGCTCGCGTTAGGGTTGGCGTTAGTCGTGGGGTATGCTGTGCAGATCTGGTATCTGAGGAGACGGGCGGCTCTCGAACAGAGAGCAGAAGATAAGGTTACTGTGCTGGAAAAGGCGGACTGACATACGATCTTTGCAATACATCATCATTCCATACGCAAAAGTTTTCTCGAATGAGAGAGATCGCAATCACCAGAGATTGATGCTACCGGCAGGTTCATGACAATTGCATGCAGCGCTTGCAGCAAACATTGTGCTTAACATAGGTCACATCGTTCAGCCCACCAAGAACCATCTTCATCATGGAACCCTCTAAGTTTTCCAATGAGATTTTCGACATAAGCCTTCCGAGGTTGCCAATCAAGGATCTGCTGCGCTGCGAGCGCGTCTCGAAGTATTGGTGCGAACTTATCAGGGACGGACCCGAAACTTCTAAGACTTTAAGGAGGAAGCATTTGCGGACGGAATTATACACCCTCTCTAGAGTCGTTTTGCCCTGTACCCGGATCGCTGCTCATCGATCACTTCTTTTTGCACCCCTAAAGGTCACCTTGCCTCTCGCAACAGGTTGCTTCGTACCATCAACAGCTGGGATCGGATGTCTAATCCACAGGCACCTTGGCGATCCATGTTCATAAGCTGGCCTCCGCTTAAGGGATTGAATTTGCATGTCAAATCGGGCATAGCTCGCAACTACTACCGGCGAAAGCCCATAATCATCTCTAGGCCTGCAGGCATCACACTGAATCATCGTTTGAACGAATGGCTCAACGATTGCGACCAAAGAGTGGCCCCCGAAGTTAGAACCGGGTGAGCTTTTCAGATTCGTTCCTGTATATGATCTGGGGATGAACGAACTAGAGACTTAGTGGGAGAAAGGCATCATGGTTATAGTAGCGCTTTCAGTAATGACATGCAGCAAGCTCCAGTCACTTCACCAATGAACATCTTTTGTACACAGATGTATTTTTGATATAAAGCCCCCGGGGAAGCGGTTATTATCCCAGCAACCATGGAAGTCAATTTCTGCGTGGACAACATATATTGTGAGGACTCTTCATTCATTATTTTGTAGGTAACTTCATAAAATGTAAAGAGTCTGCATTACAATTATAGGGTGAAATAAGATCAACAGCTCGATTATGCCATTTGTCCCCTCACCGCACCAGGTAGCGCCAAGCTGGAATGAGTGTCCGCCATGAAAGCCGCTGGGTTGGCTTCGATCATGCTAACATGGAAGCCCTCGCCTGAATCCTTTCCTTCAACCATGACACCAGTCGTAAATGGGCCCTTGATACATCCTGCGCTGTTCCTAACCGTCTCGCTTCCCTCCACTAGCTCCGGGTTCGGGAATGAGATTCTGGGTGGTCCACTAGCACCGCGCGCGGCCTCGTGGATATGCGTCGCCGTGGTTGCGGGAGAGTCGAATTCGCCTTGGAAGTTGTGCAGCGTAATATTGTAGCAGATCATGTTGGAGGCGCTGTTGATGCCGAAGTTGAAGGTGCCGGATGCGCCGGCAAGACCACCGGTTGGCTCGGTTCCGTTGACGACTTCTTCCGGGACAGCATGAACGAAGTGCGTTGAGGAGAAAGCGAACAGCTGCTGAGCGTCGATAGCGCTGGCCGCGACAGCATCTTTGCCGCTCAGGTCGATGTTGATCTGCAGCTGCATGTGACCATTGCCGATGTCGAGAGGTGATGCTGCGACTGGCGCGGCGGCTGCGCCCAGCGCCAGGCTTGCAATGGTGACGAATGCGGCGGTATACATTATGGTGTAATGAGTTGCAAGAACGTGTATTGTAAAAAGGTGTGCGGTAGATGTCTTGTCAAAAGAACGTGTAGAAGAGAAGAGAAAGAAGCGAAGGAATGAATGAGTGTGGTTGAAGAAGGACTGGTCAACAGCGAATTATTCCTACCGAGCTCCTCGTAGCGTGGCTTCCGTCTCGTTATATACCCCCTAAATGTGGTGATGCAGCGTACGTGGATGCCTTAGCACCAAGGCTTGGTGTTGGCCTGGAAGTTGTTGTCCCGATATTTGAGGCACCTTTGTAACACATGCTGGGTTTCGCGCACCTTGGCCAACACCAACAGCCGACTCGGCGCCTTGGAAGCATCACCCATCGATGCATTCTATAAACATTCAGCTCGAATGAACGGTTGACTTGCGAATTGCATCGCCCGAATTAGTATGCGCACGGGTGTAGAGGCTGATAATACACATCGCCAATTTGTCGCGGGTTTTCGTCCGCCAAGTGGCAAAACATACGATGTGAATATCTTGGATTGTACCAAGGCGCATCCTGGCTACAGTGGATGACTCTTCCAGTTATAATCTTATCGCAGAATACTCCTATTGATATCTTTGTACTCCGATCTTAGGCTCTCTAGAAGGAAGGGTACGCTCGAGGTATCATGTGAGCCATGAATAACCTGAACGGCTCTTTGATCAGCAAGGCATGAGTCGGTCCGCTCTCGTGACTCTCCAGATAGGAATACATGCTTTGATATGCCGTTATGTGTTCAGCTGTCTACGCTCTTTCGAAGGCTGAGATTGGCTTCTTGGGCTCAGGTGCGTGCTGTGAATGGAAGAAATCCCTGAAAAGAATCAGAGGACGAGATGTTCCCACAACGGCTTGAAAGCAAGGAACTGGACTAGAGCTCATATCAGCACTAGACCGACATACATTGCTGTGATGGTGGTCTCACAATTCGTACTGATGGTGAACGAGAGTGTACAGGATAGGAGCAGGTCATGACGCCATGGATGGTCATAGCTTCCCAGATTGGCTGACCCACCAAGAAGGACACTGATCATCTTCATCACAGCACGATGCCCGCGCACCTCGACAACGCGCTCTGAGCGTCGGAACTCGAACCCACAGATACTGGCGCCAGCTTTGTTGATGGTACCTTTTCTTGACGCGATGGGACGTTGGCAAAGGGGTTCGGTGCAATGACCGCCGGTTTCAGCCACTGTTCAGCTCCAGTTTCGTCCATCTCTTGGATCTGATCCTTCTCTACTTTTCGACAAATTCAACTCTTCAAATGAGAACTCCACGATACTCGACTACATCTTCTGACAACACTTTCCTCAATGAAGAGATACCGCAAAGATAAGAGACGGAGAGAATGTGAGACGTTTCGACGCTTCGACGCGGAGGTCAATATCAAAGGGAACTTTGCTTTGCGCTGCATTAGGTCTTGATTTTGTTCATTACGCATGTATTAATACACTATATGAAGTGAAGTAGATATTGGTATCATATAGCAGTCATCCTCTCACACCCAACTAAAGTCCAGCACCAGCACCGGGGAACTTGGCAAGCAAAGACTTGTCATACTTGGCAAGATCAGGGCAGCCAAGCTTCGCAAGGATAGGATTCAGGGCATCGGTCAACTTCTGCACAGCAAGCAGAACGTTGCCGAGGAGGCCCTTCAAGATGTCCGGACTAGCGGAGTTAACAGCCTGGAATGCGAAGCACATGAGATTGTTGTCTTCGAGCAGGGTCTCTGCGTTGAAGACACCGCCAGTAAGATCCGCGATGTTGACGCCTGTGAAGGTGTTGGGCTCGCCAGTGTTGCCACCGAGGACGGCCATGTAGGGAAGGGCTTGGAGTGCGCCTACGGCATCGAGGGTGAAGGCTGCGATTCCGTAGTCGTCACCGATGGCGCGACGGTACCACTGCGGCGGCTGTTAGTAGATGTAAATGGCTGATGATGAATGCAGAGTCAACTTACGTTCTCGGGAATCTTCTCTTGACCTCGAGCCCACTTGAAGCTGCCTTTCTCTCCCGTGACGCCTTCAAACGACTTGAGGGTCTCTCCATCGAGATAACCTTCTGGGTACTCTGCAGAGTGGTTCGCGAAGAAGTGGTAGGTGAACAGGTAGGTCGCAGTGTTGATAGCGTAGTGGGTCAAGGGTCCAGCCCAGTAGTGTCCGTTGGTAGCGACAGAGTTGTTGTATCGTGAGCCACGGAAAGGATGCATAACGGTGAGATCGTAGCCGTTGGGACCGATAGGCATGGCCATGAGTTCCTCGAACTGAGGGAGGTTCAGTGATACCGGGTTGCCGCTAAAAGCTTGTCAGTCATACTCAATGCGTGGTTGGTAGTGAGAGTCGTACTTCTTGTATAGGTCCTCTCGTGTGGGAGAGCAGTCAGCTTCGAAACGGTTGTGTGTTCCACTCATACCCTGCGGCTTTCCGACGAGACCAAGTCCAGTAGTGAGTCCACCAAGCAGGCCTCCGCTGGGCGGGCCACCGATGGAAGACGAGACAATGTCGCCGCCCATAACGGTAGCAAGGACTGAAAGGAAGGCGGAGAGCTCGAGACCCATACCGAAAACTATCATACTGTAAGCAATTTGGCTGATGACCATGTGGAAATATGCTTACCTTCGTTCGATGCAGTAGTCAGCTGCGTGACGGATGCAATTCCATTGCGGGGGAGATATCCATGGTTTGCCATGACGTTCAGACCTGGGCATGGTCCACGAAGGTCATCCTTGCCAGGTGCAATCTGTAGGTGGACTTGTTAGAAATTGATGCAAGAACAAGTCTTCCATCTTAAGAGTCCACCTACATAACGGTGTTCACCCGTAGTGCTGATACGCTGAGCTTCCGCATCGAAACCAGGTGGCAGGATGCTAGCACCAAGTTGTCGCTTGGCTAAGTTGGCCGGCATCTCCTCGACCGCTCTTGTGATCTTTGCCGCCAGTTCTGTAATCTCTGCGAGCCCCTCATCACTGAGATCAGCAGGGAGGTTGTTGAGGAGATTGGCAGGGAAGGCAACGGCTGCCCATGAAAAGAGCGTAACGCTGAAGAGAGTGGATGCCTTCATGTTTGCGACAGGAACTATACAAAGACTAAGGAGCGTGTATGTCGATGACAGGTGAAAAGCAAATTGGCAGTTGAAGTCTTATTATATGCAGAAGAGTTGGAGGTGTTCACGGAGAATGATATGAACGCCACCAATCAACCATGGCGAATTTCGTAGCAAAAGTTTAATTCAGGAGTGGTATGCCTGATCATCGCGCTGAGATCATGTACGTAGCTGTAGGATGGCAAACCTTCTGCGCGAGCGTAGAACAATGACTCTGTTCTATAGATGAATGACCGACAGAAGGGCCGAAGTTAGGGAAAGAGAATGGTGGTGCAGCCTCGAATATGCGCCTGACATGCTAGAGACATCGACTAATGCCGATCGGCTTATCACGTCATTTTCGATTGGTCGGTGGATAATTCCGATGCTATCGGTCGCAAGGGCGACAAGGCCCCTGATGCGCGCATAGTGCGATTTGGGATCCGGGGACGCTAGGCGTTGTCATGGTGGTGGGCGTGCAGAGGCGCTACCTGGGAACCTGCCGCATCGTGGAGGCGGGTCTGTAGATCAGATGCCGCTAGCCGGGAGAGAGCGGAGCCAGGAACCGGGCAGAAGCGAATGAGAAGACTGCGACGAGAATCGGTCTTCAGGGTCCTTTCGCCCCTCATTACTCATGTTCTGGATGTTCGAAGAAAGTAATGCGATACTTGGGATGACAAGACTGGTCAGTAGTCATAGAGAGCGTTTTCAGGGTGATGCCGATTCGCGGCCGAGAACTCGTGAGCAGACATCTTCGTTATGGCATTATTCGTCTCTAGCTATCGTTCGTAAGTTCGGCTACAGCCTTCTTATGTCTTCTATGTGCGTCTGAATATGGTCTGCCAAGGGCCAACCGTCATTATGTATGGGTGCGCGTGACATGGACTCAGGCAATGAGTCAGGAGTTGCAGCCGTAACCCTTCCAGTCTTCTCGTCGACGATAACATCATCCAGCTCTATGTACTCCTCTTTGGGGCCACGCTCCAGGTCGTCGACCAAAGAATCTGTGCTGGTGTTCTCCAACGTGCGGGATGTGTTCTTGTTCAATCGTCGTGCGCTGTGATTTGCAAGCGTGCTCGCATTGTTCGAAGGGTTGGAAGGAGTGCTTCCAGTTCCAGTAGATTTCGATTTGTTGCTTCGGCTCGTTGAGTTGTGGTAATGCGAGATAGCCGTGTTGACCGCTTGCTTGAAGAAGACGCGGAGTACCGGGATGGATGTGGCAACAACAGTCATGGCAGTGTCTGCTGTTGACCAAATGACGGAGTTGTACGCTTGGTCTGCTTTGGTTAGCCTATTTAAGATAGAGCACGTCGATGACTTACAAGAAAGATCTTGAGTTTGGAGCTGTTCGACATATTTGGCTCGGAGAATAGACGTGACTCCTGCTAGGATGCCCAGACTCATGGCAACACCAACTCCAATCTTCTCCGCGGTCCGCATCTGTAGCTTCCAGAGGACCTTCCAAGGCAACAATGCTAGAGAAATGTCCATGATTGCGGCCCATATAGCCTGAAATCTTCCGTATATTACGGACGGCATCTTGTCGATACATGTGCCGGGAAGGATATCAACAAAAGTCTTCGTTATTGGCTTGCACAGTACCCAGGGAAGGACAGCAACTGGTACTGCAAATATGAAAAGTGTGGCGATGGCAAACCAAACGTAGGCCTTGAGCCATCCGTCTGTCAACCGAAGCAGAGTGAGCCCGAACGAGATCTTGCTGAGAATAATGCCCATAATGGAAAAGGTGAGCGCGGATGCGCCATAATACGTGATACGTTCGAAGTGGCTGAAGTCAACTAGTCAGAAAGTCAGAGAAAGGTCGACTGGAGGGCCGTTTGCAATGTCTTACTGTCGAGCGCATGCTTTCCAAAACCAAGGTTGATGCTAAGTTGGTTCAAGATCAGTTGACCAAGGAGCAGGAACTGTGGTGTATCAGCGATCTGGGATTCGTTTCGATCTCCCGGCTCACTTACCCAGCTGATGATGAGTACAATGTCGTCAAACCAGAACTTCTTTTGGGAACGACGGATCCAACAGCGAACGACCAGAAAGGCGAAAGAGATTCCACCAAGTGACCATGTCGAGACACTCATCAACATCGAATGCGACTCATTCGGGTTGCTGCGCCAGTTATCGAATTGGGTAGACATCTTGCTCGCGCTCGCGGGGGTCCGAGGGGTCGGATGCGATGGGAACGTCCGGTCGGTATAGGTATATTGATGTCCAACGGAGTTCCATCCAAAAAGGGCTGTGTTCGTCCGGGATGAGGGAACAATCTATAGGTAGCGATGCTCCGCAGGTGTCGAAATGTAAGGCATAAACTATAAGATAGGCTAGTGCCTGAGACTCTTCCGCATCCCAGGGTCCGGCGAAGATCTCGCCGGGCTCGATCGCAGAAGCTATCGCGATATGGTGTTTGTCAGGTATGCAATTCATTGGAAGGTTTATGCCTATGTGCCCAAGACTATCTCAAAGATGTGGGTATTCGCTGGCCGAACCTCGTCTCGGTGTGAACGTTTCTAGTACGTGCTTGGGGCTTGTCTGACTCGGGCCTGAAGCAAGAGCCGGTAAGCATCAGGTTGGCTTGCACCCTCGTCATGTTCCAGATATGTGACCAATCGCGGTTTTTGCACTTCGCACTGGCTTGAGTGAACGACGGCCCGAGCGATGATCCCTCTACTTGGCCGCTTGGTGCACGCGCCAACAACGGGCCCGTCTGTTCCGGCAGTCAAACCATCGCGATTTTCAGGTCATGGGCGGGACTTGTAGAAACTGATGCCAAGATGCCTTTGATCGTAGTCGCAGATCTTATTCTGTAGCAAGAGTGGGTCGGCTTCCGTTATCGCACTAGGACGAGCGCGCAGATAGACTGATGCTCGGTCGTCACCCTTTATTCTGATAAAGTTCAATGAAAGCCGGGTGCGCAATCGACAGCCGCGGCTTTGGGCGATCTGGAACCTGCCGCGCTCGGACTTATCTTGGGGATGCCGGTGAAATTATGACCACGAAGTCACGGGGGGAGGTTGGACCCAGCAACATCGCACCTTAGTCTGATGAGTATGCGCTGAGCAAATGTTGGTAGGAGCTGCGGTAGGTAAGTCAAACAACTTCCAATGCAGCGATGTAGGGATATCGCAGGTACCGCAAACCTAGTCGAATGGCGCAACATGTTGTGGCAACATTGCGCGACGAAGTTTTCGGCAAACTTTTCGTAAAGATGATCATTGATAGGATGTCAGTTTCCTCCCACGTTAGATGGTGTCTGCGTTTTCGTGAGTGAGGTGCCAACGACAGGTCAGCCACTTCGGCGTACCTAGTGGCCTGCGCGTGTATCAGCACCTCTTTCACAGATGATAACAATGTGTCTGTCGTTACGATGGTTGCTACCCAAAACCCCGCATCCATCGTTAGCAGCGAGCCAATCGATACAAGAGTGTGGCGCATTGTGACCTGGACTGGTCGTGTTGGTTTTGGTATAGGTTCGAAGACGAGGCGAACAGCCTTGCACAGCTAACTGTCGCTTGCCTTACCGCAAGTGGACTTATACTAGACAAATCAACCGAGCACCTCTGGTTCGTCGCGCCCAGTTGCTACAGACACTGCCGACGAATTGGATTCCGCTCTGGAGCGGATGTACGGGTGTTGAATAGCTTACACTACAAGGTGATATTGTAATAGTTGGTATACCTGATGCAAGATGCGATAACACACTAACGGTGACCTGTAGTGCATCAACAGCGCTCTGCAGCGGTCGTAAACTTTGTGATCCGCACCTTGTTCTGTTCCTTACAGCCACACTTGATCAATGGACATTCGTTCGAGTCAACCTTGTGCTGAGAAGCAGCTGTTCGTGGTCAGGTCGTTGCGGTTGCTCAGCGGAGTGGCGCGCTTCAATTACCCGCCAGGCATAGGCACGAGAGTTCAGGATACTTGCATGCGCACCATGCGCTGACCGCGTTCGTCGATTACTCATAGAGGGCGGCATATTTCTCCATGTCTAAGTTTCGGGATCTAAACTTTGCTTCGTGGGCCAACCAGCAACTAGGCAGCTGGAATCTGAGGCAAGGTTTTCGGAGCGGATCGGCCAGCCTAGCTTGTTCGGGTTCGCACTCGCCATGGACTAAATCAACACCATCTCCCCTCCTGGATCCCTTCTACGTCAACCTCATATGTTGTGGAGTGTAGGGCTTCTACGCTAAGGCCCAAATTTATGCGTTGGAGCCCACCATCCAGGATGCCAGAGAGCCGGCACTCTCAGACGACTTCGATCGAGGTAATAACTTCGGAGTTTTGGCCTTCGCAGCGATGACCTGTGCGTATGCATAAGGTTCGATATCTTATCTCGTAAATCGAACTCGAAAGAAGAAGGCATGTGAGGAGCTCCAATGCTCACACTAAGTGACGCGCACACCTGATGGGCCCAACAGGATAGGCTTCAGGATTCAACACAGACAGGCCATGCGCCTTGGCAATTGGTGTTAATGGAGTGCCGTCATCGCGATAACGTTGAGGTTGGAGGGAGTCCGGCTCAATCAGTCGGATTGGTGCGGAATATGTGACCAGTAGGTGAAAATTGTCTAGCTGAAGAGGGGGGCTGGGACAGGCAAATGCCGCTGTCACCTTTCGCTCAACGTATGTGTGTCGACGAGGAAGAGAATACGCGCTTGTCGAGCGCTGGGCGCGAGGCTGGGATGAAGTTCGATGGAAGAGGTGACCAGACGCCTTCCCTCGGAACACGATTCGAAGATACTCACGTGATTTATCATGTGATAGCCTCCGCATCTTGGCACCTGGGCAGCTACCCTGACGGGAAAGAGGGGCCCGAGGGTCAACGTCATACCCCACTGCACCTGCTCTATCTACGAAGGATTCATTGACGATGTAACCTTAGAGCTCATTCAGGGTGTACAACCGACAATGCCCGCTTTGGAAGCAATGCGCGCATGCGGGGTACCTTGGAAAGCGGTGCGCCAACGGCTGGGACGCATAAGAGGCTGGAGGTAAAAGAAACCACGACTCGCCCAGCTACCTCAACTTCCCTCAAGATGCTAGGAACTGGGCTGTTGTCTCTATTGGTACTTGCGCCATGCGCAATTGCACAAGATGTCGATTACTCGCAATTCGTGAATCCATTCATCGGAACCGAAGGCGCGATACCTGGCTACGCATGCAAGATGCCCAAAATCTTCACCAAGCTCACTTCTGACTGATACCAGACGGCGGCGGTGACGTATTCGTAGGCGGCGCAGTACCGTTTGGCATGGTCAAACTGGGTATTGACACATATGAAGAGCCCATTAACCAGAGTGCACTCAACGGCGGATATACACCTCAAGGCCATGTGACTGGTATCAGCTTGATGCACCAGTCAGGAACAGGCGGAGGATCGAAATATGGATATCCTTCGCAGATGCCGTTGACACGCATTGATGGCGATGTCAATCTGCTAGACAATCGGACTTACTGGCAAGATCGAGTAGGGTCTTTACGCGTAACGCAGAGGCAACTTCTGACAGTTTTCCAGGTTGGCGAAGACGTGGCGCAAGTTGGCTACTTCCGCACCGAACTTGAATCCGGTGTCAAGGTCGAGCTCTCGGCCTCTCGACACGCAGGATTATACCATTACACATATCCGTCTTCGTCCGAGAAGCATGTGCTGGTGGACCTGTCGCACTACTTACCCCATCTGACACGTTCATGGGACTCGCAATTCTACACAGGTGGCGAGATTGAGATTCAACCGAACACCAGCACATACACTGGATACACATCCATAGCAGGTGGGTGGAACATTGGCGCACCAGTCACCGTATACGTGTGCGGCGAGTTTGATAGTCTGCCTGACGAGGCGCATGCTTTCAAGGGGAAGAATACATTCCCAGTCGGCAGGCACTACCGGTCATTCAATAATGGCACGACGCCTCGGCCGATGTATACTGGATCAACAGCCCGGTCAGGGCCGATGAACGACCGTGTTGGAGCCGTCTTCACTTGGACCAATGCCACCGAGATCAAATCCCGGGTGGGCATTTCATTTATCTCTACTGACAAAGCATGTTCGTACAAAAACGCCGAGCTTTCTTCGTGGTCAATCGAGGATACTGCGCACGCAACGCGCGACGAATGGAACCGCGATGTCTTTTCCAAGATTCGCGTTGACACATCGGAGTCGGCAAACAAGACCAGGCTGGCGTTACTATACTCTAGTTTGTACTTCATGCACCTAATACCCAGCGAGCGTGTAGGAGAGAACCCGCTATGGGAATCGGATGAGCCATACTGGGATGATTTCTACACCATGCAAGATGCCCCATCGTGTTGAAAGCAGACGTCACACTAATTGCCATCCAGGTGGGATCTCTTCCGAAACCAGGTCTCGCTTTGGCATCTCATTCAACCGAGCTACTATGAGTCTATGATCCGCTCTCTGATCGACATGTTCAAGCAAGAAGGATATCTTCCTGATGGCCGATCTGGCAATTACAACGGTCTGGTCCAGGGAGGATCAAATGCCGATAACGTCCTGGCAGATGCCTACGTCAAGGGCTTGACCGGTATGATCAATTGGACAGAGGGCTATGCAGCAGTCAGGAAGGACGCTGATGTCTTGCCATTCTTCGACGAGAACCCAGTCGATCCGTATGGCTCGCTAAAAGAAGGACGTGGTGCGCTGAAAGATTGGATAGAGCTCGGCTACGTCTCGGCTGATCGCAGCACGCGTGCAGTATCAAAGACAGTGGAGTACTCACTAAACGATTTCGCTGTTAGCCAGATCGCAGCTGGTGAAGCGCCTGGCGACCGTGACCTCTACCTCCGCCGGGCCGCAGGGTGGCAAATGAGCTGGGATCCTGAATCTTCAAGTCGGAACTTTACAGGCTTCGTTATGCCGCGGTACGCGAACGGCACTTTCCATAAAACGTATGATATTACTGATTGCGGTGACTGTAACTGGGAAGATGAGAGCTACGAAGGCACTGCTTTTGGTGGGTCGCTTCCCGCGTATATTCATCCTCCACATGCAAACTGACAAAAGGGTAGAGTATTCTTTCGTCGTTCCTCACGACATCTCACGCGTTATCACGCTAATGGGAGGCCCTTCGCACTTCGAAGAACGTCTCGACTACGTATTCCAACCAAATACGTCTGGCGTAGATCTCGGCGTGAACGGACTTGGTATCACTACCATTAACAACGTCGCAAACGAACCCGACTTCGAAACACCCTACCTCTACAACTACCTCAACAAGCAGTGGAAGAGCGTCGAGCGAAGCCGACAGCTTGCCAATGACTTCTACTTCAACACCACCAATGGTATACCCGGGAACAGCGATGCAGGAGCCCTGAATTGCTGGCTCATCTGGCAGATGCTGGGATTGTATCCTATAGTCACCACGCCCGTATATCTCCTGGAAAGTCCTTGGTTCTCTGACATCAACATTACAGTCAATCATGACAAGACGCTGAGGATCAGGGCCGAGGGATTGGATGATGGAGACGGAAGGCAGGGGTACTACGTTCAGGGAGTGAGTATCAACGGACAGGCCTGGGACAAGAATTGGTTCGAGCATGAAGATGCGGGTGGTATCATGACAGAAGGAGGCGAGATTTTCTTCAGGCTCGGAGAGCAACAGACCCTGTGGGAGTCAGGTGATGTACCGCCCAGTCCTGGACACCAGGTTGTTGATGTTGGTGAAAGCGCACAGTTCTCCTAGGATGATGTAGCACAGCACAGCCCAACATCAAACCCCAAGAACATAGGTGGTGATTGGCAATCACGAAGTACAGGAGATGCTCGCATCAATCAATGTTAGTTATATCAACCTCTCAAACCTTCTGCCAAGACATCCGACAGCATCTGACACACTCCGCACACCCTTCGATCACGTGAACCAGCCTGAAACGCCTCCTGCGACATAACAACGAGATCCATCCGCCACGGCATTGAAATCGCTGATAGGCTAGAACAATAATTCAGAGGACGCGTCATCAGCAAGTCGCTCACTTGTGCAAGCCGGGTGCAAGTGAACGACAGCATGAATCATGCACGATATATCTGCTTTCATTATAGGTACGCGCCTCCGACACCCGGCGCCTGCATTCGCAGGCGACAAGGCGATCACACAGAGACAGCCTCAGCACAACGGAAAGCATGACACGATGCACTGGAAGTGTACTGCGGGGTGCACATCGCGGGTGCCTGAGGAAAGGCATAAAAAGCCTGCCTCGCCCATCGTGTTCGAAGACCATCAAGCAACATCTCTTCTTACTCGAACAACCTACTCTTCCATTCCCTTCTTTTTTGCGTCTGTGACTGCAAAAGCTGACCTGGTGTCATTCGTTCCAACGTACAATACATAATCTACCTCCGACTATATTCCGATACCCAAAACCATCACCATGCGTTTCTCCATCGCCACTCTCCTCACCTGTAAGCAACCGCCATCCTTTCACCTGCGCTGAGCAGGGACTCAAACACGCCATATACTAACCCCTCCCTCAGTGGCCGCCGTCTCCATGGCCCAAGTCACGCCCAACAACGCGGGCGCCAAGAACGTCGGCGCGGGCGACGGTTCGCAGTTCATCACCGGCGGCTGCGTTTCCGATGCCGATTGCAGCTCCGGCTGCTGCAGTCAGGTCGCTGCTACTGGCGACGGCGTGTGCTCTGCTGAGGCGGCTAGCCAGCAGAACGGAAAGACGGGATGTGGATTCACGGACCCGAATGCGGATGCTGTGATTGCGGCGGCGCAGGACCAGGTCGCGCAGCAGGGATTCAAGAGGGTTGTTCGTAGCGAGTAGGGGGTTGCTTCGAAGGGGGTAGCATCGCATCAATGATAAGATGATATGACGATGGTTGTGTCGTGCCTTCTCCCAACATGCTTTGCAATCATACCCTCAGTGAGCGTATCCGCTTCCCGCTCCAAAAGCCGCCCAGAGCCGAGCTACCCAAAGCGCCAATATCAACTCCCGACATGTCTGGTCTAGATCATGCCTCAACTCAATCGTCGGCATCTTGCCTCCAGGTCCCATCTTCAACACCTCTGTCGCAACGACATGGCCTTCACTGTCTTTCCATTGACTGGGTTCTAACTCGTTCTTCCTCTGCTTAAGCGCCTTTGTGAACCCCCCTGGCTTCCCACAAGTCATAATCTCGTTCGGCCGACTGCCCTGCGTGGGCATGTGCACAACATGCCATCGGCGCAGACCGAAGCGCAGTTGTAAAGCGCCGGGTAGTGTGGTACCCGCTTTGCCTTGGATGTAGTACTCGTTGATGAGGAATGGCGGATCGTGGGCTTCGTATAGCACGCTGTTGCTATCGAAGGCGACTGTCGGCGCACCGGATTGCAAGAACGTGATCTCTTCGGCTTTTAGCCTCCGTATCCGTAGCTTGTTGATTCGCGCATCGAGGAGAGAGGAGAGCTGGTAGGCGGGCGCGTTCGGCGTGTGGATGAAAGTGCCGTAGATGGTGAAGGTCGTGGCCTTTTCGTCGACGGTAGCGTATGCGGGAGGTAATTCGGGCGGAGGCGATGCTGAGACGATGGTGGGTGTTGGCTCTGTGTCTACGGTAGGTTGTTCGGCAGCGGCGGGCTCGGAAGGAGGTTGCGGTACTGTTGTAGGCGGAGGCGCCGTAACGGCCTCTTCATATGAAGGTATTGGCGCGTTTATGTTTGGGCGGGACATGGCTGCGATAACCAGGAGATGCGCGAGAGCAGTTGCTCAGTCGGGCTTGCAATGCTCACAGAATTGCACAAGATGAGAATTGAGAGGCTGTGTACCGCCAAGCATGCTTTCGTATTGATTGATTGATGATGTGAACACGGCAAGCCCGGCGTGACGTACTTCATCCACAACCTCGGCTTCTTCCGCCTGCCAAGCCTCCCCAAGTCTTTCTCCACATCACACCACGACCACCATGGCAGTCGCCTGTTGAGCCCAAAGGCATATTCGATCCATAATAGAGAGAAACGCAGCCTTGCGCCTTCATTTTTGTCCGGCTAATCGATTATGCGGATATCGTGGCCTTTCTGCTGCAACTCACGCAACAGTGGTTGCAGAAGATCAAGGTACTTAAGGCCGAGAGTGCTGTCATAATAGTACTTCGACAGAGAAGCAGTCACGTCGAGAGCAACTAAGCCATGGAGTTTTCTCAGATCCCCAATCGCCTTCTCAAAATCTGCGTCACGAAGTAGACGAATCATGATGTTGATGCGGCGAATAAAGTTTCTGGGTAGCACATTAGCGTTTGGTGGCCAGGGATGGTTCTCAAATAACTGTTCAAGAAGCCCAGTCGGACTTCCATACGTGTTGATACTGAAGGTTGTTCTGCGATAAAAGCTTTCGAGGATCTCATCGACTAGTGGATAGGTGATTGATATCATGGGGCATGGACAGCTGATTGGCCCATAAATGCCTTCTCGAGATGAGCATAGGGAAAATCCAGTTTTGTCTGTGTCTGTCCAAAAGAAGATAGTGGTCTCCAGAGGGAGAACGTATTCGTATATCATGTCCCTTGTCTCTCTTGGTAGCTTCCCTTGTGGTAACTTCCTGAACATTCTGTCAAGGAGACCAGGGTGTACAAACTCGGCATACTTGTCGATGACATCTGCAAGCGTCTGGTAGATGTAGAAATTCTTGGTTTCCAGATTGGATGGCCTTTCAAGCTCTGTCTTGATGCGGCGCTTTGCCAGGTCAAGCTTCATTATAGCTATATTTTTGCTGGCCGTCTCCTGGGCACACGGTGGAACATTGCGAAAGACATCGAGACGTTCTTCCATATCCCTGAGAAGAGAAACTTGTGTTTTCTTCCATGAATACAGCTCTTGCAACTGAGAGTCATACCTTTTCTTCTCAGCTCTGATTCTCTTCACGATGACGAATAGACTGGTACAATGGATGTTAGCTGAAATCGTCTACGTTATAGCGGAAAACTCTGAATGACCTAAAGGCTCGGAGATGGTAGCGCTCCTGTCCCGTCGAAGCAGGCAAAGCACGTCCGAAGGTATCCACGAAACCAGGCCGGTGCCCAGCGGGATGAGTTGTAGACATCAGGAAAATTGTTGAGTTTCGTATAACGGATTGATCCTCTTTGCAAGTTGTTTTATGTCACTACGAGAACATGAGTAATTTTTACTTTGGTTGAGACAATTGGGTCTTTAATGCGAACCAAGGTTGAGAACTAGACACTAATCATATCCTCCGCATTTCATACAATCCATACGCAAAAAGATGCTCCCGAATGAGAACTACCGCCATCCCAAGCACCTTGAGAACTCAACGGGTAACGAGGCTTGCGATTGACGTGATTTGAATCGGCAAAGCTATTAGTTTCGCGTCCTGACCGAAGCAGCGCTCGGCACAAGGGGTGATTACAATACGTATCGCATTCTACAAAAAAAAAGACATTTACTAGGCAGAAATATACATCGTCCTGGAAAGTGTTTACTTAGTAGTATTTAGCAGTGTGTATGCAGCAAATGCAACACGAATTTTAGCCATCCCTGGTATCGTGTTCAAATCATCTGACCCTTTGCCCTCATCTCCGCCTGCTCTTCAGCATCCAGATTACGTCCCGAAGGATACATCTGATGCAGAGACAACCCCATCAAATCGCCAAATCCCGCCTATTAAGTCTAGACAGTGCCATGCACTCTTGTAAAATACTCAGGGTGACGACATACCTTACGAAACTGCCTTCGTTTAGTCCACGCATCAGTGGATTGAATTCTGGCGCTTTCCTCCCCAGCCGTCCATGTCCACCCACTAATGCTATCGTTCAAGTGAATCTAGTAGCCTCGAGCCTTCAGGGCCGTCAGGCTCGGGAACATGGTCTCCATGATAAGCTGAAAGTTCTGGTTATGAACAGCGGCATCGATCTCTGTCCCGACATTCGAAGCTGCTAGTCGTTGAGTAGTCGCTAACATGGCTTGGCGTATAGTTGGGTCGGTGGGAAGTTCACTAGGATACCCTCCATGCACAGCATCCTGCTGGATATACCAGTACCGGTCTCGCTAAGGGAATCTCACTTCGATATGTGCTCAGGTGCTGGTGAGTTGCTGCAATAGGTCGAAGCGCTGACGGAGTAGAGTTCTGCGCTCTTCAACTTGGTAAATGTTCTCTGGCACGACGATGCTAATTGTGGAGAGCCAGCATTTTAATATAATGTCCTGCTTGCACGCATCTTAGTTGAGAACCCTGCTTATCATCGCGTCATGGTGGATACTAAACCGGCCACGTCGGCAACGAAGTTGTATATTCTCTAAGGCTAACTCTTCGCCGACGATGGATGGATTAATGTAGCAACGACCTCGGCCTTGAATCACACTAGCTGCCATTTCAGCCCGGTGGAAGAATGTAGAGCGTGGTTTGTTGGCCGTCTGGAGTACGTGTCCAATGCCCTCCAGCCAGACGTCAAACGACGGGTCCTCAAAATCCATCAGCTCAGCGTAGATTATATCGCGCAGCTCTCGAGTTAGATAATCTTGTACGGCCTGTAGCAATGATGGAGACTCTAGACGGGAGCATTCAACGGCGGTGTGATACAGGCGATCCTTTGCTTTTTGCAATTGCGCCCTTGGTCTTATACGCCAGGCGCCGTGTCCCTCGGGGCATGCAGTGAAGGTGAGTTTGTCGACGGTCCCTTGAAGCCCCTCAATTTTCCTGGCGGCTCTGCGCATCCGTTAGCGTACGGTGTCATTTTCATTCGGTGATGGCGCTCACTAATATCCATCTGCACGCAGCTCCACAAGCGTCGGAACCTTGCGTATTCTAGTCGCAGACGCGCTTTCAGGAAGTACTTGCAATCCTGAGGGGTCTTTGCTGCTATTAGATGGAGTTCTAGAAACTATGATTGACTGCGATGTTGGTGTGACTTGGGTGAGGTTGACAGATTTGCGCGTTGGAGTTGGCCGTTATGAGATCGAGAGTGGGCCTCGGGCGTGGAGTGGCGTTCATACATACGCAAAAGGTGTAGGCGATGGATATCCCGTGATGTGGACGGGCCACAAAGTAGATCAATAAATTAGCGATCTCTATCTAACATGCGCTGAAGACAACACCTTGTACAAGGAAAAGACTAAACAGGTTGCAGACTACATTAGAATAAAAACATGCAAGATAGGAAATCCAACGCCGATGTAGGCTCTAGGGTGTTTGACCTTTTCCCAGCTTGACGTAACAACAAAGACAACGCTAATGAATGTGGTCGTGATTAGATAAGTTGAGGTACATCCCGATATAATAGTCACAGTAACACCGTCGTAAGCATTACCAGAACTCCAAAACAACATACCACCTGATCACGCTGCCTATCAAGAAAGCCCAGCTCCCTGCCATTGCCGCGATAGCTGCATGCACCTTGCCCTGTTCTTTGTTCTCCCCATCTTGAAAGAGAAAGAAACCAGCCATCATGAAGCCGAGCCCACCAAGCGCGTTTAGACAGGCGCTTTGCCAATCCGAGTGGAAGAACCTGGGCTTGTACCAGCGCTCTTGTTCGGAAAACGCAAGCATAGCGTTCGCGACCAAGAAGAGCGCACCATGTGCAACCTGCGGTCCGAAAACAATATAACCAAAGAGAGGGTCTTCTTCTGAGACAACGCCGGGGAAGTCGACAACACCAGCGAACATGAAGATGATGCCTCCGAAGAGAACGATGAGGCCCGCCTGGAAGGCCAGGTTGGTAGCCGTCAACTCCCATACCTTCCCCCATGACGGTATCCATTTGAACTCCGGTGTGCCGAGGAGCGCTGGCCGATATCTGACCTTTGCAGGCTCCAACTTTGATGTTTCAAGCGTACCGCGGTCCGCATTAAGAGCACTGAAGGTATCGAAGATGCCTGCGACGAAGAAGAAGATTGATCCGATCAATATCGTACTAGGGACGGCGACAGTCTCTTCGGTTTCGAACATCGTGGAAGGGTTGATGCGAGGTAGTAGATCGAAGGTGGCGTTGATGACGAGGTCGATAGATCCAATGAGGAAGATAATCGCTACGAGGTAGATAGGGTCGCGGTAAGGAAAGATTGTGAACATGGATTTTAGCCGCACTTTTACGGAACTGTTGCTGTCCCATTCCATGACCGAAGTGGTCTCGAGGTAGCAGCCATCGATATGTGCTTGGCTGTTATCGGCGTTCTGCTCGACATCGAAAAAGGTCGGCTGCGAAGTACGCTCGGTGTGGCATTTCTCGCGGTGTTCGATGTGATTGACGTGAACGAAAGATTGGAGCTTCTCGGTTGAAGCGGGGCGTGGCTGGAGATCGATTGATAACGTCTCCGATATGCTATGTGGACGAGGCGTCATGCTCATCCGCGCCTGGCGGATGTATGAAGCACGGATCGTTGCTGAGGCATTCATGTCGGGCGACAACAGCGGCAAAGACACAGTATTAAAGATTAGAAGTTATCGATATTTGTACTGGGAAACAGAACGAAAGACAGAAATCGACACGGTAGGCTTATAGAAAAGAAAGCATTCTCAATAGGCCCTTATGGGATCTCGTACCCAGCGTAATCAAACGTTAGTTGGGTGTTGCTGTGTTGATCGCGCGCTCAGACACCAAAGCCCAAGACTTCACATGTCTGACCCACGAGCTTCGTCATGCTTTTGACGAACAAGCATCGAGTATTGATGCTGTCAAGCTCAACCAAGCTTTGTGAAGTGATGCTTGTTTCCCACATACTTTAGTAGTGGGTCGAACAGTGCGTGGCGTCGTTCCGGATGGCGGAGTGCCGCCACCTGTGTGTGGCAGTGAACTGTTCGGAGTGAGAGAAGTTGGTTTCAGTATTTGCATCGTATGAGACATCGGCCCAAAATAGGGGCGACTAGACGAAAGGGGCCCGGATCGCCGGCAAGCGCCGCTCGGGCCGACAATTTTCAGGCACTAGTGCAGTGTGCGCTTCATCCTGGAGGTCGATCTGGGAAGATAGTGGTTTGAAACATTCTTGCCAGCGCAAGGCCGCGCAAGCTGAAGGAAGACAAGCGCATGTGAGATGGTGATGTTCAAGAGCGGCGCCAATGCGATTACTCGTGGCTCATCATGCTGCTCAAACGCTGGCCTCTGAAACCAGAGTGCTGCGCAGTTCTTGATGTAGGGCATATCTATTTCGCGTCAATGGGCCTATCGGGGGTAGTGAGTATAACACGTGGTTCCGCACGAATCTGCTTGCCGGCAGATGCCACAGATGATCCGCGCAGTGACCGTCTCTGAGTTGTCAGTGCACTATAGTCCTGAGTAATGCACGGAGTGAACGTGCATTTTGATAGCCCAACTCTTATCGCGCGTCGGGAATGCCTGGTGTTGTCGATGTTGATGAAGAAGCTGTCGTTCAGAAGAGTGGGTGAAAGTGATCTCGGGAAGGCGGTGCTGACATCATCCGCTAGGCTAGTTCGAGAAGCGGCCTCGCGGCCGCCATCCCATTCTTCTGGCAGCTTTCGACCCATCACGACGATGCCCTTCATGAACAAATTTTGGCCCGCCATCTATCTTTCTGATTCATCGACACGCGTCGAGCGCTCTCTGCTGCATCGGCCTTTCCACAGGAGTCATCGCCAAAACGGTCCGCTTACTGACATCTCGTATATTTTTGATCGCTATCAACTTCAAGCACATCATCTGCTCAGGAGTGGATCGAATACAAGAATAGGCACCTTATCTACTCCAAACACCGCATCGCAAGATAAGAACACTTCAAGCGCCGAGTCACGTTATCAGTACCTGGGGAGGATGCACGCTCGGCCTTGGGATGGGTTTCCGGGGTCTGCACGAAGACCTAAGAAAAGACGCGCCACGTTACGCGACCGCAAGACATCCGCACCCAAGCCCAGCCTTCATAGCCAGAACCGGCTTCTTCGCCGTTTTAGAAAGCCCATGTAGTCATTCTACTTCAGCGACAAGGCTGCAAGGCAAACTGATGACCATCAGTAGATGGTGTGCACAGAAGTCCGGCAAACCATGGTCGATTCCATCGGCGTCGAGCCCAAGCGATCCGCATTTGCTGCGTAGATCGCGGCCAACGTCCGCCGGCCAGCGAACAAAATCGAACAAACATGTCTCGCAATTCGGTCACTTCGTACCGTTCACCAGTGTTCATGCGCGTTCACGTTGAGGGTGCGGGAGGATGGCCCCGCGCCCTAACGCGCATACCCGCCGGAAGGAACGTAGCGCATGTCAGCCGCGCCACCCATCAGCGGCATCTACAAATCATCGCGAGCGCCTATTCAACCCAAGATTAGATGCATGACGCAGCGTTGCCAAGCCGCCTATGCGCTTACCAGTGCATCACAGGACGCTAATACTGGAAAAGAGGCAGAGGGGTTCTGAACAGCGAACCAGAGACGCCAAGCTAGTATTTAGCCAGCACAAAAGTGTAGCAGCTCGAGATGAACTGCCGAACTGAACGTCAAGGTAAGCAGTACCGAGCAAGTGTTGTAGTGATATTCTAGGATTGATCGCCTCGTGTACTGTTTTTGGCCCGCACCCTGGACAAATCGAAGGCACACGCAAGGCTCTTCTTCACGCATAATTCGCCTTACCAGCTACAGCCTTTCTGCTTCATGTTCTCTTCTTTCGTCATGCTTAGGGTAATACGGTGTAAGAAGGTCTAATCATTTCACTATTTCCTTGTCGTTTCTTCTTGGGTCGATTTCCTGGACGTTCTCTGTTTTTCCCTTGTCTCGAACATGAAGTTGCCGAATGGACATATCCTTCCCAGAAGTACATCAACGAATCCCATCGATCGAGCAAACACCATCAGGGCCGCGTCATGGGTCATTCTTATCATTACGACGATCGTTTTTGGAGCACGCCAGATAATGAAGGTTGTTGTCTTTCGGAGAATGACGCTCGATGATCTGTTGATACTTGTAGCTTTCGTAAGTTGCACAGTATACCTCTAGAACTTTGCTAATGCATCTAGTCGTTTGCCGTCAGTCTTTCCATCATAGCTCTCGTCTTGTCCTTCGAAGGTCTCGGCACTGTTGGTCCGTTGACCCTCGACCAAACCATCTTTCTTATGAAAGGGTACTATTCGTCTGAGATTGTCTACATTGTTGCCATTGGCTTCGCGAAGTTATCAATCTTGGTAATATTCTACAATGTGGTTGTAACGCAACGCATCATCCGCCGAGCCGTGATAGCGTTCGGTGCGGTACTGTCAGTCTGGACAGTGGCGTCGCTTATCGCAATTGCGTTTCAGTGCGAGCTACCTCAACCATGGCAGATTGTAGGCCCAAGATGCTCCAACTCGGTATGTGACATGGGTTCTCAGTATACACAGTCTCAAAGCTGATTTGAACAGCGCATCTTTTGGATCGTATATTGCATGATCGACATTTTTACCGAAGTCGCCATCATTATGCTCTCTGTACACCTGGTGGTAAACCTTCAAGTCCGGCTTTCAAGGAAACTTGCAGTCATCGCATGTTTTGTGCCGCGCGTGCTGGTGCTGAGTGTGGCAATTGTTCGTCTCGTTTTGCTATACCCGGCTACGCTCCATGGCGATCCTCAATACCGACTCTGGGTGCCGGCGATCATATCGCAAGCCCATGTATGCCTCAGCATCGCAACTGCCAGCATTCCATACATGGTGCCCTTCTTTAAAGGTATGGATGGTGATTTGCGAAGGACTCACTCGACCAAGAGCCGCCTCCATCTCATCGATGAAGAGACAGGGCGCTCAAGGTCGTCGCTGTGGTTTCGCCGACACAACAAGACCAAGGCCCTCGAACTCTGGGACCCGACTGCAGATGCGGTTGTTCCATACAATCGCGTGCCGCAGCTCTCGCCTTATATTCCCGCACCAAGACCTTTATCGCCTTTATCGCCTCCAAGGCCGCAAACGCCGCTCGGCAAGCAGGCTAGCGTTCGTGGCCTGAACATCTATATCCCATGTCGTGATCCTCGGCGGCAACGGAGCTTAGATTGGTCGAGTCCACGAACAGAAAGCTCGGGCGTGCTTTCGCCATCGTGCGCATCACCACAAGCTTTGCTTTCGCAATCATTCATCCCTTCCAGGAAGGCACCCAGCCCACCGACAAAGATCTACAGTCCTAGACCATCTTCTCCAAGCTCGTGCTACTCCAGTCGCACCCCAACGCCGGCTTTGATTACGCCATATGCGGAACGCTTTTCCCTATTCCCGACTCAAAGCTCCTCTTCCGTCTTACCACAGCCACAGTATAGCCCATCTCGGGCGTCTAGGGTGCCACCAATTCGAGCAATGCGATCGCAGACAATATCCACGGCCATAAAGTCTCCGGACCCGTCGGTTTTGAAGAGTCCGTCCGCTGCAGGGGTGCTGATGGCCCGGTCGCCCAGCCGTGCGCAGCTTCGGAAGTTCAGTACCACAACGCACCTTCAGACGCCACCGCTGATAACTACACATGAGGGGAGCGGAATTCGACCCGATTCGATACAAGACCTAACTTCCCCCATGGGTGCAGCCATCAACGGCTGGTTCAGCAGTGCCAAGACAGACTATCCTTCGCCATCGTCGCCCATGGGTGTCCCACCGAATTGGCAACCAAGGGGCGATCAATATGAGCTCTCACAAATGCGCTCAGTTGCTAACGCAAGATCGCCACCTCCAAGTCATATGCGCTCACATGCTCGTGCAGACATACCACAAGATGCGCCGCCGCTTCGTTCGCCTCACGACACCCTACTTCACACTCGGACTTCCAGATCGCAGACCATTCCTTCTGTACGCGATGTGCGGCATAGTCCGAGGATCGTGTATCGTGACCCCTTCTAGCTGTATATCCTTCTTTCTGTACCATTTTGTCCCTCATCTCGCATCTAGGCGGCGTTAAGAGGGTTTCTTTCAACAATTTATCGCATTGAACGATACCATGGTTGTATCCAAAACTGTATAACATGTATTTGTACTTTTCTTTCACGGGTCTGTCTTCAAACCGCAGAGTTTTGGTAGTTTTCTTCTGGCGTTCATGGGGTCGGAAGGATATGGTGTCAATTGCTTCGGCATTCTCAAGACACGTCTTTGCAGCTATCTCAACGAGCTATTCCGTGAACACTCGAGTCAACTGTTTTCAAAGTAATGTGCGTCCAAGAAAACACTCTGTCAACACGACGAGTGAGTGAATTGCGTCGTAAAATCTCGCAGCTTGGCCACCTTCACTACAAGTGTAGGTGAATACTACGCTTGTAACCCATAACAAAATCTCCCAAACTTAAACTTTATCGACGCTCCATCCCAATCATTACTTTCAATCAACTCAGTCAATCTCTTATATCTGCGCCACACAACAAAGCGACTGCCAAGCTAGACACAGCCGCGGCTCCCTCAAACTGCAAAGGGATGGACTCCGAACTCCCTTTTTGGAAGGTCGACAGCTTCACCGATTTGTCTGGACGGACATCATGTGCCAAGGATGAGCGGAAGCACTACCGGCTTCGCTGCCTTGCACTGAGGAACGTCGCGTCAACTCTAAGGAAAGATTTTCAGTCCAAGCACGCGTGAGTAGCGGAACTCGAGAGCTTCATCGCGCGGAAGGCCGACCACATGTACAATCCAGACAATGCTGCCCATGTCGCCTTGTATCAGAAACGCCTGTTAGCCCACCGTCCTATAGCTCAAGCTGCTGAAGCAAGATTGGCACGCGTTGAAGCGGAGCTTAGTTTTGTTATGGAGCGCAATACCGAAGCGAGGGAACTTTGCGACCTTATCTCCGAAAAGTTGCCCATGGAGCTTGTAGACATCGTTTACGCTTATGTTGAACCATACCCTCAGGTACTTGAAGTCAACCATGTCCAACAAGAAGACCCTTTGGGAGACAAAGCAAACACCCAACAAGTCTTGGAACGAGTATACACCTCCAACTCTCTGAACGGAGAATTCAAGGGAGAGGACTGCAAAACGCCCTAGTACCTAGACACCAACATCGTGAGCCTTAAGTTTGCCGAGGGGAAAATGAAGGTCTTCCATCGCGAGACCGTTTTCTCCATCTGCCGTGTGAAGCACCTCACACGGTTTCTCAGTCAGAACCGTTGGAGGGAATACGAGCACCTGATTCCAAAAGAACTGGTGCGCAACATTCATATCAAGATACCAGTAAACCAGATCAACCTCGAATCGGCCGAGGGAGTTGCAGAGTATCCAGGGCAGCCCATAATGCAAATTGTCACTGGAGACGTGATCCTGAACGAGCCTATACCGCTACAGACCCTCATACAGAAAGGGATTCGAATTACTCTAGATATTCGATCCAACTGTAAAGGACGGTCTTTCCTGCTGCTAGATCACATCATGGAGGCAGTTGAGGAGTCTTCCTCTCATGAGCGCCCATTCGAAACTGAGGAGATCGACCATCCAGAAGACCTTGAATTCGAAGAGTGGGAAAATACAGAAGACTTTGAACTCATATCGCGTCTTCTGCTGCTGATGCTAATGAAGCATTTGCTGCCATTCCTCCAGGATCTGGTTAAGAATGGACACGATTTTGGATAGCCGAGAGAAGTGGTCGTGGGTCATGAGCAGGGATAGCATGAGTATGGATGACTTGCTCGAACGTAGGCAAGCTTTTTGGGCTCAGAAGCCAAAAGGGGTATGGCGGGACAGGGAGTTGGAGTTCCAGATACCGGCTGTTGAGAACTTTCAAGATGTGTAATGTTTTGACGTTCGGCATGCTTGAGCAACATATGCGCTCCGTATGGACAAAGTGCTCTATCAACTCATGGTTTGCCGTCTACATCAGCACGAAAACGAAACCTCACAGACTCTAGGAGGTGATGTAGACATCTGGGTCATTTCCAATGCCAGGTATACAATAGCCCTAGAGATGCCCGTTCCCTTCTTGTTCAGGGTGCTTGTACACAAATCCTTCCTGTTCATGCATTCATCTGTTGGTTAAAGTCAGTGGTGATCTTGTATACCGCTTACATCTTACTAACCTGAAGCCACTTCTGCACACCTTCCAAGCAGCCTTTCGTCGTGAAGTCCAGCGTGTTCTCAGTAAAGTTCGCGCATCGGCCCGACGCTGTCTCGTAATCCTCAAGCTTCAGATCTAGTCTCCAGCCCTTGTTTTTGAGCTTTTGGAGGATTGGCAGTAGGATATTGAGCAGATAGTTCCTGTGTCTTACGTCGTATTGTATGGCGACTGTGAGAATGCGGCTGTTGCTTTCCATTGGCAGCAAAGTGGTGAGAAAATCGAGACGTCGCTTAATAACCATCTTGGGGGTTTCTTGGCGCATTAATAACTCGGTGATGGGCGGCGAGGCTCTTGTAAACGGAGTGTCAAAGCCGAATTCATGCCCTTTCTCTTCCATCTTCTCAAAGTGGCGCTCGTAAATATCAAGCGAGATTCTCGAGACTAGCTTATTCAGATCAAGTTGCAGTCCTGATGTACCGGAAGCGAGAAACAGTGCTATGTTCTCTTCTTCACTAGGAAGTTCGAGGGAGAATTGGGTCGCGCGATAGAAGCGCGCGACAAACTCCAGGTAGATAGCTGGGCCCAAGCCCTTGTAATGAGCGAGGTCGAAACGTTTTCCATCGTCCACGTTCTCGAAAAATATACCGCCAGCTTCGGCTTTTCTGAATTTGACATGGCTGGGCATGATGTCTCCGTATATCATGTCGCGAAGCTCCATTGGAAGCATGTCGCTCATCTCCATGCTCATGTTTGTGTAGGCGATGCTTGAAGACGCGTGCGGCATTGCGCTTGTGTCTTGTTCGCGTCTGATCTGCGGAATTTTTGGCTTACTAGCCTCTAGCTTGCTGACTTTTGGCTTGCTAGTGCCGAAACGTTCGTTCAGGGCAGTCCAGAACATATTTTCTCGATACCTGAACGTTTCAGTTAGTTACATTCAGATACTACATGAGCTGTTGCGAAGACAGGCAGGAAGGTCTGCAAGTGTCAAACTTACGACTTTTCCTGTAGCCCAGCGCTTCGCAGCTCAGTAATCTTGCACTGCATTTTCAGATCTTTGATGTTGGCCATAATCTCGGATAAGTCGAGATGGAAGTACGGTAACGCTTTACACTTGTATTATCGCATCTTAGTTAAGCGTTTGTGAAGATTTGTAGTTCGCGGATGTGTTTTAGTACTAGCGTCAAGATCTTAGGTACTGTCTGATGTTGAAGTTGTGCAAGTAACAGAGCCGGGAATACAGTCATTATATACGATTTCACTCCTCTGACTCACATCTGAGCGCGATGCGATACCTTGGTTGAGTCCGTTCTATCCACTTCGTCCACTGGTACTGCGATGACGAAGAGCGAGCAACAATCCAATTAAGCCTTCCCGAATGCATTGTGTTGGCACTGAGGATATTTAGACTATGTGTCATATCTTGATGCAAACAAACCGTTACATCTTAGAAAGTAGACAGTTTTCTAAGGCAATGTACGTGTCGGGCTCTAAGAACATTTTGTAGAACATAACACAAATCGTTTTGCTTTGCTGCATACACACTGTTATATTATGATAAGTAGATAGTCTCGGGGTCAAAGTATACGTCTATCTCCAACAAAGTTTGTAGAATGCCAACCTTTGGTACTGCGAAGTATGGGCGGGTGGTGCGTCGACCAACCACAGTGGCTACTTCTAACGACATCAAACTTTCACGTAAAAGCGATTGCAAACAAAGAAGTGGGCACGTAGTTAATCGCACACTATACGGCTAGCGCTGCTCAATGCGGTAAAGGGCATGATTGTGTTAGCAGGACATGTATCGCGATCCCATGGTACTGGGATGACCTATACCATGACCCACAGACGATGTCACCATCATATGATGGGAGCTTTTAGGCATCATTTGACTGTCTTAGTACCAACAGCTCAAACGATGCTTAAAATCTCCCATTATATGATGGGGACGGGAATTGTGACTTGAGGTCGCGGGATCTATTTGGCTCATACTGGCGCGTCACGCCCCGCCACGTCTTAGCCCACAGTTCTCTCCCCACCTAATACTCCCTCTTCACATGCCACAACTCCCACGGCGCCTCCCACCCCAACAGTATCCCAATCGCCTCTTTATACTCCTCGCTCTTGATCGCCTCCTCAAAATACTGCATACCCTCCCACCCCCTCGCCACAAAAAAGCACTTCGTCTTCTCCTTCTTCACATCCTTGTGTTCCAATTCCTCCATCACCCATCCATACGTCAACCCTCCACTCCCCTTCAGAGCCTTCGCACACATATCATTGAACTTGATGAAATCTTTCTCAATCTTATTCCTGAACGACTCGTTCACCTTGCTGGCTGGGAAGTAAATCTGCACGAATTCCACCAAGGGAGAGGACATGGGACCGTTGTTGTCGAAGGCGGACTGCCCGTCTTTGAAAGTGACGTGGAACATCTTGTCGGGGTTTCCGAGGGTCTTGATGACAGTCTCGCGGTACGTGTTTGCTTCCTTGGAGGACTCGGCTTTGGGGTCGTGCCATTCCGAGGTCAGTTGCAAGTTGCGCTTGTCCTGGGTTTGGGTGCCTAGGACGTAGTTCTCGGGGGCTTTGGCGCCTTTGAGGGCTTTGACGGCGGCATGGGCTGCTGCGTCGGCTTCCGAGGCGGAGGGTGCGCGGAAGTGTATTATTTGTGTTACTGTCATAATGGTCGGTTGCGTGGTGAGTTGGAAAGCTGTCAGGTGAGTTGCTCGTGATGGAAATGTATATGCTCACGATACTTTAGTATGGAGTCGTTGCGCATGAGGTCGGACGTGTAGCTCGCGAGCTTTGTAATCTGGAGCTACCAACCACCGACACCGATGTTTGGCTTCGGCCTTACGTGGCATGAACCAGGTTTCTGGCGTGCGTTCAGCCACGGCGTGCCGTAAAGTACACGTTAAGGCGCCGTGTGGGTACGCGTTTGGCATGTTACTGGATGCCAATAGCCCTGGAGATGCAAGCCTGCGGGGTAGCAATGCGCCTCGGCACCCCAACACTCACGCTGTGTTGCGGCATGACAGGACTCGAATCTGAAGACATGTTGCGCAGAGTTGTGCGCTGATATCACACGAGTAATGGCCACAATCTGCTACGACCTTGGGAGAGTCAGAAGCGTGCAAGCGACGACGATGACGATCTGAGGCGTGGGTGCCAAGCGGCGCTATTCCACATATGGTACCGCACCCTGGTGACATCATCAAATTCGGAAAGAGCGGCACTGTTTGGAGAAGGCCCAGCCTGAGAGCGGCGCGCATAGTAATACATTATACGAAAATCGTGTTTCTAATCCATTTCGTAGCTTCGCAGAAGCTGTCTGTATATATGTAAAGACAAGACCCCAAACGCCTGCAAATGCTAGACTCGCTTGCTTCTGAAAGATAACAACAAAGGAAATGCGTTCTGAGGTGTTAAGGGAACTGTCGCGGATGACTTGTTGAGAAGATAAAAAAGCGAGGAAATATGTGCGCAAGAAGGCCGGTGATGTGTGCAGCCTCTCCTAGAAGCTGAACAGCCCCGACCTTCTCTTGCCCAGTGGGTAAACGATAAGCGCAGCGAGGAACAAGCCTACTGTGATACCAATAGCGATCTGGATTACGGAGAAACCCACGTCTAGAGCGATGGAGTTGATGCTTGTGCTGCCGCCAACGTCGGCGCTGCTGATTGTCGTAGCGTTGCCAGTACTGTTGCGCACGATCTGGTCGGCCGAAGTCAGACCCGATACGAGGGAGCCCTGGACGCTGAGTCCAGATGGGACTTGTACGAAGATAGCTGGCAACATGGCGGCTGCAGCAAGACCGTAGCCAATCTTGCGAGTATGAGGTGTAAAGTCGCTGACTGAGCTAGCTCGTGATGTGTGGCCGCTGCTAGTGTGGGTTGGGTCATAAGCCGATCGTTCGACCTTTTGCGTACGGAGTGTGAGCGGTCCGTGATTCTTCTTCTGCCACATCTTCCGCACCTTCACGAAGTGGGGTCGCAGCTTGTTCTCCCAGGTGTCATGACCCCAGTTCTCGATGTGACGACCGAAGCGAGCATGGGCGTTGGCGGCGATACCGATCGCCAGTGCTCCAAGCGTGTTGCTGACTTGCGCGTTACTTTTGAAGTACTTTGAGCTGTGGAAGTTGACAACCCAGCCGATGAAAGCAATGACAGTCATGGAGGGCATCTGCTTGTACTTGGCTTGGTTGACGATCTGCAGGCAGATGGCAAATGCAGGGACAAAAAGATAGTAGAAGTTGGTCGACATGGGCTCATGGCATGTTGTGCGCGAGGTAGCGTTGTGATCCATCATGCCATATAGGACAGTGCCGATCGTGATACCGAAACCAAGGAAGAGGGAGTAGATGATAGCGTAGACCATGCGCACAGATCCAGCGACGATGTGCTTGCTTTGGAGCTCCAGCGATGCGCAAAGCACCATGAAACCAGGTAGGATGAGGGCAATACTAGACTGAGCCATGGCACTGAAGCAGAAGATCTCTTTCCCGTCATGTCGAATCGATCCAAGAGCGCGCGCCGCAAAGCTGGTGATGACCGATGCTCCAATCTCGAAGACGTTGCTGATAAGATCGTTTCCGGGTGCAACGACGAGCTGAAGCCATCCGATGAGGCAACCCAGTAGGAAGCAGAAGGGGAGGTCGACGAATCGAGCCTGAAACGCGAAAGGCCCTACAGTTGCGGATGCCAAACCGTACATTGGCACGCGAAGCCATTTGTTGAACTTAGCTTTGCGGCCCATTATAGCATCTAGCCGAGGTGTGGCTTCTTCGACGCCGATTCTGTCGTGTACCACGTCCTTGTAGATCTCATGAACGTCGTGTAGTTTGCCGAGATCAACACCTTGGCTGGTTCGGACGAGCTTGACCTCACTAGTGTGAACCGAGGAGTCATCAAAAGCAACGATCATGCAGCCAGGCATGTACAAGAACTGCGCCTCAATCTCTAAGACACGAGCCGACATGTTCAGGTACTCCTCAAGTCGATGAGTAGGGGCTCCGTACATCATCAGCGCTTTGCACAGCTTGCGCAGATAGTTCTGACGCGCGAGTGTACCAGCGAGATGAATCTTGATCTTGATCTCCTCTTCCTTCCTCTTGTTCTTCTTGAATGGGAGTATGGACTCATCTGACTTGGATCGCTTGCCCATGCCAGGGCGTGCCGCTGTCTTCTTGTATTGTTGGTCATACTCCTGGCCCAGCTCTTGTTGAGCAGGCGCCGCAAAGCTGTGCGCCGACGATCCGACCAAATGCGAGATGGAAGTTGCGGATTGATTGTTGGAGTGACTCCGGAACCACGGACGGCCTCCACGCGGGGTGGAGTATCCAGAAGCGGGTGGTGAGGGGTTGGGGGAGTTCGCAGCAGTTGAAGCTCCGCTGAACGTGCTGGTGCTGAGGGTTCGGTGATGGATGGGTCGGCGTGATGACGAAGATGATGGTGGTGGCGCCGCGTTACTAGACATCTTCATTAAAGTACCCAATACTCCTGTCCGGTACTTGGTAGGACGAACGACGTGTTCGTCCTCAACCTCCATAGCATCCGGTGTCACCTGGCCTGACCGTAATGGAGCTTCAGTATGGTAAAGATCCTCGGCGCTCAATGCGGGCTGTCCATTAGCAGCGCGGATGGTGTGTTGACGAAGGAGCATAGATGCTCGCTTCATGAATTGCGGGTCTTCATCGTCGTCGTCGGTTGTTTCGCCGACTGATTCGTACTGTTTTGATAGGGTCTGGAGTTCCACTGGTGGAGAAGCCAGCTCGTTGGAGTTTCGCCGTGATACTGGAGCGGAGTAGGTGCCTACTGACTTCGACAATCTTGCCGCACGTCGTTGAGCAGCGAGGCCGGATCTCTCCTTGAGATCTTGGTGCACTGAAGGCGTTGCCGCCGCATTCTGGTCGTCGAATGGATTTGGTTGGTCGTTGAGGTAGAACTCCGGGGGCGGAGTCCGAGGGCCTGGCTTCCGTATGGCTGGTCGGGGTTTCTGTACATCCTTTGGAGCAGTGATAGGTTCCTGGATAACCTCTTCTGGTAGATGTTCGTTCCCAAGAGCTAAGCGTAGCGAGGCACGGATCTTCTGGAGATCATCATGTGATACATCATTCCGCACGAGAGGGGTGTTTTGCCCAGCAGAGCCTGTGTCCTCGGGTGATTGTGTTGATCGTACAGCGGGATGTTCTGCATGCCAACCAACACGCTTCCTGCCAGGAGTGGTGGACATCTGGTCCTCGAGTTCGAAATTGGCCTGACGAGAGGGACCGGCGTCTTGAGAGGGATTCATGATGATATTGTGTTGTTTGGGCACTATCGTGGGCTAGTTGGGCGCTTCAGGAGTAGCCAGTGCGCTCGCAATAATGACCAATGCGCCGGATTCCGCGACTCGGTGCATACAACGTTGCACGTGGTGAGTGCTGACTGTGCGCTAAGCAGGCGGCGGTACTCAATAGGCGAGTTGATATCCGGTCCCGTTCATGCGCCTGCAGGTGGATCTATCAAGTATCGTGAGTTCCAAGGTACAAACAGGGTATGACTGGTTGTTGCGGCCTGCGTGTCGATGATGCCTAGAATTTGAATAATGATAGGGTAATGATGGGAAATCAGGTACAAATGAATTGTTGATTCGAGTCAAAGGCTGGATCGCGATGGAAGGCGAGTACTCCTAATGTTGCGTGGGATTGATAAGAGCCTCTAGTGCAATGGTGTGTCGCGTAGTCCCGAACGGAACTGCAAGGGTTCTCAAACTCTGTAGTGGCGTGCCGACCCAATTTTCCTAGTCGAAACACAGCGGCCAGAAGGTTCGGTGTCGGGTTCGTCAGCTTGATAGAGTGAGGGTGGAGCGGAAAGTGCAGGGGACGTGGAACGTCGGGAGCGCCAAAATCGCGACAGGCACCAGAAATCGTAGCCCAAACTTCCAGAACCTTGATCGCTGCAGCGGTTGTGGCTGCACCGGCGTTAAGTATATTTTAGGGAATCCGCGAAGGCCGATGTAAAAGAGCCGCAAGCGTGCCGAAGATATCAGAGTATAAAGACGCCTGCATTGGCCGGACGTGCAGAGTTTTTAGGGAACCGTCAGGAGTCGGCGTACGACGACTTTGAGGGAACATGATAGCAGCAGTATTGCACAATGTTTGATGAAGCTCTTGGACTGACGACACTGGACAAAGCGCGGACACCGCTACAGCCAAGATTTGCAGTCACCCATACCCAGGACGGATGTCGGCGCAGCAAGAAAAGTGGACATCGTGGTGCCAAAGCTTGGGACATTCTGGTTGAGGGAAACCGAGATAAGGAGACAGTGGGTATAACTGGGTCGTCCAAGCCTCTCAGCGCGCGTCGGCCCAATCGTCGCAAACCTAGGGGCATCGTGGGAATGAGCTTGGAGTGCTATGATAGCATGGGTGGAGCAATGGCTCTTAGACGTTGATCGAGAATTAACCAGCGCCTAGGTACATCACGCGGTTGAGTCATGGCAGCGGAGGCGCACTGAAAAGGAATGCGTTGAACGCGATAGCGATGGATAGATTACCTAGGTCGTCGCATGGTGTTGGATTGGGGTGTGGTCGAGTTGGTGGCGAACGAGAGCGAACTTGCGGCTCAAATTCTCTGAAGGGCCGGTAAAGCTTATTTCGCGAGCCCGGGAGTCCCTGCGCATCTCACGGTCCCAACAACAATGCGCCGCGAGAGAAGTCGGAGCGCATGTTTCGGTGTCGCTCGCATCGTCACATGCTAAGGCGTTTGGGTGCGATGGACACGACGATACGCCATGATCATGACGTCGCGCACGGGTGGTGCGTTCTAATTCTGTCAGGATCTCACCACCTGCCACCACTACGACTTATCTCCACTCTCCACAATGTTCGCGACCTCCAGGTGTCGATAGCGTGGGCCACGTCTTCCCAACACTTCTTATGTGTATCGCAATGTCTTCGTCACCATCTTCGTAAGACGCCCTCGCTATAGCAACGATTGCTTGCCTACTGTCGGGCTCAATCGTGTGCCGAAGTCATGATCATCAGGGGAGACGCGTGCTCTACCTTACGTCATACCTAGCTACCTCACGATCCACCAGCCCTGCAGGAAGCATTGTTGCGGCTCCAAGACCCTTTGCTCCACTATCACGGCTATCATTACTCAGCGCATCACGTGCCCAAGTGCCGGTCCGGTCCCACGATGTCCCGGTGCCGATTACCATCCATGAATGTGGGGCAGTCGACTCGTTCCCCGCACCTGCCAGCTGCAGCTCAGCCGACGCTCTGCGAAATGGCATGGAGAAGTTTGGAGGCGGGGATGTGACAGCCCCACCATAATGGACATGTCATCTGAATTTCTTAAAGGATGACATGTAGTTGAAATATACTTCCTCATCATCTGCATGCAGTAGGCCAAATCTGTCACAATGCCGAAGATTAATCACGTACGTTCTTCCGTAATGGCTTGCATGTGCATATCACTAACACCAACAGGTCGTCATCGTAGGAGCTGGCCCCTCTGGTCTTTTGCTCGGAATCCTCCTAGCGAAAAACCTCAGCATTAAAGTTACCATCCTCGATGCGGATACCAAGATCAATGACAACCCGAGAGCTGCGCACTATGCACCTTCAGCGGTCTACGACTTCCATCGGGCAGGCATCATAGACGATGTACGCGCCGTCGGGCTCCACCCCAGAGGTGTATGCTGGCGATTGCAGGATGGGACTTTCTTAGGTGGCATGGGTCGCGAGCCAGAGGACTCGAAATACTCAATGGTGGTGCTTCCGCTCGACCAGTTAGGCCCCCTACTTGTGAAGCATTTCGAGAGCTACCCGAACACCGAGATCAAGTGGGGCCACAAATTGGTCGGCGTGGAGCAGGACGACAACGGCGCAACGGCGGTTGTCGAAACCACAGGAGGCGAGAAGAAGAAGTTCACAGGCGATTATCTGGTTGGTGCCGATGGCGCATCAAGTGGTGTCCGCACAGCATTGTTCGGGAAGGAATATCCTGGAGAGACGCTCAAGGCGCAGATTGTCGCTACCAATGTATACCTGCCATTCGATGAACGATTCGACTTCTGGGATTCAAACTTCATCGTCCACCCCACCGACTGGTACATGGCCGCGAAGATCACCAACGACGGCCTCTGGCGAGTGACATACGGCGACTCTGAAGGCCTCTCAAAAGAAGAGCTCGTGAAACGCCAGCCCCTCCGCTACGAGCAAATCCTGCCCGGCCACCCCAAGCCCAACGAGTACAAACTCAAGAGCATGAGCCCCTATAAGCTCCAACAAAGATGCGCGCCCAGCTTCCGCGTGGGCAGAATCTTACTAGTCGCCGACGCAGCGCATCTATGTAATCCTTTGTATGTGCTCCATTTCTTGATGCGCTGACTCTACTAACATAACGGCAGCGGTGGCATGGGTCTCACAGGTGGTTTCGCCGACGTCGGCTCCCTCTACGACTGCTTCACCGGTATCCACCTCGACGAACTCGACGACTCTATTCTCGATAAGTACTCCGAGATTCGCATCAAGATCTGGCGCGAAATGATCGATCCCATGTCGCGGGAAAACTTCCACCGCCTCTGGGACCCCGAGCACGAGGAGAAGAGGAAGGAGTTCTTCAAGATGTGTGAAAGGGCGAGTGATGATCCCGTGTGGGGAAAGAGCGTTGCAGAGACGATACATCAGGTTAGACACGATTTTACGCAGTACTTTAAGAGTAATCAGAAGGGGAGTGGGAAGGCTATGGGGGAGCTGGCGACGGGGAATGGGGTGTTGGCGGAGAATAGTGCGGCGGCGTAGTCGTGGGAGACCGGCCTGTACAAACGTTCCATATAGAATGTGGAAAGCATGTTCCAGAACAACACTGCATGATGATTTTATATGTACCATCATCGAGCAGTGCTAGATCTAGAAGAAGGCTGGATTATAAAATCGTTCGAGTCGCCTCACGTTATTCGGCGTAATAAGCAACGACAACTGTAAGCGTTGAGCTACATCGGGGAATTTATCGGACAATAATCGTTTCATCATCTAAAACCATGCACCAATCTATACAAGGATCGTAAGAAAGTCCATCGCGGATGGCCGGAGCTGCCGTGCTCTTCTTCTTCTACACTTCATCCCCACACCAACTAAATCCCTGAGGTTCAGTGGGCATTTGATCTGCGATCATATGATGCGCATCGGCAAGGGGCAGCATTGAAGTGGATGGTAGCTCTGGAAGTCCTCATCACTGGGGAATCTCTTCTCACGCTGTCTGAGAAAGATAAAGCGTTCTGGATACCAAAGGCGCAAATCTTTTTACAAGACTGTCGAGACGACAACACTAATATAGTTGCGTTACCGACCAACTTTCGACTTTTTATCAATGCGCCGTTTCCCTAGGAACGAGTTTTGGGGAACCTACTGCAACAAAGGGGAACGAGTTCATTGATTGATTCCCGAGTTCGGGGGATGGTTGAACAAGTCAAGATACTCTTCGAGCAGGGAATTCGGGGACACGAAACAGCAGCAATGCGCGAAGCAAAATACCAACAACTGTTCGGTAGAGAGCTCTGAGGTTCTTGGAGATGCGATACTTCTCCCTTTCGCAGAGTATCTCCCTGCGTATAAGTTGAATAAAATGCAGGGGGTGTAGTTAGCTTATTGTCTCTCTGTCGCTTCTAGGTTGTCGCAGTACTATAGGATAGTGATAATAAACTGTGGGCTTCCGAATTTCGCGCACTTAGCGATAGAGAGCTCTAAGAGCGGGATCAACGTCTTGATAGGTGGTGACATATTTGCAAAGGGCCGGGGGCAGATAGTCGACAGGTGCAGATAAGAAGAGGGCTGCACTCGGATGGAATTACCGTTGACATAAGCGCCATATCGTTAGCTTGACCATTTTTGCCTGCTCTAATGAAGGTTGATCGTCGTCATGTTCTTAATGTCATGAGAGCTGCGACCGTGTAGAGAGTATTGTGTGATTTATGTGCATTAGGCGTACAACCGCCCCGGGATAGGCATCTCAACCGGGAAGCTCGTAAAACAGCAATGGCCGATCGGCTCCTCACCGTCCTCGCCCGCTTTACCATGTGTAACAGCATCCCACTGTACCGGCAAAAGACTAGCGTTCACATCTTCCGACAGCGCATGACACGCCGCACTAATAGCAGCAGGACAGCTACTAGCCAAAGGTATACCAGCCAGACACCAGAACCTGCTGATGACAAAGGCGCCGGCTACAATAGTGAAGCCAACGACAGTGGTCAGAATGATCGCAACGGGGTAATAGCCGCATGTTGAAATTTCGTTGACGGCTTTGCGCGTATGTAGGTCGGTAATGGAGACCTGAACTTTGGAGATGCTCTGTGATGCGAGCCAATGGAAGAGACCTGGCATGATAGTTATGGGAATAGCGTAGCGGAAGGGCGCGTTGAGCCAGTATGAGTCGCGTTGGAAGCCAGTGGGCGATGTAACGCAGAGTGGTTTCCGTGTTTTGACGTAGCTTGCCCACTCTGCTGAGACGAACATGTTCGTGTAGAGAGCATTCAGCGCAATGTACAAGTAGGAGAGGACCAGTTGGGGTGTGTTTGCCAGAAGCACGCCAGGGATAAGTGATGTGCCGAAGTCAAGGAGATTGTTACCGTTGACTGTCGCAAACCCTGTCTTCCATAGTTTAACAGGGTCTTTGGGCATGCCTTCTAAGGAAAGTGCTATGCAAAGTATACTGAGTCCAGCGATGATTGTGTATGTGTAGAGGTGAGTAGGTGACCGCAAACGGCTTGCACACGACTTACGCAGAGTACGTCTGCCACCACCGCATGGTGCTCGGCGCTCTGGCCCATCTCCATCTCCTCATTGCGAACCTCGTGGGCCCATTTTTGAGTGCCACTTTCGGAATGTTAGCATATTCATTCCAATTCCATCGGAGACTAACGTCTAGTCTGGTGTGCAGGCAACGGCCGTAGGTTTCGGCATCTGGATCTTCGAGGAATGCCGCGATCGCATCCCCTATCGTTACAAGCGCGCCATGATCCCAATACAGGCAAAGCAATAGTACCATACAAACCGCTATGGCGATAGTAAAGCTGAATTGCAGCTTGCAAAACTCTTCGACTTGTTCGATAGTGCAGTATGCCACGGTACTTCGAATGGCTGCCACGCTGCCCGATTGCTTGGAATTGCGGTCTTATCGTCAGGATCGCCTATGTAAAGTTTAGTCAATACACCATCTTCGTAATTGGCGAATACCGGGTTTACTTACAGTTGACAGGAGATTGAGGAAGACAGCGCCACCCGTTGGAAGGATACATTTTTGGCGTGCTAATCACCGGAAGTTGTTAGTTTGGAGCTTCGATGACATTTGTATCGTCCTCGCGGTCTTCTCTCATCGTATCTAGTGTTTCAGGCACCCATTCGAAAGAGCCGTTCTGATAACGTCGACCAACCCACTCATCAGCGCCCCGCAGAACCGTCGAATTTGACTGAATCAAATACAAGTTCCCAATAGCTGAAACATACTGCGTGCCATATGCTGCAAAGCAGTCAGATGTGCTGCCGTTCCTGTATCTGAGCACCGTGCTGCCGTTCCTCAACACCACCACATCAGAGGGGTCGAATCTGTATTGATCCCTTACTGTTGAGGAGAACACTTCCGTTGTGTTCATGCTGACGTTCAGGAAGCCAGATGTGTCGTAAACGTCTTGCGTAGATACTACCCAGCCAGGCATCGTCGGTATGACAGCATACTCGTTTGCTTGTAGGTTTGTGAAGACAACGGCAGCTTGTGTTCTTGGTCGTGACGTGGAGTGAACGCGTACCTTGCGAGCCTTTCTACGCTGCGTGTAAGTCCGTTCGGATCTTCCTGACCTTGCAGCTGCTTATACACGCTCTCTGAGCGCCGTGCGACCATTTCGTGTAACCCCAGAGGTCAAGTTCTGCAGAAAGCTTGGGGGGTAAAATGTTATGTTGGGGCCGATACAGCCTCACCATAGCCTGACTCTCGACTCAAGGATGACGTTCCAAGACTGGAGCCGGCATCTGAATGTCATTGTTAGTGGCATGGGCTGTGCTTGCATGTAGATACGTTGTGGTCTTGGCTCCACCATGTGTAACTTCTTTTTCATAAGATGCGTTGCCGTCAACATGATGCGCCAACGTTACGCGTCGGCAACCTCTCGTGTTGAGACGTCCGGGGCTGCGACTCTAACATTTCTGCTGAGAATGACTTGCGCATACACGATACGCCTCTGAAAGATCGTCATGTTCGTGAGGTGCACATGCACGGCAAACTGGGTTTGTGATGGTGGTGGTGGCTGAAGGACGTCGGCAGGAAGCGTGCAGCGAGGGTGAGGCGTAGCTTCGAGACATGTGACGTCACCAGTCTCGCACTATCACCATCAGCATGCCTGGGTGCATATTACACTGTACAGAACTTTGGGTCCGCTGAGGCACTCATCATAGTCCGCTGTTTTTCCTAATCAGTCAGTGATGCATTGGTCCGTCGAATTTGACAGATCTACAAAGTTCAATCTATGGAGCACAATTTCCCAGTAATTTTAGACCAAATTCGCATTCTCGTATCGATGGTATACTCATCAAGGCTGGAAAGGAGGTTTATTCAAATACTCTCGCTAGAGAGTTCACATTTCTTGAGCGATTATGCAAAGGACCACAGTGAAAATCATAATTACATATGTTCATCTACCTTGCAACCACCACTCATCTAAACCACGCTCCTCTTAACCCTACTAACAGCACTAGCACTCGGCGTACTCGTAGGCGGCAGTGGAACGTACTCCTCAGTATGCGTACTCTCCGCCGTACCGTTCGTGCTGTAGTCGTCCGTAACGACTTGGCTGCCATCCGCAATGACAACATGATCCAATACGCGCTTAAAATGTTCCAAACTAGCCACAGGCTGGTAGTATGGCACCTCATGCCCAGCTTCATAAATCCTAGTAAACGAGAAGTTACCATACTCGCGCACCTCACCGTACTCAACGCCATCGACAAGGAAAGGCGTGTAGCCCGCAGCGCGGAAAGCTTCGGAATCGGTGTAGTTGACAGCGAGGGAGACGGCTTCGCCGCCGAACCAGTTGCAGATGTAATCTGCGTCGCCGTAGAGGAGGGCGACTCGCACACCGTAGCTGAGGATCTCCTCAAGGTCTTCGAGGAAATTGGGGAAGACGAAGTCGCCAGTGGTGGCGAAGCCGTAGGAGACGTTGGGCGCGTTGGTGCTGGTATAGTTGATGTTTACGCCGATGGCTTCTTGCGTTGAGGCCAGGTTGAGAAAGTATTCAAAGTAGTCGGGGGGCGTTGGGTCGTCGTAGGGGTGGCGGATGTCGTAGACGCCGCGGCCACCGAAGGCGTAGTATGGCTCTTCGACTAGAGAGCGGCATAGGTTCGTGGCTTCTGCGCAGGTGAGGTACCCAGCTTCGGTCGTGCGGTCGGATTGCTTGCAGTATTCGATTTGGTCGTGGCAGCCTCCGGGCATGTAGTAGGCGTTCTTCATGAAGGTGTAGACCGTGTCGTTGACTGCTTTGATGCCGTATGTATTGTTGACGGCGAACTCGGGGTAGTAAGGAGCCTGGATCTGCTCATCGATAATACCGTTGATGACTCCGAGAGTGTCCATCTGGACTTCGACGCCAGCACATGACCCGTTCTTGATCTTCTCGTTCTGTTCGTAGAAATAGTTGTAGAAACCTGGGCCATAGTGACCTCCGTAACTAAGAATATTGTCAGCATTGCATTCATCTCTAGAGAATCACATGACCTACCTCTCAGTCCAAAGGTTGAAAGTGAAGTTGGTGATATCGGGGTCGAGCTGTGGGCTCAGCTCCAAGAAAGCCTGGAGTATGTGCCATGCACCAATAGCTGCAGCATCGGTGGTATTTGCAGTGTCTGGGTCGACCAGCGAGTAGCGGCCGTCCTCATCTGTCTCGGTGGTTTCGTAGGAAAAGCCGACACCCACGGGCTGTGAAAGGTACAGCATGTTGCTGCGCTCATTCCATGAGTAAGGGTTCAACTGTGTCTTCAGATCCTCGGTAACGTTGCAAGGGCCATGCTCCTGGAAGAGACCAATGAGAGAGTCACTTCCGGGCCCTCCGTTCAACCACAAAGTCTAACAATATGGTTAGTACACGTCGTGATAACGCTTCTTGAACACAGTACTTACCAACGGCTTCTCAGAGGGGTTCTCGCGAGCCTCAAAGAACCAAAAGAACATGTTCGTCGTGGGGTTGAGGCTGATGTACCCGGCATAGTCGTCGACACCCTCGGTGGTCTCGCACACACCCGCTTTACCAGGCTGCTTGTACGTGATCTTAGCACCGGCAGCGGATGTAATCGTCGTGACGCCTGTAGGATCAGCGGGTACTTGACGCTCTTTGATGAACGGTGCGCGAGCATTGGCTAGCGAAGCAGCGGCCAAAACGGCGGCGAATTGTGCGAAGCGCGCCATGGTGGGAAGCTTGTCGGGAAGAAGAGCAACCAAGATTTCAGGGAATGCTTGCCCAGTAAGGTAGTGTCTTCCACCTCTTTATATACACGGCCTTACTACGAAGCCAAGCGGCTGTGCGTGCACCGGCTTACCTGGCTACGCATCCCTTTCGCGTAGTTCAGCGCTGGGTCAACGTCAGACTACATGGTCGCAAGCTGCGAGCCGCGGGTTGGGGCACACGAAAGTAGTCTAAATCAGGCAACTGCGGACGTTCTGTGCAATTATTGGCCGGATAACGTGTCTTTGAAGATCCTCCGGCTGTCTGCTGGGAGCAGTGCTTAGGAAGTTCGGCTAGGATGTACCGGCACGTCCCTGGCGGGGAGATAGAGTGTGATTTGCTGTTTCACCTGCGCGACCATCAAGACTCCTTGTGCCATCTTCTTGCGATCTTTTCACCAAGCTGCGACTTCACTCACGATGTTCGCACGCCCTTTCTTGAAATCATTTGCTACAATACCGCGTTGACGTTGAAGCCTCGTATCCACAAGCTCCAAAGCTTGCTGCAGCGCGCACATAAGCTCTTTACCCAAAGAAGCAGCTCACTATGCACAGCGGCGGAACAAGGCCCTTTGCCAAGGCTTGTCTTGCTTGTTACCGGACGGGCAAAGCTTATCGACGTCATGATTTCGGCGTGATATTGGACGGGAGGCTGGCACTGAGTTTGATGAGCCGTTTGTTGTCGATTGTGTGTGGAGGTGGAAGGAGGGGAAGAGGTCGGGAATAGCCCCGCCACATGCCGCAACCGAGCCCTGTGCTGACTCCGCCCGAGCGGTAGGCCTGACTTGTGGCTTTGGTAACTGAGACGATTACTTAGAATTGTAGACGTTTTGCTGCATTAGGAAGTCAAATCGCAAGTTCTCATGCTTTAGGAAAGCCAAATGGCCAAGGCGTAGTTCAGATGGGTGTATGGTGTCTGATTGCACAGACCACTAGTAAGTGGCTGGGTGGGGATAATCACAGTCAGCAAGTAGATTATATACGGGCAACACGGCACAGTATCTCGGTGTCTCATTGACTTGGGCTCTAAGCGGGTGAGCATTTGGACGGCTACACGCGGTCACGGTAACAATCAGTCGGGTCTCCAGAGGTTTTAGCTTGAAATGAGCAATGCTGATGGTGTTCTCTACCAATGCTCTAATCTCCAGATATCGAGAGTGTTTTGTGTGAAACACGAACACCGAAGTTACTCCCATCTAATGTAAGACAGCCCAGCGGCATCTCACGGACTCAATCACGCGTTTACTCCAGCACTCGTCACGCTCCTCCGCCTCGCCTCCTCCACATCTCCGCCAAAATACCTCGCAATCTCGACGTCCAATTCCCTACCCATCAGCTTAGGCATCTCCTTGGCTTGCTTAACCGGGTTGATACCCTCGTGGTGCGCGCTCGCAAAGATGACATCCAATTCTTCCAGACTGCGACCCTTGGGTTCTGGGAAGAAGAAATAGACGCTGGGAATGAGACAAGCATTGAAGACCGCGAACATGGTGTAGGTGTTATATTGCAGGTTGGCGAACGCAGGGAGCGTGATCATGACGATGAGGAAGTTGGAGATCCAGTTCGAGCAAGTGGAGAGTGCGTTTGCTTGGATGCGGATGCGGAGGTTGGTGATTTCGGCAGGGTAGAGCCAGGTCATTCCTAGCCAGCCGATTGCGAAGAACGTGTTGAAGGCAAACATGAATACCACGGCCGTGATACCGTACTTTGGCTCTAGGACCGGGGCACCGAATTCGTTCTCGGTGGCCGTCGACGTCATGCCGCTCATGATAGCCATGCTAGCCATCATACCGAACGCGCCAAAGAGCATGAGTTTGCGACGACCGGCTCGTTCGATCAAAGGGATCGCGACTAGTCCAGCGAGGAAGTATTCGGTCCCGTTGCAGGCGGACAAGAGCCGGGACATGTCTGGGCCGAAACCGAGCGAGTTCTCGAAAACGTATGTCGCGTAGTAGGTCTGAGCGAAACTAAGGTCAGTTTGTGGTTCCACACAGTGATGTCTGAAGGTATACGTACGATGAGATTGATACCACTGATCTGCTGGAAGAACTGCGATGCAACTCCCAATAGTGTGCGCCGGAGATTCTGACTAGGACCGTTATGCAGAAGCTCCTTCATTTTGAAGGGACCGTCTCTGCTTTGTGCTTCGAGCGCGTCCTTGATGTTCGTGAGTTCAGTATCGACTTCCTCTGAGTCCGCAGAGGTACCGGCGAGGCGAGCGAGTAGGAGTCGGGCTTCTGTGTGGCGCCCGCGCATTACAAGCCATCTTGGCGAGTCGGGCAGGAAGCAAAGTCCGATCCTGAGATGATGTTAAAGAGATTCCCTGTAGAAGGAAGAGGTATACGTACATGACGAGAATGGTGAAGAAAGATTGGAAGACGATAGGGAACCTCCAGCGTACGGAGCTGTATACTTCGCCCGATGGGAGGAAGTAGAATCCGTAAGTTACCCAGTATGAGATCATTACGCCTGCGACGATGACTGCTCCGGATGTGATGATCAAGCGTCCACGTTTTTCCGGTTTCGCGCATTCAGATTGCCAGGTTGGAATCGCTGGTAAGGTTGTTAGCAAGAGGCGACGCGTTTAAGTCGATCTAATACGCACTCGCTGTGACCATGCCGTTACCAATGCCACCAACCACACGGCCAATAGACAAAAGGGCGTAACCGTCAACACCACCACCAGTAGTACCTCCTGCAGCCACTTGGAGAACAGTTCCAACAATCATGATGAAGCTGCCCCAGAAGCTACTGCTTTTCCTTCCCCAGACCTCACCGTAAAACAGGATGAGAACAGCACCGAGGAAACATCCGATCTGGTATACCGCGACGCATGCGGATAAGATACTGGGGCTACCCGTGCACATACTCGGATCGGGAACAGTGTTGGTCGGTGCATCGAGCCAGCAAAGATTGTTTTGACGTTCGCGAGGTGTCATAAGAGGAAAGTGGCGTTGGAAATCTGCATTGTGGATGAAGTCAGTGCATGTCCGATGTGTAAGCTGTACAACATAGTGCTTACCATCGAGAGTGAGGACCCCTGATAGAACACCCTGATCATAACCGAACATGAGAAAAGCCAAGCAAGAGCACCATGCTATGGCGTTGTTCAACGCTTTCCCTTGGAGGAGTCCAGCGCCGGGGACGTGCCATTCTGGCAGATTGCCGAGCTTGGAGAAGATGCCTAGTACACCGGAAGGCTGTGATGCTGACTTTTGTTGTTCAATCGCATCTTGTGATGATGAGGGGTTCCCATAATTGATATTGTCGATACGCGTGTCCGGGGAATGTTCAGAGCGCTTCTCATCAACCTTTTCGGAACCCATATTGAGACTGAAATAGTCAAAAAGGCTTTAGGTAGCGGATAGTATAAACACCTGCTGGTCAGCATCGTCTTATACTTTTGCGCTTCCGCAAATTCGGCTATCCTGCCGGTAGACAGACGCGTTCAGGTTGCAGCCAACTCCTCCGTGCGCCATCACCTGCAACCCCAGAGTCTTAGCCATAGCATATATGGGGTAATTTGTGGCTGGTACAAAGCCCATAGGCGACGTAGTCCAAGCCTTTGTCAAGTCGGAACGACCTCATCGGGCAAGCCGTCCAGGTTTTGAGGCTTTTCCGATGCACTAAGTAGGGCCAAGAAGCCAGACAAGCAGCGGGGCGGAGCCTTGACCTTGGCGGGCACCCTCGTCTCGGCGCTCGGGTCAGGAACACGGGAGAAAGCGTGAGCAGAGATGAGGATTGCCGCGTGGTCGGGAAGATTGAGTAAGAAAAATGGAAATAAGTCCGTGTGAGAAGTTGTTTGTTGTATGGCAGACGTGCTGTCCACGTCTGCTTTGAATCGTATATAACGCCGAACCATGCTGACTGTATAGTACATATGTGTACAAGCATGCGGCTTGCTTCATGCCTGTTGATGGCTCCAGATGGTGCTCATGATTGCCGGGGCTTCCATCTGTTATTGAGCGACTCCACTCTATTCGTCCTGATCTCCACCATAACCCTGATCCAATATCCGTCGTGGCCGTCCGACGTTCCCCTTTGCGCCCGCTGAGTTCGTGATGCAGTAGTCGTTCTATTTCTTGCCGCGTTTCGCTTCGAGGAAGAGTACTTGTTTCCGCACTATTCGTTGTCAGCCATGTTCCTGTATCTGACCTGCCCTGTGAAGACCACCAGGCCCTTTGATTCCCCCAGCATTACACCCAATCTAGTATGGTATCGTGCATGAGGCAGACGCCGGTCGATCTTGGAGGGAGGAAGGCGTAAAGGTGTCGTACCGATGGGGTCGTATTTGAGCATGCTCAGAGGTTGATGCGCGCGTGGTCTTTGCATTGTGCGGTAGTAGCCCGTCATGGCCATGGAAATCAGGCGCACCATAATGGTACGGGACTTTGCTGTGAGGTGTCGTCAGCGTATGTCCGCGGATGTGTGAGTCGTTGGAGGGCGCATTGCGGTTTGGCGGGGGCGCCATATCGGCTTCTAGGGATCTCATATCGCAGGAGAACAAGGGCGCATACCTTTCTTCGCCATTGCGACAGGCGGGGAGGTGTGGTGCCGACGTCAACGGTGGTGATGTCGCGGCGTGACGATTTGCAGATGCGGATCTTGGACCGGAGGTTCTGCGGCGCCAAGCTGGTCAGCCAATCAGCGTGGATTGAGGTCTGCGCGACACCTCAGTTTAGCTGTGCCTGTCAACCCTCTTTGTCCCGACCATCACGGCCATGTTGCCGAGCGGACTCCTCACCCCTGAACTATTATGACCTGGCTTCATTAATTACAGTGCTGCTCTTCCCTCGGCCAGTGGACTCATGCCTGACAGCGATTGCGCAAGCACACGATACGCCTACCCCTTGCGTCTTCAGAACTCGTCTTCGTCTTTGCGACGCTTTCCTCTTTTAATGTCATCTCATGTCTCTGCAATCGTTCAATAATCTCCATTACTTTTTCCTGACTCGATGCCCGTACGTGATATCGCCGTTCCATCTCTCTTGCAACACATCTCCGTTGCCAGACTCAAGGATGACGACAAGATTTGCAATCGGACATCGACATTATCGGTGTACCTCACAGACTCCATATTCGAATGCGAGGGGATATTGAAAAAGAAGTGAATTGATCTATCTCGTAATGTTGGAGCAGAGCAACCTGCAGACCCATGCGACATGCCTCCACGAAGCGGGCGAGCGGAACAGCTCTGCGTCCTTGCATACACGCAACCTACCTTCCTAATCTGCGTGGTAGGCGCAGTCTCTGTATGGAAAAGGTTCCGCTTTTGCGGTCTTTGGGAGGCAGGGCGATGCAATTTGGTTTCTTCTGGGCTCCAGGTCTGGGACACTACTATCGCACTGAGGCAGTAGGTCCCTTCTGTGGCGCCGTTGTACCAGTTGGAAAGCGACATTCGAAGATCGCGCATATCCCCTGGAACATCGAAACCAACCTCGAGCCGATGTTAACAATGAGCTGAGAAAGCACTCGCAAAGGGGAGCCACGGAGCGACAGACCTGGATATCAGCAGCTTTTCAAAGTCGATACTAAGACGTCCATAGGCTAGGATGGATGCTCAACGGACCCTCACATCGCATGTCCATACTCATAGCGCAAGCGCTAAGGGCAAAAAGAGCGTGGAAAAGCAGGGCGTGCAACAGGCACGTGCTGTTGTCGCCTTGCGTGCTCAAATCGCTGACCAAACCAAATCCAAAGTGAAGCCAAAGGATTCACAATAAGAATTGTAGCGTCTCTTTGATTGAGCGTGTCATCCTTAGCGCAAGGGCTATGTTAATCTTCTCTGTATAGTTTAAAATGACCAAATGCCCGAAGGCGAAGAGAAGCTCGATTGTGGTGCTTATATACCCAAGGTCGAGCAGTGAGAGCAAAAGAGACCGAATGGTATCAAACAAGTATAAAATCTGCGAGGACTTAGCAACTGGAACCGGAAAGAGAAGCGAGGAGGAAAGATTTACCATATCTACCGCAACACCAAGGAGGGTTTCCTTCGACCTTTCTCATCCTCCACTCCACCAACCAATCCATCCTGCCACAACGACTTCTTCAAATCTATTCGACTAAGTACCCTAAGAAGGAACGGAACTCGTTCACGGTGACGTAGCCTGAGAGACCGCCGATGAAGACGGTGGTGTTGTTTGGGTCAGTGAACTGGTTCATGGAGTGAGGAACACCGTAGTAGCCGCCCATTAGGGGAGCTTTCTTGGATACATGCCCATACCGCTGACTTCTCTTGACGCTTGTTGATAAGTAGCGCAAAAGGCGTCTCGGTTCGTAGTGTTGAGTTCGACGAAAGGCGACAGCGATACCCTGGATGTAGTCAGCCAGAGTGCTCACCTCGGTTGGGTACTCGGGGTACTCGGTAGGGGTATGAGCAAGGTTTGAGGCACCATGTACTTGTCTTGTTAGTCAAGGAGCTCAATGAGGGAAGAGAATGGACTTAGAAGTGGACCAAGTGTTGTCGCAATGGTCATGAGGGATCCGCATGTATGAGCTCGACCATCGGCGCGTCGCCATTGCAACACAGAGTGTGGCAAGCCGGAGTAGTTGAAAGTATACTCGTACTTGGCCTCAATATCATGGCGGAAAATGAGACGGGAGTGGGCAGACGGCGGCGTCGAGGCAGGTATTACCTCCGAGACCACGGTCAGAGGCGACGACTTTGCCTCAGTCAAGGATGCAGAGCATACGAGGAGGTATCCGGCGACGGCAGGAGCTTCCCAGTCTCTGCTTACTTGTGAGTATACGATCAAGTGTCGTGACTTACATTAGCCACGACGACCGCCAAAACGCGTCTTCCGACACATGCACCAGCGCGGAGACAATCACCAGCAACACGCCTCAACGATCTCGACGAGGGACTCCCTACCACCACGGCCCCCGTGGCATCGAAGCGGCAACGGCGTTGGCGACAACAGAGACATTGGACGGCACACAAACAGGTCTGGGGAGGATCCAACTCAAGGGCAGCATGAGGGGGTGGAAATATCGTACAAATTGGAGCTTCTAGTTGGCACAAATTCGCATCTGGAATACAAGTGGCCCGTCTTCTCCACGCGTCTCGAATCCGCAAGGCTTCTTTAACGGCGGCACGATCTAAAGAGCGGCTGCACTTGTGCGAGTAGGCCAAGCTTGACATAATATAGGCTAGATAGTACTCGCGTTAGGTCTGCTACTTAGATCTACAGTATCTTTTCTCCGTGTTAAACTCTCTCCCTTTTCACCGTTTTCCTTGTCAAGACTATTCGCGAAATGGTCCTCCGCATCAGGCTGTCTCTCCGCGTACCTCGAGACCCACAACACACACGAACGACTCGAGCGGAAACTGATATCGAGGACTGCAAAATCCTTCGAGAGTACACCATCTCCTCAACCAGGCGCTTAGTCCACAATTCCTGCTGCGCTCCGTCTCGATGACACAGCTAGTCTAGCTCCTGGCCGAAACGATCGTTATAGCCATCGCCGAATGCGGTGCCGTTCCTGCCTACACCACCGTGTTAGCTCAGTTCGATACGAGTTCACAGCGAGCGTCCTTACTCTGGCTCCTAGTAAGACGAGTCGAAGATCGACGGGTCGGACCAGCAGTGGATATTTGCGATGCAGGCTGGCCACGCGGTGAGTATGCACCACTAGAAGACGGAGCCTGGCGGGTGACACGACCACGCACACGGGAGGAAGCGGCATGGGTCTTTGATCGAGACGAAGTAGAAGCACTTGCCTGCCCATACAACAGAGCTTTTTGTGCCTTCGGGCGCGAGGCCGAGCTTGACTTTCTAGAAGCATACGGAGGTTTTCCAGGAAGATCAGAAGAGGAGTTCAACGAGCGCGACTGAGATCTGGTCCGCTGCCTCTTGATAGCGTAGCTCTTCTCGGCTATATCGCTGCTGCTTTTACGCTTCTCGGCGTGCTCCTGCTTCGTGGAAGGCGTCGCGCCGTGCTGTGAACCGGATTGGGCAGAGCGTCGAGGGTCATACTGGTTATTGATCTGCTGTGACGAAGGTTTAGTCCGATCTCTAGAGTCTGAGGCATTTGTGCCGCTATCGCCGAATATCTCCAAAAGTTTGCCGTACGTAGTATGTCGACTGGAACTTCCGCGCTCTTCCGCATGGATACCAGTACCAGACTGAGGGTATCTGAAGCCATTACCAGGAGGTGGCATCATCCGCGATGCTGTGTTGGCTTGCGATCGTGGTCGTCCAGATGATCGAGATGAGTAAGAGCCAGCCACAGATACGTTGTCGACTGCTGGCGTTGCTTTTGCATTTGCGTGGGCTGTAGCCTGATTGGAAAAATCACGAACGTAACCCCGAAGCATGGCACCTGACGCAGGTTGGGTCTCATCCAGCGCTGCTAAACCGTCGAGGGATATACTACTCAAACTCAACGAGCTCGAGACGTGGCGATTGAGGTCTTGCTGTGACGGTCGGAACATGTTGAATATATCCTGTGAGATAGATGCACTTCCAATAGCCTGAGTTTCTGTAGCCGTTCCAGATTCGTGATCAATGCTGTCTGCGTTGTTGGGGGGTTCATGAGCGTCATGTTGTGTCGCAAATAAGTCGTCGTCGTCAAGCTGAGTCTGTGAGACCTCGGCGTTCAGGGCCCATGATGGCTTCTCAAAGTGGTGACTCTGACCATGGAAAACGTCGAGCACCGAGTGGTTTTGTCGTTGAAGTTTCTTCCGGGGCTTCGCTACCTGTTCGGCATCGCGTGGATCTTTTGAAACACTCTTGCCAGCCTGAACTTGGGAGCCGTCTTGTTGCTTGCGGCGGTCATTTTCGCGTTCAGCCTCAATCGCGTCTAGATATTGTCGTTCGAGTTTCTGCATGTTCGAGTCTGCCTTTTCGCGATCAGATGCTAGCTTGGCTTTAAATTGGTCTTCCGCGAGCCGTAAATCCGCCCCTGCTTTCTCCAATGCAGCGTCTTTCTCGGCCAGACGAAGTTTCCAGCCATCTACCACGATGCGGTGTTCCTCATTTAGCTTCTGGCGCACTTGATCGGCATCTTTTTGGCATCGAGATTCGTCTGATTCCTTTGCAGTGCGTAGTTCGGCTAAGTCTTTTCGCAGTTTGCTCTCATTGGTCCGGGCTTGCTGAAGTTTCGACGATAGATCCTTCTTTTCCTCTTGAAGTGTAGAAATCTGATCGTGTAACAATTCGAGCGTATTGCTTGCATCTTGTTGTACTTTCCTCAGTGTAGTATCAGCCTCTTCGCGCATAGTTTGCATCGTCGTCCCTTGTTCGGTTGCTTGGGCCTGTGATTTATCGAGCAGACCTTGCAGCTCGGAGATCTTCTCGGCCTTCTCATCGCAACGGCGGCTCAATTCAGCATAGCTTCTACTCTTGGTGTGAAGCTCTTCGGTAGTCTGTCGTAGCTGCTCTTGAATGTTTGTCGTTTCCAACGCCTTCGATTCAAGTTTGCGGATCTTCTCCTCCAGCTCGTCGATCTGGGTATCCGCGGCTTCCAGATTGACGCTCACTTCTTGGCGTGCGTTTTCTTTCTCGTCGCGCTCAGTCGTGAGTCGATCAGTCTCGCTCTTCAAGCTGCGTTCTTTCTCGGCGAATCTACTTTCGTAGTCTTTGGCGATCTCCTCTCGTATGGCAATGTCGTCCTCAACCTGTGAACAGAGTTAGTGAGGCTACGGGATGGGAAAGGCCTTCCTGCCCTGTGATTCTGCTGCAGTTCCAGTAGCTGCGTCTTGACATCCTCGTAGTGACTCTGTCATTCGTCAGAAAACCGCAATAGACAGGAAATCAACGCCGCTTACCTTGCACGCATCTCTTTCTAGCTCAACCATCTCTACCTTGTTATTAGCAGCTTCCAGGTCTTCCCCGACCTCCTTCGACTGTCGGCGAAGGACAAGAGCTTCTCGCTCGAGCCTCTCCGCGTCGACGTGTGGGACGGGGGGTGAAACCCTCAGTTCATTCAAATCTTGTTCCAGCTGATCGGATTGGGCCTGAAGATTGACCTCAGACTGCTGGAGCACCTCGGTTTGCTCTTGAAGCTGATCGGAATGTTGCTGCTGTTCCTCAAGTTTCGTCTTGAGAGAAACGTTCAGCTCCTGCGTTTTGCGGTTCTCGGTAGTAGCCTCATTGTACCCCAGGATAGCTTTCTGAAGGCCGTCCACTCGCTCTCCAATGAAATTCCGGAGTTCCGTTTCATTGGTTGGTTGGCTCTTCATGGTCTCGGAAAGGGTATCAAGACCTGAGTCCAAACTGTGCGACTAGTCAGTACGTTAAAGATGCACGATGAGAAAGGACCATGACTTGCCGTTCGTGCACAAGACGCAACGTGCTCTCCACCTTCTCGATTTCTTTGATTGTCAAAGCTGGCGACATCTGCAGGGTTCGCAAAGCATCCAGACATTCTTTGATCTGGGCATCTCGGTCGTCATTGGCAGAAGCCTGTTCAAACGAAGTCTGGAGTGATTCCAACTTCTTGGCCAGATTATCAGAAGCATCGACAATCTTACCGGGAATACTCTGGACACCTGACAGGAGCTGCTTTTCCATGTCTTCGCGTTTTCTCCGCTCTTCTCCGAGTTCAGCATCCCGCTTGCCCAGGTTTTCGAGAAGATCTCTCCTCTTTGACTCCGATATGATGAACTGCACGTATACAACGTCGAGCGTCGACTTCATCTTCCGTTGAGTTAGAGTGAGCCTGTCAATTGCGGTCTCGAATTCGCGGTACAGCGTCTTCTTTTCATCCTCAAGTTCAGTGATTTTATCTGTTAGTGTCCGCTTGCTCTGCTTTTGGAAGCTCGTGGCAGACTTTTGCAGCTTCTCGTAATCTTGCTGAAGGCCACTTACGAATTTCTGGTTGGTTTTGGCCTTGTCAGTCAGTTGGGCGAAAGCTTCTTTCAGCTTTCGATGGCTCTCATCACGCTCTGCGATAGTCTGGGTCTGGTTGTTGATAGTGCCTTGAAGCCTAGCGAGTTCTACCTCGTGCTGCTTCGCGGCAGTCGTGCTTTCATGCTTGACTCGAAATTTGTCAGCTAGCATCGCCACTCTCAGGCTCTCAACTGCTTGGTCGACACTAGTAGACATGGCCTGTGCCTGGGGGCTGTTCGGGAGCAAACCACTGGGTCGTAGCCTTCTTCGAGGTTTAGCCACACGGTGAGATGCGTCTTGGTGAGAGATGCGATGTAGAACAGCCTCAGCATCCTTTGGTTGTGGTACACCCTGTTGACTGTTCGCAAAGACTTCGGGCTGCTGAAGTTGAAATGACTGAGCAGATATGGCAACTGACTCGTGATTATCGAGGTTATGGGGGCCAGAGTCTTGAGGTGGCAGTAGATTACGTTCTTCGGGAAAAGCCAATCCGCTGTCCTGATCGTGAATATCTACGAGCGGCTGTTGCTCTGGCTCTGTGGCGTCCACTTGCGGAGGTAAAGTCGATGCCACTAACATAGAAGACGTCGGGAATTGGCGTTGAGCAGAAGACTCTGGAAAGTCCTGGAAGGTCGTGTCCGGGAGGGTCTGGGTAGTGTTGCAGAACTCTTCATCATGAGCGATAACCTCATGGTCTTGAATTCGAGGATAGTCATCAACATATGTATGAAGATCGTCGGTAGGCGCAGATGCTTGCACTATATGAGATTGGGAAGCATGGTCTGTTGTGTCGTCGGCATCAAGGGGGATGTTGAATGTCTCGGCTACTGGTCTGCCCGTCGTCATGGCCTGTTGGGCGTGTCGTGCCAGAACGCTTGATCGAGGAGGTCGTTGTACTTCACGCTGCTGAGAGAGTTGTCCTTTTCTTCCTTTCTTGCTCTTCTTGACGATACGGACCTTGCTAGTTCGAGAAGCTGGCCTTGCGTTGGGCTGTGCAGACGGAGGGATTTCATACGTCGTGTCCACTTGGGCAGGTCTACGTAGGTCAGTGGGGTTCTGGTAGCTTGCTAGGAGCTCTTACAGTGGGTATGCGTCACCGGCCAGCGGAAGAAAGAGTTGTTCTTTCTGATTGGCAGCAGAATATGACTCGTGGCGATAGTCGTTGTTAGGGAAGAGTGGTTGTGAGACATATGCAGGCTCTGTTACTGCAGTGGCATCTACTCGCATGTTAGTCTGGTCGGTTGGAATGGCGTGATGGCTTGCCCTGAGATGCCTCCACAACCTGCTTATTGGCACCAGATATTGTCGACTCAGTATGAGGACTAGACCTTGCGGTAGTAGCATCGTCCTTCTGGGATACCTTGTTGGGAACTTGGTTTGGTTGTGAGCATGAGAAAGCGAATAAGGGTACATTTGCTGATCTAGGGTTATCGTTCAATCCGAATGTTTCCTCGACGCGAGTGTTGAAAGCAAATGGAACCCATGCTGATGCAGGAGTTCCCGCCTTTTTCGTCACTGCAGTGCGCTGTAGCAGTTCTGCAGTGCCGGGACTAGTAGGCAGATTGTCGAAATTCGGCTCACGCTCGAGAGTGAAGTCATCACGAATGTAGTATCCGTCCTGATTCGGCTGAGTCTCAGGAACAATTGCATCGCTATCAGGTTCTTGGGGGGCAAGCTTCTTGCGATCTCGCTCATCATCGGTTGACTCGGGGCGTACTTCATGTCTGAGTCGTGAAGGCTTCTGCCTCTTGGGCACTTGCTTGCCTTGTCGAGGCAACTCGGCCATGGTGAGTGATAGCACTGCCAGTCGCGTTCGAACGTAAGGAAACCGTAGTAGAAACAGCGCAGGTAGAGGACGAGAAGCAACGTGCTAGACGACTGCACGATAGGAGAAGATGAAGTGTCATTTGACAAGAGTGAGGGGCGACGAAGTTTGCAGCGGCGCCCTGCCTTCGTTCTGTCCCCCGCCGGCATGAGGGAAGCACGACTGAACGAGATGACACGCCCTCGGCCATGACGACTGAGAGGAACAGAGTGGCAGGCGCGTCGAGAAGAGGAAGAACACCCACACCGCATACCTACATAGATACCAGTGAAGCTCCCCCATCGCGGCGGACGTATCTCACGCTGCAGCATGCCTTGAGAACGCGTTTACCACATCATGCGTCATCTTCATGCTCTACTAAGAGCCTCTTCACCGATAAGTGTCCGGACACAACTTGCTACGCTTGCCATAAGGCTCGGCTGCTGCCATTGCAGTCCTCCGACATGATGATGCTCTCCAGCTGTACCCCGCGCGGCAATAGACACGTCACGGTAGGCAATGAAGGCAAACAAGCTTGGGAATCTTTGAGGGGTACGTACTTACTCCAAAGTCGCCTCATCCAGCGCACCACACTGATGATCGCCGTGCACCCCATTGATAGCGCGCATCCACCAGAATACCCAGGTAACATCGTACGATAATTGTCCCTAGATTAGAGAAGGTCGTGTCGCCTGCCATGTGATTGCTTTTTACACGTCGTCTGGTCCACTTTGCGCCGAGACGTAGATGGCTAACGTGGACTGCACCGGAGATGAGGAGCCAGAAATACCTTCAGACCACGGGCTCACCGACTACAATAAGCGGCAGCTGCTACATGTACGTCTTGAGGTGGATGATGGGAGTCGTCGCCTTGCATGCTCCCCTGAAACGAAAGTGTGCGGCGACATGCCTAGCCGGGCGCTTCAGACCGGGGTGCGTCCAATCATATTTTAACCCTTGCTAGCTCCGCTGCACGGTGATCTTCGTCTACACAGTTACGCGCCCACTACCCAGTACGCCCTACCAATCCTTTCTGCTTATCCCTCCAAGCCGACAAAACTCGACGCCAATGCCGCTATATTAAGAGAATGGCCTGATGTACTCTCCGGCAGCCAACCTGGTCTGCCGTCCAAGCGCACGATGCTAACCGCCGAGAAGCCCTGAGACTGGCGGGGTATTGGACGAGTGATGGCAAAGGTATTGGCTTGGATAAAAGATGTTCGCAGGCGGCCACGCAAATATAGAGACATGCCCTCCGTTCTGGTAGCGAGTTGTTGGTATTCCTCCAGTTGATCGAACGTCCTTCACGCCAGCCTCGTGTTACCTCATATCCAATTCATCCTCCCGTCCACGCCGCATTCCACGGCACATCGACATCATGAGCAGGCCTCTCCTCCTCTCATTCCTCCTCTCATTCCTCCTCCCTCTGCTCGCCCTTGCTCAGGACTCCTCCTCGGGCAGCGAGCTTCCTCCTCCCGGCTACAACGGCGGTAGCGATAACCCGCAAGACCCTAGCGATGCTGGTGCTGCGGGAACACAGAAGGGTGCTTTCTCGCTCTCGGGAGGTGCTATCGCAGCGATCATTGTCGTCGCCGTTCTAGTCGTTCTTGGATCCAGTACGTTCTGCCGATTGCGTCCCAACATACTTGAACTAACATCAACGCAGTCGCATCGGGTGTACTTTGGTGGCTTGCGAAGAAGCGCCAGTGGGACGTTCGAGCATCCATCCGCCGTGCGTCTCGTCGCTTTACTGGCCGCGCGAACAACGACACCGGCAAGCAGAACCGCGAGAACCGAAGGACAGGCATCAGACTCAACTCGCCGCCCCCGGGCAAGAACGCCAACAAGATGCGCGATATCGAGAAGGGCCTTCCTCTGTCCAACAAGGCGCCACAAACTACAACTACCATCACGAGCGTGATGAGGTGAAGCTCCAAAGGCATAGCATAGACTATCTGGAAGCAACACGAGCGCCGCCACGCGGGTCGAGGCACCCGTCGATGAGAAAGACGATAGCAGAGTTTAGAACAGGACGCCTTGCAGCTTGCATCCGTCGCAATGCGCACATGCATACCGCACCCTTCATGCGGCCTATCATAGCATGCAGAGCATGCGTCTTTCGGGCGTACACGAATATCACGGCAACGATAGCACTTGGGAAGCGGTCGATGGCCGCCTAGGACTCTGGAGCATTTGCACTTTGGGTATCATTATTTTCTTGTCAGCATCTTATGATACCACGCTTTTTCGGACGTATGGATAATGGACGCATCGGTCAGCGTCGATAGGGTCAAGACGTAGACCGTAGAGTTCGATAGTACCTAAATATGACTATAACCACATTTCCAAAGACCCCAAATTTTCTACCCACCTTTCGACACACTCGAAGTGAAAGCCTTAGGCCCGGGAATACTGAGGCCCTCTGTACGACCACGCCAAGTCAGAGACCGCCCATCTGACCACCAGCGCTTGGCCAAACGTCCAGAAATAGCCCGTTACTTGGAGGTTTTTTGGAGGTTTCTTGGAGAATGCTTGGACAAATGCCCAGGAATAGCTTGGAGACAGCTTGGGAAAGGCTTGGGAAAGGCGTGGTATATACAGATATGATCTGACCGTGATCCTGCGATTCCGGTGTTGCGGTATGCATCCGGCTGGGCACCCACTCCATTTGCCGGCTCTGTATGACTGCCGAGAGTCTGACCCAGGATTAGAGAAACGGTAAAGGTGCAGGGTATGTGACGAGATGGCTTCTTGCAGCTACTTTCCGAGAATAGTTCGCTGTGCCGCAAAGCTACATCCATGAATCGTGGAGGACGACCAGTAAGCAAATCGTGACTCGGACCTCGCTTCTGCAGTGCCTCCCTAGTAGCAATACTCGCGAATGTATGATTGCTTTACACATGCATGATCAACACTCGATTGATGATCGAGACCTTGGCCAGGTACGACACAACACGTGGAATGCGTGCGCCACGTGATCTGGCGAGTACACTAGTCCCAAAGTAGTTCGCCCAACGCGTTCCCCGCATCATCGTGTCTCGCGCCATCTCTGCCCAACGCGACAGCGCTACATAGCACTCGCATAGCGAAATCGCACTGAACAGGACAACATGGCCTCTCGACACCGAACCACGCGGCCATCTGCTAGTCGCCCGTCTGGGGTTTCTACTCCAGCCCGAACCGCTGGCAGCAACCGCAGCGCAGACGTCCTTCCACCATACAAGAAGCCATCCCATCCCCTCGATACAGAAGCGACGCGAGCCCTGAGGGAATTACAAGGCCGTAACCTGAACGACATCAAGAGGCATAACAAGCAGGCTACTGAGCATGTCACAAGCACAGCGGCAAACATCAACGACATGCTTCGCGATCATGCTGGATACATCGAGCGGCGACAGAAGAAGTGGGACGTAGGCAAGAGTCTGGAGGACAGAGAGGAAGAAGAGCATACCATGGCAGAGCTCCAGACGAATGTCGATGTAGCTACCACAAAGCTAGAGGAAAGCATGCGAGCCATCATCGATTCGGGTGTCGCTGCGCAGCGCATCGAGGAAGCGTTGGAGTGGTTGAGGAACACTGCGCCTGCGCAACTGGCAGACGAATATCGGACACAGATGTCGCAGCGGGAGACACAACGGCAAACCCAGACTCAGGCAGCGAGCCAGCGAGCACAAAACGAGGGTGACGACGAGGAGATGGAGGACAGACCTACACCCGGTCCCACACCACTCGATGGCTCTCGTGTAGCCCTCACAGGTGCGAGCGAGCTGTTTGCAGATCGCATGCAGCGCGACAAGGACGCCTACACATCACTATCCTACACAGCGCGCTATGCACGCAATAACGATTACCGCGAGTTCAAGCGTACGGTACATGATGCAAAGTATGGCGACGAGGGTCCTACACTAGGTCATGAGGACGCCTGGTTCAATGAGTCCGGGTCGCCAGCGCCTGGCATTACGGACACACGACGAGGCGACCTCGACGACGACGATGACATTATAGTAGACAAAGCGACCATCAGCACGAGGTGTCCCATCACATTCCAGCAGTTCAAGGAGCCCTACACAAGCACGAAGTGTCCTCACACCTATGAGAAGTATGCCGTTCTCGATATGATCCGATCGGGCCCTCACAGGGTGGACGGCCAAAAAGCTATTGTGTGTCCGGTCAATGGGTGTGAACAGGTAAGTCTAATTGTCGCATGTTAATGCCCTCGGCTACTCGCGCCGATGCAGACTTGTGCTGACATTACTTCTTAGATGCTCACCAAAGACGACGTCCGCAAGGACACTATTATCGCTCGCAGAATCAAGCGCATGTTGGCGGCTGAACTTGAAGGTGACGACTCCGATGAAGACGTGCAAGCTCCTGATGAAGTTCAACAAGTCGATGGGAGCGACGATCTGTCTGGATCGGCTTCGAGACTGCAGGCTTCGGGGCCTCAACAGCCGCCAGAGTCAAGCATTGTCGAGGACCTCGGATCTCCGAGCGATAGCGAGATGTCGGTTTAGCCTATGCACGATGGGAATGGCGTTTCGATTTCGGATGGGCTCAATGATATCCAAAGGTGCAAATACGTAGTTGCATTTCAGCTGAATATGTTGAGACATCAGATAGGCCGCGCAATCTATGCGGCATAGTACTTGTCCCGTAGTCAGGCATCAATCTTCTCAACAGCACCTTCGCAACCCTTTCGTTTCTTCTGCAGGCGTTCAGACCGGCCGGGCGCCTCCACATTCCCGACCCTGTGCCGAAAACTGGCTGACCTTCCACTCACCCACGGACATCGTGTCGGCCTAGATCTGAAGCCCTGCATGAAATCTCGCTGTAAAATTCTTCCGCTAACAAAGTATTCCACAGCCTGTCGTCACTCAGAATGTCTTCGGCCGCGGATACCTTCGGGTCACTGGTGGTTGCAACTTCAACCGCGCACCTGGGCAAAGGGCCTCAGCACCGTCCCGTCCAGCGCTGAGGACCCTGAATCCCGCCCAAAAGAAAGCGATCTCGCCAGTCCATTCCGATCTGCGACATGGCGGTATATCAATACTCAACGAATGAAAAGCAATGTGCGTGCACGCACGTCGGGTTGGAACGACGCACGGATGGATGCACGTTGTGCTCGCGGAAATCGCATGCTCATCCGGAAAAGCACAGTAAGGTCACTGCGCCTAGTAACAGGGTATCGCAACCACAACGTGGTATACTGCAGCACAGGTCTCCCAAGGCTCTCACAGTATTGTTCGTGACATGTGACAGGATGCGCTGTGTTGAAGTTGCGATCGTTGGATTGGCCGAAGGCTGCCGTTACAACAAACGTCATCGCTCACATGCAAGCGGTTCCGCATGTGGCGCACTGGAAACGGGATACTCGGTGCCTGAAGATCGTGTGTTACTCGAGCAAGACAGTGCGCAATGGTATGAGCCTCAACGGTGCAAGGGAAACCGGATGGCATGGACACGCGACATCAATGCGCCCCAGCTCGTCCCGCTCCGCCGTGCACGGTAAACTTCAACATGGGAGCCTGTGAAGTAAGAATGGCATCAGAGTTCAAGAAATCAGCGTCACCCGATTGGTCCAACAGCAATTGGCATCTGGTAGGACGAGCAGCAGTTCATATCAGTGGCTCGCTGGGCAGCTCTGCGATGCGGGGAAACGCAGCCCACCCCTCAGTTCATGGCACCGGTCGACTGGCTGGGCCTGTTGACAACTAAGAACAACAGATCATCGTGCTGCTTTTGCCCTCCAAGCTTCTTCACTCACAGCCTCGTCCATAACTTCGTCTCTTCTGCTACTTCAATCCAAGCTGCATCGTCGCATAGTCGTTTGATGCTAGGGAGCGGGTAGTCGAGCGCATACCACCCTACCCACTAAACCCGCGACCCACACCCCACTTCTCCGACGCGGACTGGATCCTCCGCACAGACGTCAGCGCACGAGGTACGCACCCAACGTCCCATCTTCCTCTTCACCGTCTTTGAGCATCCACAATGCGATCGCCGCGGGTGCAATCGGAAAGAGAAGGGTTATCGCACGTGCGCGTGCTTTCGGAAATGCACACATGTCCGATGGCATTCTTTCCTGTGCGCCGAGCGAAGCTGTACATCTAGGTCGTAGCCGGCTAGCTTGCGACGTCCACGGCCGCGGTGTAAGGCGCATGGGAACTGCGTCTCAGGCTGAGGCTCTGCCAATACCTCACGGACGCACGTCGTAGTGCTATCCTGCTGGGATATAGACCCGGCCATGGAGTCTCTTTTGTGGGCTTTCTTACTTTCTTAGTTACAGTCTTTCTTCACATTTGGTCTATTTCCAGTACAGCATAGCGACAGCGATATACCCCACAGATCCTCTTTTCCTGCATTATCTATTCACATATCAAGACTGCGTAGCTGTCACTGACAACGCAATGTCAACAACAGCAGCTGCCACTTCGCAATCCCTTAAGATGCCCGCCGCACGCGCCCTCGAGAACGCAAAGCAATCTTCAGAAGCTGTACTAAGCGACGCATCCTCCGCCATGTCCAAAGCCGCCGAGAACCCCAAGAAGGCCACCGCCGACTTCCTACATACACCCTTCATGCGCGCAGCACTGCCCTTCGTAAACGGCGGCATCGCAGGCATGACAGCAACAACCGTAATCCAACCCGTAGACATGGTAAAAGTGCGCCTACAACTCGCCGGAGAAGGAGTAAAGACCGGCCCCAAACCCACTCCGGTCACAGTCTTCCGCGACATCATCGCCCAAGGCAAAGTCCTAGACCTCTACACCGGCCTCAGCGCGGGAATCCTGCGCCAAGCCGTCTACACAACCGCGCGCCTAGGCTTCTTCGACACATTCATGAAGAAATTAACCGCACGCGCCAAGGAAAACGGCACAGCCATCGGCTTCAAAGAGCGCGCAGGTGCGGGACTAGCCGCAGGAGGACTCGCCGCCATCGTCGGCAACCCAGCAGACCTCGCCCTCATCCGCATGCAATCCGACGGCCTGAAACCCGCCGCCCAACGCGCAAACTACACGTCCGTCATCGACGCCCTCGTCCGCATTAGCAAGCAAGAAGGCGTCACGCGGTTATGGGCCGGCAGCTACCCGACCGTCGTCCGCGCCATGGCCCTCAACTTCGGTCAATTGGCCTTCTTCTCTGAAGCTAAACAGCAACTCAAGAACACATCGTTGTCGTCGCGCACACAAACTCTTACTGCATCGGCTGTCGCGGGCTTCTTTGCGTCGTTCTTGTCGCTGCCGTTTGACTTTATGAAGACGAGGTTACAGAAACAGACAAAGGGGCCCGATGGCACTATGCCGTATAAGGGCATGTTTGATTGCTTCAGGAAGGTTGCGAAGGAGGAGGGGCTTTTGAGGTTCTACCGTGGCTTTGGAACGTACTATGTCCGTATTGCGCCGCATGCGTAAGTTTTCCCTCTTTGGCTTCATGTGGGGGTGTGTGTGCTAACGAGAGTGATAGGATGGTGACGCTTATTGTTGCTGATTACTTGGGCTTTATTACGAAATGAGGTTGATGAGATGAACTATTGTTTTTGATTGGGATGAGGCGTTGGGAGTGGGGTTTTCATGGCGTTTACACGTGGCTGCTATCGCCATCGATGTTGTTCTAGCATTGTCTTTTCTTTTTGGACCGTCGTTCCTTCACGTATCCTCTCAACGGTGGCGTCCGTTGATTGCTCAGGACTAATGTACATGGTATGCTGCCTTGTTCGCGCACGTACGCATGCTAACACTATACGGATGTCCCAATGTGTGTTTCGCGACGTGATACGTCGCAGTAGCTAATCTAGCAAGAGTGTTTTTTCCTAGAGGAAAGTACTGGAGTAGACCTTCAATGCAACGCGTCGGCGAAAGGCTTTCTGTTATCGGAATGATTCTGTAACTACTGATCTCTACCTGAGTATGCTCATGACTTTGAGTGACGCTCCATAACGATCGCGAGTTCAAGGTATGAAACATGGCGTTGTACTGTAGTGTGTATCGAGAGATATTGGTACCTTGATCAGCCAGCTACACCTCGCTTGACATGTCCTCGGCTAGGGTGGGATTCTTGGAGTCAGGATATTTCCCATTCGAGAGCAGCGCCTTGCGCATAAGTCGCATGAATTGCGGAAGAGGTGGTTGGCTTGCCGTCTCTGGGTCATCAAAGTCCTAGCGAAGGCGGTCTTGTGAGGTGTTTGCGCTATCATAGCTGTATTGCAACTGCCAAGGAGCTAACTAGTAACGAAGGCGACGAGATTCATGAGGTCCAAAGCTGCCAAAGAACCATCATGGCTACAGGGTAGACCAGATGACCATAGACGCACTCAACGCGGCGCCAACGATGGTACGAGAGGACGTATAGAGACTCATAGCCGCACCACATTCCGCGAATACTATACACTTGCCTGCTAGATCGCTCTCCTTTTGAGCTGGCAGGATGCGAAAGCTACGTGCACCATACTCCGAAGTACCGCAATTGCCTTCTTCTTCGCCCCAACAGCTGAAGCCATACCATGGAACAGGGGGGTTTATCGGAAGTTTGCTGGTAGGATCCCAAGTTTCGCAGCCTTTGGCCGGATAAACAGATACTGAGCGATCCGTGTGCTCGTTCGTGTCAGCAGATAGCACCGGGCGCAGATGATACAGAACACTGGTGTAGTTCACCTTGGGGCTGTATAAATCGGCGTTTTCGACTGCCCAGTAAATGCCTACTTCGCCTGGAAGCTGCCCAGAGGCCCAGCTTGTGTTCGCAAAACCCTGAGTGGTGTTTCCACCGAAGACATCTTCCATCTCGAAACAGTACTCTCCGAGAGGGACGGTTGACGTCGTGAAAGCCAACGCGCTACTGCTGTTGCGGAAAGAGCAGGTTTCGTCTTGTCTCTCCTGGAAGAAGCGAACTGTCAAGTTGTTGGCACTTTGGAGTCAATTCATGGGCTGCAGGTAAACACAGAGTAAGTGATAGGTACCCTACGATCTCATATTCGTAGGCGTGGGCGTTGGGCAAAAACAGCAATAGAGCGACCGATGTCAGTCCACTAGCACCTTTTAGGAGAGATACTACACGAGAGTGATGCATAGTCTGCTAAGAATGATAGTTTCAAGGGTGATTCGTACCCCGTCAGTGATGGCCTGCAAGTAAGTCGATCTTTTGGAGAAGGAGAAGCAGAGAAGTCTCAGATTGTGCATGCGGATGTGGTATTTTCTGCGAGAAGGCCTAGCATAATAGAACCTTGGAATCACAGTCTGCCGAGTTGACATCGTCCTCATCCTCATCTATGAGATTGCAACCACATGATGCATGAGCCGGTATCCGTCAGGCGGTGCCCGGTTGAGCTGGAATGCCCTTTCCAGCATTTGCCTATTGATTTCCAATATGGTTAGACGCGGCGCCCAGCTTGGGATTGCTTCGCCAAGCTTCCGCTCGCCACATGGGCCAATATGCTTATGTGGCACAGTCCGCTAGGTGTGACGTCATAGCTCTAGGCAACCTCAATCACACCCTACAATTGATTATACGCGGTGAGCACGTCTCCAACTGCATACAACAGTTGTTTCCTGCCGAGATACCTGTCTTGGTAGAGCGCCAAGATCTCCCCAAGAAAAGATGCCAACGGCGATGAGAGCCAATCATAGTGCGTGCTGTACAGCCGGAGCGGCACGCTTAAAAGTCTTGCTGATGGATCGTATGATACGTAGATCGTGAGGTCTTCTTTGGCATCAATGGATACAGCATACCCCTTCAGACTCGAAAAAACTCGAAGTGACAAAGCCTTGAGCCATACATACTTGAAAGGATGATGTCCCTGCTGCTTTCAAGAACAACTTCTCTGCTTGGTCCAGCCGAACAGCTGCAGGACTCTGCAACTCTCGGAGTTGAACTCTGCCATGTCCTGGGGTCCCGACTTCGTTGGACCCGACGGCCAGTTCTGGAGCATGAGTACGAAGACCCTTACTCCGCTTTGCTCATTCGAGACTATCGGCAGCTCGTGCTGCGTTGACGTTGACGAGGATGCCGTGAACAGCGCACAAGCGTTGCAAGGCGGGCCGCGAAACTTGTACACAAGCATTATAAAAAGGTTGAAAAGTGAGGAGTCCAAAACTTGGGCTTCACGCAATGGAGACGGGGGAAGTAAACGCCTCCAATTCAGACTGCTGCCGGGAAGTCTTTCGCCTTGGCCAGTAGAATAACATCGGAACGTACATCCATACGTCGCATGCGTACAAACATGCTTTCTGTCGCTACAAGCCTGTTTTCTCGGCGTCACATGATGTCATCGTTGACATCCCCATTCCAAGGCCGTGGCTGAGTTGGCAATAGGTTTTCGAAGATTATTGGGGTTGAAGTCAGTAATTGGAAGCTCGGCGCTAGGGGCTGGACCCTACATTCCCGTCCACTCGGATTATGTAATGGGGCATCACGTGGACGGCTCACGTGATCAGACTAGACTAGTAATAGATTCTCGCATGTCTGTGAAAGACTGGCGTGCGCCTTCGATTTCACATTTAGGTGAATAGCTACTTCAGTAGAAACTCATGCCCTGCAGCATCTAACCGGGTCACGCGTCTACACCATATGATAAAGGCCATATCTTCTCTCAGCGACTACAGTGCTTTGGTAGCCTTATCATACTCCGTACGAATTCCACTTCATGAAAAAATGATAGCCTCTATACTGGAATTTGGAGATCAGTATGAGTCGAGGTAGACGCAGCAGCAGTAGTACTCCGTACGTACTCCATTAGCCAGTCAGTGACATCACAGAGCCAAGTATGTAGACGAGAAAAACAGGAACAAAGACCACGAAGTAGACAACATGGAAAGGATGAGCCTGCTTGCATCTCTCATAGGTTCAACGTAATCATGCGACAACGTGATCCATGAAAAGCAGACCAATAGTGACAATAGAGGAAGCGCGAAAGGGACGAACCGCATGTATCGGAGACGTTCCAAGGTACCACTTGTGGCCCAGCAGGCAAAAGCGCGGGGGAAAAGGAGCGAGCCACGAGTATCAGACCGTGTGCTATAGCCATCACGTTCAGTAATTCTGTAGTACTCAAAGCTACACACTAAATGTGTCTTCCTCCACCGACACCAACGAGACCCACCACCAAACCAAGCCCAATACGTACATGCAACCTCTCACCTCCTCCCACCACCAATATCCTGACCAAGCCTATAGCCACTAATCTTCTCCCACTCAATCTTCTGCCTCGTAATCGGCAACTGCCTCCTCAGCGCCTTGAACGCGCCCTCACTCAGACTACCAAACGCCCTATTAAGATCCTCCTGATACTTCTTCTCCTCAGCCGCAATCTTCCTCACAACCTCGCTTCCATTCGCACTGGCACCCGCACTGAGACTAACCTCCTTGGTCGTAAGCAAACGCACGTTGCCGTCTTCGTAATAGTGCACGTCGACTTTTATGCTGCCGGTGATGGAGCCGGAGGAAGTGTCGTAGATGTAGGAGCTGCGCCAGCGGCCGTTCCAGTAGTTTGTGGGGGAGTACTTGTTTGCGACCGTTATGATGGCGAGGGAGGATGGGGAGGAGGGCACAGGGTATACGCCGTGAGAGGACTTGGGGTAGTGTTCTGAGGCGTGGGTGCTGAGGGACTTGTTTAGGCTCTTGCTGTTGGGGTGAGGTTAGGTTAAGCTTTTATGCGGCATGGGTGTGTTGGTAGCCAATGGGTGTGCGCGAGGGATGCGCGAGGTATTGGCTTGGCGGGGGCGGGACGTACAGGAGCTCTTCTTGTGCGCTTTCTACGACGTAACTCTGCACGGCGCTGGCTTTGCCTGTGGCGTGGTCGAAGTCGAAGGAGCTTTGTGTGTCTATGTCGTAGTAGCGGCCGTCGCCTAATGAGTTGTACTGGCTGACTAGGACCTCGGTGCTACCGCCGGGGAGCTTCGTTGTGGTGAATTGCTCCTCGTTGTACTTTTGGAAGGCAGGCGAAAGCTCGTTTTGGACGGCTTCGTCGCCGAGGATTGACTTGATTGCCTTGGTGACATCGGCGAGCTGTGATGTTGTTAGCAGGTGTACTGGTGTGAGGGGAGCTCTATTTTGGTGGGGCCAAGTACCTCGCCAGGTGGCGCGCTGTCGATGAAGGAGGAGAGAGCTGCTGTTCGTGACATAGCTGCGATTTACCTATGTAGCAGAGGGTGTGTGCGTTTCTGTGGTTGTCTCAATTGTTAGGCGCGTCGTGGAGTTGCGGGCGGACGTCGAGGCGCGCAGCCGCTTAGTGGGGCAAGGGCCAGCAAGGCGAACAGGGGTCAAATATCCATGTGCCCATAGTCGATTGCGGAGGAAGCAACGTCAACATCGCAGCGCACGCGGACGATGTTCGCAGTTCTTGCTTCAGATTGAATTCGGAAATCGACAATGGGTATCTATATATATATCGAGCAACCATCGTTGGCCTCATTAACCCTGAAACGCCGCGCTAAGCCTTGATCAATGCTAACAATATCTCACAAGAAGTCACATATAGCCATCACTCGATGCTCATCTTCATCAAGCCGTCGTTAGTATCTGTCATGCCCTGCAGACCTATCCGCTTTGGGCCCAATGTCGGCGTCATGCTCATGCTGCCTCCACTGTTTGAACGCTCACCGTGTGACTGACCGCTGATCGATGTCTCCCGACTGGCTTTGGTATTCGTGCCCCAAAGACTGCTGTCCCTCTGTGCGGGCGACTGCGAGATGACTGGGCTATTGTGAACACTGAGGCCTGGTGAGACTGCACGCCGTTTGATTGAGGCTTCGTCAAAGTCGTCGTCCCGTCGGCGTTTGTTCGACTTCTTCAAGGCCTCAGCTGCTGTGGGGGGCTGCATTGGACCTGGTGTAGATGCTCGGGATGCTCCGCCATTCATAGAGGGCGAGTCCATGTTCATGTCCTCGCTCATTGCGGATGACTCTGCGCGAGGGAAGGATGGCGGTGGAGTATGTGCGGCGCGTTGGTTCCAAAAGCCGTTGCTTATCGAGTTGCGACCACTGTGAAGACTACCAAATGCACCGAAAAGTCCCTTGGACGTTGATCCGTCCAGACTCATGTTACTCTCGCTGCCCTCTTCCGGGACACCCTCGAGCGGACCGTCCAGCCCTGGTACTGTGGGTAGTAGATTGGGCGATGACTGTGCTGTGACAGAGGGCCGCTCCAGATCTGTGTCGCTCTCTCTCACTTGTCGGATGATCTCGGCTTCGCGGCGGAACTCGCTGTCAACGGGTGCGGCTTCTTCGAATAGCTCCGCTCGGATGCGACCGAATTGCCTCGATTTGGGCTAGTAAAGTCAGCATTTGATATCTGCGTACCAAGGGAGATACATACCAGCAGATTGCCTCTGCGTGTGACAACCCTCCTCACCACACCTGGAGTCTGGGGCAGATTACCGCCCTCGTCTCCGCTGTCATTACCAGACGAGATGTGAAGGTCGTTGGCAAAGAGCGACAAACTCTCTCGTCGCGACCCCGCTTTCCGCATAGCCGCTTCTCGCGCAAAGTAACCCGTGTCTTTGCCATTTGGCGGCGATGCTGGCCCAGGGCTTGCCATGGAGCTGTGTCCGCTGGCCGAGCTCGAGCTCTTCCGGCTTCGACCCTTGCGCAGCCTTGCCCGATGCATGCTCGCAAAGTTAGGCTGTCCACCAGGCGAAAACAAGTTCGACCAAGCGTTACCGGTATTGAGTCCTGGGAAGAGAGTGTTGGTCTTCGCCTGCGGGGTCATGATCATGGGGTCGTCGTTGTCCTCAGGGTCTAGTGGATCCACCTCGTCCGAAGAGCTACTAGAGTCCTCCGAACCCATCATGTTGATGCTGCCGACTGAGCTGGACGGAGCGGTTCTATCGCCATGGCTCCAGCCCCCTTGCATGCTCACATTGGGCGAGTCAAACAGCATCGAGTTCGAGCGAGGCTTCCGCGGCGGTATCTTGATACCTTTCTGCGTGATTGTCGGCGAGGAATCCGGCGAGGATTGGTCGGGGAGCGTCGAGTGGTGGAGGTTGGTGCAGGCTCTCGAGAACTCGGCACCGCGCGACCGTCGGGGCAGCACAGAAGCAGGCGACGCGTAGGTATTGCGCGAATCTAGCTGGGGCGAGAGGGGCACACGGGCAGCGAAGTGGGCGGGACTGGGCATGGGCGACTCTCGCGCAGGCATTTGCAGCGACAGGCCTCGCGAGAGGAAGTCTGGGCGACGCGGTGTACTGGGGCTGGCGACGATGGTCTGATCATCTTTGGACATGCGAGCGGGTTCGCGGAATTTCGGAGAGGGCTCAAGACGGGGCGTGCTGTCCGAGAGAGACCGTGCTTTGGGCGAATTCGTCTTTGACGGCGTTGTCGCCAGTTGAGGTTGCGACTCCAGCATGGCCCCTTCGCGCTGTTCGGCGGTACTGCGCTCGCTACCGATGTCTGGCGTCATCGTCAACATTGAGGTGAAAGGTTGATATGACAGGAAGCGACCTGAAACGCATTCTCTCAGCAACGCGCTGTGATCAAAGTCAAATTGTCGGGACTGGTGAATGGCCCGTCCGTTGAACGTCAATGTCATGAAGCGGGGCCCATCGTCACGTGCAAGCCAGCGTCATGGGTGAACCATGCTATGAGGCTTTACATACAACCACGACCTCTGAACATCTCTAAAATTGAAACTTTTGTGGTACAGGCTGTATGCGTCAAATGTAGTACTACACGAAACATAGTAACAACCTCCCTACGCCTTCTGTACGATGTTGATCATGACGCGTAGATCACCCGTGCCTTCGTACCCCTGAACACTCTTTTCATGCTATTGCTAAGAGTCCACAATTCCTTGCACCCACTCAATGTCCTCCCAAGTTGCTTCCCAGATGTTAAGGACTGTCATTATCCATTCCTTATCCTCGCGCTTCATGGTGCCAATGCAGCGGCAGATCCGCCCTTGCTGTAACAGTCTTCTGCTGTCGTACTCGAAGAGCTGCACTGACTTCCAGATAGCAGCATTATACACTGCCTTGATGTAAGGTGGCTTGGCGTGGAAGAGATCGCAGAAAGTGAACTGCTGCTCTGTACCAGTCCGCTCCGAAGTAAGCACTCTGGCATACATCTCAACCATGATATGCTTTCCTGATTTGGATGCCTGACAGCTTTGGTTGATCACTTCACCGATACGGAAACATGTCCTGAGCAGTAGGTCTGACGAAAGACCGATAATAGATGAGCCATCACTGACAGCCTTAGGAAATGGTGGCCTGACAAATGGTTTGCGTATCTTCGATGAACCTAGATCGCCATTTGCGGCTTGCAGGCGCGTCGTGAGAGTGACCGGGGAAGTGAACTGCTTTGACACGGGCTGGCAGCTATTCTTGGTAGGATTTTCATCGAGTATGATAGAGGCATCCGCACAGGTGCTGGAAGGGTGATGCAGTCTGTCATCGCCCTTGTTGCCAGACTGCACAGAGGAGTTCAAAGCAGGATTTGCAAGGTCAGGGTATGCGTCGTTAAGCTCGGATGTCAATGTGAACAGGTCATCATCGTTGATGTCAAAGTCGAAGTCGTCTTGCGCGAGCATCGATCTCTCATTTTGATGTGGTGCCAGGGATGTATCAATTTGTTCAGCTTCACTGGTATCAAAGTCGTTATCGTCGAAATCAAACTCGCAGAGTGCGGCTGCATGCTGCACAGGCAAGGTGGCTACTGTATCTTGGCTAACATTTCGTATGGTTTCAAGACTCGCGAAACCACAATCTGTCACATTGCAGTCTTGACTGATGCGATCCTGGTGTGAAACCGCCGTCCCGTTGCCGGTCGTTGTTGATCGTTGTGCTTGCGCATTGTCAACAAATATTGACTCCGTTGTTGTGCACAGCGAAGCCTTAGATCTAGAGGCCGCGGAATTGCGTGCAGGCTTCGTTTCCCGAAAGCTCTCCGATACATGAGGTTGATCCAAGGGTCCGATTCCTTCCGGATTTACGCGTCTGCCATCTGGTTTGTTCCCTTGAGCGGCCAACCGAGGTCGCTTGCGTCGAGGTTTCGGAGGTGGGCTACTCGGCACCGCTGGCGAAGGGGCATATATTTCGAGATGCGTTGGCTCGTCCGCGCCACCAAGACCAAGATAGCGCGCGACAGTAGAATTGTGTCGCCGCCGCTCGTGCACGGCGGCTCTCCGGCGCGCCTGGTTCTGCTGCACGGGTGCCGCGGTTGACGAGGGAGGCGTCGAAAACTGCGTCGAGGGCTGATTAATAGCTGTAAAACTAGAAGTTGACGAACGAATGTGAGTGCATCTGCATACTTCAGGTTAGTTCAGGCGATATGAGGATAAAAGCAACGTGTAGCGAGAAAAGGTGACTGAGCGCGCGTCGGGCCTCTCACGCGTTGTCGCCAATTCGTTCTCTCGTTGTCCCCATGTCTCCATCGTGATGCAGCGCGTTTAGTGTATCCATGGAGACTCTATCCGTGAAGCGACACGGTATGGAAGCGGAGTGAGAGATGAGGTGAAGAAGGCTGGTGTGGTGGGTCGCGACTTCCATGGTCCCTTACTCAGCCCAAAGCCACCCCACTGCGGGGGGCTTGCGCCCGACCAAGGAACTATAGCTTCATCTTATCGCGTGCGCGTAGGCAACCATTACTATATAGACTTCCACTGCGAAGCTCTGCCACCAGCTCTGACTCCCTACAAACCTTGTACCACTCGTCAACACATGTTCCGTTGAACCCCGAATGTTCTATTCTTATCTGTAACACCGGCTCTCTGCTTCCAGACCGACCCTCCGACCTTTATCAGACCGTGGTGCAAACACCAGACCCTGATTCTGTCCAGATTCGTTCTGACAGCCAAGCAAACATCCTGTTCGGGGTGCTTTGCTTTTCTCGCCTCCCAAATATAGCAGGTCTTACCCTGAAGAGTCAAACGAAGCGACAAACGTACGATGCCTGTAAGTTCTTCTTCAGACTCATTTCTCTTTAAGAGCGTTGAAATATCATGTTGTCTTTCGCGGCAGCCTTGTTTCATTCACTCTTCAAACCACCCTTCCTACCATTGTCATGATTTCCCACGCTTCTTGGTATGATGGCCAACCGCTTCTCCACGCGGAAACGCTTCATAGAACTTCTTCTTCGTATAGCAGTGCCTCTTCTGAACTGCAAGCGCTTCCTTTGTACCGCAAAAGTCTGTCCGCATCAAGTGTATCATCAATCGAACCTCCTCGCAAAACACTTCATCACCACAAAGACCCTAAAGCATACGCGGACCTTCCGATTTTCGAGAACCCCTGCCCGCTATGCTTCTTTGAACACTGTCACACGGTACTGAGAACATGGATCAAACGTAGAAGCACGCTTTCTCGGCTGTCACGGTCCAGATCGATCGATTGACGAGCGAGCAATACGAGGAGAATGTAAGTCACCCCATTGAGATCGCATGTCTCATGCTAACCAGTACAGGATGTTGGTGGTGTTGTTGATCTCATCGAGGTCATTCGCATCCAGGCATCAGGTCCCACAGAGGCAGCACGAGCTCTGCGAAAGAAGCTGTAAGCCAGAGTCATGCGCATCCACGACGTGCACTAACAAGTCTGCAGCAAATATGGCAATGTACATCGCCAGATCCGCGCCCTTGTCATAATGGACGCTCTGATCCAGAATGCTGGAACTAGATTTCAGAAAGCGTTCGCAGATGAGCCACTTCTCGAGCGACTCCGCATCCTGGCTAGGGACGACACAGTCGATGCGGAAGTACGGCAGAAGGCCAATGTTCTGTTCCGAAGCTGGGCTGTCGCATACAAGGGAACGCCTGGCCTTGAGCGGATGGCTGCACTACACAAAGAACTTCCTCGTACCAAGCGTCCTCAGCCACAACAATCTCGGATTGTGCGACAGCAAGATGCCGAAGCTGCGCGTGAGCGTGAGGAGCATTCGCAGTCTCCTCCTAGAAGCAGGCGACCGGAGCCACCCCACACGTCTTCTTCACGAACGACCACACCTGTTGTACTCGGTGCTGGTACCCCTCTTCCAACCACTTCACTTTTCAAGAGGGACAAGAAAGACAAAAAGAAGACCAAGGGGCAGCCGTTCAACCTCGAAAGGGAGAAAGGTCAGATGCTTGAGACAATGGCATCGGCAAATGTCGCCAGTACGAATTTGCTGAACGGACTGCAACTCATCAACCGCGAGCAACAGCGTGTCAGCGAGAACGCGGAAGTTATGCGACGTTTCGAGACGTGCAAGCAACTGCGTCGCCAGATCTTGCGCTACATCCACTTGGTCGAGTCCGAGCAGTACATCGGTGGTCTTCTCAATGCCAACGACGAGCTAGTCAAGGGTCTCATGGCGTTCGAGCTCATGGACAAGAGCATCGACGATGATAGTGACAGTGACAACGAGGAGGGCAATGTATCTGCCGCTGAAGCAGCTATGGCGAATATGGGTATGAATGAGTCCGCTCCTCCGAAGCCGCCTAGGCCCACGAGCATCCCCATGCCTCCGCAACGCGTCGAGCCGGACAGTGAGCCAGAGGAGGATGAGGATGACCCGTTCGGAGACAGTAATGGTAAGACTACTGCAAACATCTCTCTTTGGCCTAGCTAACGCGCCCTAGCCGTCAAAACACCATTCGCAGAGAAGGGCCAACCAACTTGGAGAGACGTCTAACACACCAAAGACACAATGCGAACAAGACCTGCATGTTCACGGGGAGACACAGTGTTGGGCTTTCCTCATCTCATGTTTAGCAATACCCTTTCCTACCGCTCCACCATCTAGATAGATCTCAATACAACATTTCCACACCATCTGCCATGCGCTTCCACCTTCTGCATGCCCCGCGCGCGCCTTTGCCCGAACGCGCGGCATTAGCCACGTTCACTGCCACACGGGCGACGTCATGTTCCCCCTAGCGTCGGCCTGTCATTGGCCTAGCGCCACGCGCAGCATTGAAGCAGGGCTGGATGCCCTCTGCGACCGTATTAATCTCCCCTTTGCCTCCCCGATAACACTGCCTACTGTCTCACAATAACCCTCACGTTCAACGCACCTTCATCGCACAAACTGTGAGTTCAACCCTGATCTCGGGGCCGCAAACACTGCTAACGTCATCGCAGCGCAACTCCGTCATCTCTCCAAGCCAACAGTCACGAACCCGCGACCCCAACCTCCGAGTCATAACACTTTCTGAATTCACGCGATCCACGCATTCACATCTCTCGCAATGCCTGCCTCTACCAACTCCGTCTCCTCGGCCGCTGGCTCGATCGTCAAGCCTCAGGGCGGAAAGTGCAGCTGCATCAGCACCGACGACTGCAGTTGCTGCTGCATTCCTTGCACGGTCATGTAAATACAACGACAATATAATCGATCGCGGGAGGTCTCGACGCGCGACAGCACATGCGCGTGTGAAAGCGGTGGCAGACGACACGCGCCGGACGGCGGGAACGACGACTGGGATAAGGTGTTTTGGGACATTTTGAGCGAGCATACCACAGCAGGAGGATTACTTTTGGAGTTTAGGAATACAGCGACAGCTCATGAGCTCGTTGATAACGGCTCATAGCAATAGGACGTTTAGATCTTTCATCCTACGCCTTTCTGTTCTGAACTCCCAGACCGCCTTTCTTTGCATCGTGCATCAGCAAGTAGGGAAGGCTTATGCAACGCCAACTCTACGACTTTTTGCATTGTTATTGCGCGGCTGTTGGGCTTTGCCTCGATGTTTCAGTTTCTCGCCCCTATGGCAAATGGCTTGCCTCAGGTATCCGCATCGCCTTAACCCCGACGCTTAGAGACAGCGTACAGGATGCGGCACAGCAGCGCAGTACCGGTGCCTAGCAGAGATTGCTAACATGTGATCTATCATTTCCTACCCGGTATCACCATCGTATTCGCTTTTCCGACGTCCCCCTATTCATCAGCGTCGATGTACATCTCCACACCTTCTTCGTCGCCTTCCTCCATCCTCAATCACGCGACTGCGGACTCAGTATGTGGCTTCGAGGGCAATAACGACATCTACGGTATCGGGATCCGGATCGGTATCTATGCGCAGATCCTGGCTGTGTGGTTCGCAAACTACTTCCTCCTCTCGGAGGCCCAGGTACTCCGCGACTCTGTCAGCATCTTCAGTGTCGCGATCCTTATCGTCGCGTTGATCTACGCTTCTAACCCCACCGGTGTGTATGCCGTGGAGGCATTTGTCTTGCTGCAAATTCTGGCATGGAGTTGCATGACGGGTGTGCGAGCCAAGTCCTCGTACAACAAAGCTACTTTTTCGCGCGGCAGCTTTCTGAGGAGAGTCATGTGTGAGATTGTTAACCTAGTGAATATATGTCTGCATGTTTGGTTTTGGTGGGCAGGGTTAGATCATATGAAGAAGACGCCGTGTGGTACGTGGTTGATGATGTATGTGGTCAAGACGGATCTGTTTGGCTGGGCGAGGAAGGTGATGATGGCTATGAGTCTGTTCGTGTTGCTTTGCACGATCTATTGGATGGTTCTGGGGTTTCTGAAACCTTGGACTAGTTGGAAGGTCAAGGAAAAGAGAAGGCAGTTCGTCGAGGCGGTCAGGGCATGGGAGGAGTCTCGGGGACAGAACTTTGGTGAAGAGGATGTTGAGGGAAAGAACACAGTACCAGGTGAAGGCACTGGGATGCAGGATACCTCGAAACAGAAGTCATCGCATGACGAATGTTCTCGAGCCTTAGGCTCTCGCTGCTTGCCCACAAGATCGGATTTCGGACATGTCCGTCCGTTCAGTCTAGTTCGCACGCGTTCAGATCCCCTGGCGCAACGAACAGCAGGGTGGAAACACTTCTCTCGCCTCAGCCACGAGGGAAACTCAACCCGATCGTCTCTCATAACTGTTCAGGAGGTCCCGTCGCCTACAACACTGACTTCGCTGTCGTCTTCTCACACCAACACAAGCGTCCCCCAATCTTTACCGGACCTCTCCATCATCCAGGAAGTGTATGAAAGCGAGCGATACATCCAACAATGCGTTACAGCGAGTCCATATCAGATGAGTTCCGACGGAAAACCTCTCACTTTTCCAGTCATCGCACGCTCGATCCTCTTCCCGAAGAAGTACCGCAGCGCAACTGCTGGGAAACCAGCACCGCCATCTTGGTTCCACTGTCAACTAAACAGCTACATAGCGTTCCTTACATGTCGCTTCCCGCCCCAAGCTTTCGTCATCTACTCGCATCTACGACAAGCCCATCTTCTCGATCCGCTCAATGGACCTTTCCAAACATACGCCGCCATAACATATACATCAGCTCCTTCAACCCCGGATGTCATACCGCCATGGACCTCGGTTTCATTGGCTTCATCTCTCTTGCTTACCAACCCTGCAATGCCAAAGAAGATCTGGCTGGGGTGGTACTACGCCATTCTCGATCTGCTTATCCATGTCATTGTTATCTTGCAGCTTGAGTTGACGTTGCATTGGAATCACGTGAGTGGTTTGAGTGGGCTGTGGACTAGTGTTGGGCAGTTGATACCTTTCATTATTGGTGTTGGCGGGCTGGGGTTGGTGATCACTAGATGGATGGTGCGGATGTGGGTTAAGAGGGTGATTGCAAGAGGTGAGAAGAGTGGGTGGGAAGTTGATGTGGAAGAAGATGAGAAACTCAACGAGGATGTTGAGGAGTACATTGTGGATGGATTGAAGGGTGGAAGAAAGCGTATGCAGCAGAGCAAGCAGGATCAAACAGATGACGTATGCTGGGAACAAGGACAATACGAACATATTAATGCCTTCACCCATCTTGAAGCTACTTGAACTAGGAAATCGCTTTTGCTTCGGGTTACATGTGCTGCCAAAAGTTTTTCGCTAAGATGAGGCATGGAGTGGCAAAGCAAGGCAGGTCCCCCAACGCGTGCCCTGTACGCTCCTGTGCCGCATCGCGCATGGACACCGCCTCCTTCTACGCATGTATCCCAAACACCAGCTCTCTTGCTACGTTTCTTGTACGACAATAATTCCTACTTCTCCTCAGCATTGATAACTATTACCACAATATGTTTTCACAAAAAGAATAGTCTTTACCACAACCCTCGATTTACAACGAGAAACAACCAAATCCTCATGTACCACGATCTAACCCTCGATCGACCCTTCGAGCTTTTCTACAATGATTGGACTAACTTGATCGCTTTCGTTACGAAGATCAGCCACTGTCCTTCCGCACACTAGGATTTAGTACCTACGCCACGGTCCTCAATTTGTTTTGCTGCACATTCTCCGTCTTCTCCCCATGCACGAAGGAGTACGTCGTCTGTATCATCCACTTTTGTTTGTGATTGTAGGAACTATTGCGGACTTGTTACGGAAGAAGATAGCGACGAAGAAGTGTAGGGTGAGAAGAACAATGGGGGACGACGAGGCGGAAGTTAGACTGATGAAGGGGTGCACCTTGTTGGATGAAAAGGTGAACTTGCATGCGGCACGGAGAGATAAAGATAAGGGAGTTGAGATGGCGAAGAAACAGGGATGCGGTTGGAGATAGTGTGTTGCTTTTAGTCTGTGGCATCCTGTATGCAATGCTGCACTTCTGTTGACTGTGGCGTGGTGTCAATATGGAACGGATGTACGTCAGATAGCCCCATTTGAAGGCACTCATGACAACATATCTTATCCCAGGGTTTACTAAAATGTACGTATACCTCAGTATCTTCGATGGGTTTATGCCTGATTACCCTCGCACTTGAAGTTGCGCAACATCTAGTCTTTCCAATAACCTTCATTAATACTACTTGGGCTTACATGCATCGGTAGGCGACAAGGACGAGGCAAATGTGATCCCTGAATCAACAACTTTGATCGAACTCTTAGCAAAAAGGCTATTCGAGCGACTGTCTACAGTAAGAAACCGTCCTCCTCCGTCTGGCGTAACACAGATTTCCGCGATAAGCGATGCCGAAAATGAGGCTCGACCTGTCCTTTGAGATTATCTTCTGCGCCCTGGTCTCCTTGTCCATTGCCGCATACGTTGTGTATACCATGCGGCACTTTGACGGCGCAGTGACGAGCCTCCCCACCTTGGGCGTGACTGCATCGTTCACGAACGATCTGTGGAAGCTATATGGTCAAATAATGTTTCGGGAGTGGCGACACTGGAGAGCGGTGTTGGAGGAGGAAACGACATTCATGGGTTAGAAAGAGGCGCTTCTGGAGTAGAAGCAACGAACTGAAAGACCTCATTTCAAACCTAGGTAACTTGCAGGCAGTGTCTCTTCAGCGCAATGCAATAAGAGCTTCCATGTGGTTGCTTTTCCTATGCTTTCAATCTGGCGTCTGGGCCAAACCCCCGATCCGTCCGGGGCCTCAAGATGGGAAGCGGCATTGCAGTGGTAACATGTGGCAGCGATGATGGCTTCCAAAATCACAGGTTGATTCATCGTCACTTTCATCTCGAGAGTATGTATGGGTAAAGTATCGCAGCTGTTACGGATAATACTCGCGATCTCACTTTCCATTCTTGTGGATTCAGCACTTGTGCCACAGCACTCTTTCTGGGAACATTGATGCTACCTGCTCCTCCAATATTGTACGAGCGTCTGATTCTCGAGCTAACGTCCCAGGCTGTTCCTCATAAATAGCTGCTCACCTCTCCAGTTTCTCCATCTCTTCTCATCCACATTCTCGACCATTCCAGAGCCAGTCAAACAATTACATCAACGCTTCAGTCTTCTTTCCCTCTTGTTCCTTCTCTTCCCCTCTCCTTCCTTCCTTTACCCTATCCATCATCGACGTCGCCACCCGTTGTCCTTGACGGTCGTTCCATCTTCCACGTTCAATACAACCCAAGGGCTCCCGTCCTTCCACGCATTTGCCGCCGCCTCCATCGAAGAGACGCATCGACACAGAGCTCTGCAATTAGAATTTTCATGGCACATCGGGGTTATACACATCAACAGGTGAGGACCATCCATCCCCCCTAGCGGGCGTACCTTTTTAAGGTGACCGGTGAGCAGCCGGAGCAACAAAGTGGGACGCCACTGCGTCACAAGGGTTCGACTCCCAGCAGCCTAGTAGCCGTCTCATTGGATATCGGTTTGGTCGGGTTTTTTTCTGCTTCGCGCAGTCCTCACCGCACCTCACTCAGCGACGGCTGACAAGAGGATATGTTTTTGTTACAGATCATTTCGATTCCGTTCCGATACTACTTCGTTCCATTGGTAGCCCAATTTCTTCATACCTCGATCCCCATCGGCTCTTTGCCTCCCACCCCTTTGCGCACATGTCGCAGTGTGAAGTTCCTTGTACGGTACCGCCATCGCTTCCGATCATCTTCACACGGTCTTTTCGATTCCCGAACACCTTCGGCCCCCGTCCTCGCTCAAAGACTGCAACATCCTTCTTCTTGGATCCAATCTTCTCTTGAGTGGCACATCTGTATGGTACTCTTTGATGTGTTGGCTGGTTTGGGGCTACACGTTGGTGCGGTGTTGGCAGAGATATCACCATACAATGCATGATCCATTCTATGCTATTGTGCATGCCTGCATCCGTGATGTGAGCTTCCGAATCCCCTCTACGGGCGCTTCTGTAGAGGTTTCGTTCTCTAAGGAGCGAAGCACTACTGCTGATGCTCTTTTCCGCGCGTGCTGCAATCGGCGACGTTGTTGACAGGCGAACCTGCCTCGTTGCCTTGCTGCCAAGCCTGCGTTCTTTTGCGCGCCGTCTTCCATGTTTGCGATTGTTAAGAAAATCTCAAAAGACCTTCTCTCGAGTTTTCGAATGGCTTGGACAACTCTCTTGATCATGGCGCGGTCGTTTCCACTCACCTCGTCTTCGAAGCTCGCTGGAGAATACCGAAGGTGATGTTCGACAGTATATATAACCGACGGATTTTCGCAAGAGATTTGTATAGTCCGCAGTTGAACAGCTGGCGGACATCGTTTCTTGATTGTGCTGGAAGCCAGACCGAGAGCGTGTAATAAAGAAAGCAGCTCAGCTCTTTCACGTGTCTTGACGTTTTCGGTCGGAAAATTTGCGCGTTTAATGCCGTATCTACGCTCTTCGGTAGGCAGTAATCCTGGCATCAAGGCGCCCGTTTTTGCGCATCTGGCCTGTTGTAAGATGCCGATACCAACGCCCTGCCCTTTCACGTGGTCCACGGCAGTATGTAGCAGCAACTCCAACTCGATCTTCAATGGAAAAACGGAATTCATTGTGTTGCGCTGATAGCGGCAGATTCTTGTTAGTTCGTTTCGTTGTGCGCGGAGTGCAGTGAGACGTCAAGCCAAAGGACTTATGCTCGGGCAAACAACACTGGACTAGCGAGACGACTGTACCATGGTTGAGGTTTACCTCATCCGCTCTGCCAGAACGAAATGAACATTATCATTGAACACATGCTTATTTGGCTATGTCAGTTGGAAGATTCTAACCAAAGATCATGTGAACCAAAAGATATGCCTTAATCACCTTTTTTTCCGGACTCTACATCATCCACCTTTTTCTCTCGTATCAGCCGTCCCAATAAAGGCATTCGGCGCCCTAAATGTACCGTTTCCATTGTCAGTCGTTTGAACGCACTAAATCTCCTCCACACAGTGAGCACCAACAGAGTCAGACCTATCGTAACTACAAAGTACAGATACACCCAGTAAGTCACCTTCGCGCCATTATTGTCCGGAGAAAAGTCCCAGAACGTAGTACTGAAGAAGGTTGCAACAAAGGTTGCGGGCAAGAATATGAGAGTGATCGCTGTGATGAGTCGCATATCGGCCCCGTATCGGTGATTCAGTTGGTTATCTCTTTGCTGTAATTCTGCATTCACCTATAATCATAAGCATAGGCTTTGAAGAAGTCGCCTAAGGGGTGTACGTACGGTTTGTACCATGGACTGAACGAGTTTATCGCTTCGGTCTGCTGTGAGACTGATACTTGCTGAGCATTCTCGAAAGTACACCATTTTTTCTTGCAGCGCCGTGGAGACATCGTTGGAATATACATCCTGTAGGCCTTGAAGTAAATTCTCCAAGCGATCGATTGTTCGGAATATGCAGGAGCAAAAGTACGCGATGGTTGCAACGCGGGACGAAAGTACCTTTAGCCGCTGGGGTATTCCTGTGAAATCTGCCATCTGATCCAAGGTGTTCTCAGATCTTCTATCATTGTAGCCTGTGGCGGCTTCTACTGCTTCACAATCCTCATAAACTCCTCTTCCTATCAACCGGAGCCCGTTTACGTCCATTGAAAGTAGAATTACCGGTGCAAGAAGTGGATTTGATGCAAAGGTTTTGGCGCCTTCAAGACGCTCTTTGAGATCATGAGCCTCTATATCCTCCACGAGACAGACGCCAAATGCCCGTCGCGTTTGGCTATCATGAATGACTGTAATCTTGTTGGTCAAAGCTTGGACATAGCCTGTATATCTCGGTCAGTATGAACAAGATAAAAATGGTACATTTGGCTGGCAGACTCAAGTTCTTCCAATGAAGAAACGGTCAGAACCAACTCACCCTTCCAGTTGCCATTGCCTAGTATAGGAGTGAATGCCATAGATACTTCTGGAGCCGCCCCAAACGAAGGAACGTAGTCGTACGGGATGTGCCAGTGTGAGCGTAAAGCTTCAATGGAGCCCAATGAATAGGGAACAACATTTGGTCCATTAGCGCTAAATAAACCGGCACTCACAACACTTTTGGGGTATCAGCGTAATCTACAGTTTAGAGGGTGGGCATGCTAACAGTTCCAGAGACCACTTCGTATCCGAAGTTGGCGTAGCTGTTTTCCTACAATGAGCTGGTATATCACTATCTTGTAATGTTTCCTCTTTATATTTGATACCCTCCTACACGTCTTTAGCGTCGGTAGACCAAAAGATATGGATATATACTCACGCTGTTTTCACATATTGAGACGATGACATATTCGTCCTGCGGAACCAACTTTTCTGGGTATCTCTTCCAGTGCTCATACCGCCCTGGGAGATGATCTACTGTCGCCATTGCAGTGTCGCCGACCGATGCGATATTGTAAATCAGCGATGAAAGCTTCGCTGGAAGCGCGGAAAGAATATGTTAAGTACACGAGGTAAGCTTTCATCAGGCTGCAGATAGAAGCCTTGGCTTACACAGGATAAATACGAGTGTAAGCTATTATAGGTTAGTCGGTAAGATCTCAGCGAATCACAAAGGCTACCAACCCAACTTCACGGAGTGAGCTCACAAGGCTGAACGAAGCTATGACGAATCCAGCTCTTGCTGACCCAAACCACCGAAACCATGAATATTGAAGGTCGCCAATCTGTAACGCCAGATATTACAAAAAGCAAAGGGTATAAGACTCGCTCACTAAAGGGTAGCTAGATAATAGCGAATGCTGGGCTGCGCAAGAATGAGTTGATTCTAGGAGTGCATCTGTGCGGCTGAGAGCGTGGAGGTCGCGTTGCAGTCTAGACTATCATTTACGGGGCGGCACGGCGCCGAATGTTATCGCTGTCATGCAGGAGGCTAGATCGAAGCAGAGCAAGGCCCTATTCTGAGTCAAAGGCACATTCTATTTTTCCTAGCAGGAGGCAAGGCTGAGTTGCCTGATCAGCAGCTGCGGAATAGCAGTTTTTCAATCATCTACCGAGACACGTTGCAGTCGCCTTCCTACTTAGGTATTGGCGTAGAATCGAGAAAACGTTATTTCTACTCTCCTTGTGCTCATCTCATTAGTCAAAGACAGCTATGTTCTTACAGAAAATGGGTTCAGTACACAGAAGAATTTGAGTGAGAAGGGTGGTATAGCTTATAATGCTCGATGCTGCAAGGGCGCCCGCGGCCCATATGATTACGTCATTGATTACTAAGACGCCAAAAGCGCTTACCCACGCATCGCTTCAGGGTATGGCCAGTCACGAATACATCACACAGCTTCAATCGCGAACTTTTGTCTCGCGGCCGTAGGGGGAGGTGAAAAGGGACACATGCCATGTTTTCCTCACCAGTATCATATCTAGTATAGGCCGCAGGGGACACACTCAGGAATAGTGCATGTAGCCCCTAGTCCATCATTCCCTATCACTTTCCATGCAGCATGGTCGATCCCATGGCAACTACGATCTTTCCGCGACATCCTTCTCTTCAATTCTCCTCTAGGACAACAGGCCGATCCCGCACACTCTGCAACCACCTATCCAAGTCCTCGTAATGCTTCTCCAGCTTGCTATCCATACTCTCAGCGACCGGTGGTGGAGATGCGATAGAGTTGAAGGTGCCGCAACCCGGTGATCGAGTCTGAGCATTAGACGCTTGCTGCGCACGCTCAAGATCCGCTTCCGCCTCATTTAGTAGTCGATCAATCTCTTCCGGTAACAAGTCCTCGCGATCGAGTATGTCCTTGATCTTCTCCACTACTGCAATTTGTAGTCTGGTCATGGACTGCCGCTGTTTGAGCGCTACAGCAAAGTTCTCCAGAGGTTCCGCAAGAGTATTGTTATCATTCTTGTTGCGATTGTTACCATTCCTTCTTGCGCCCTTGACTTTAGGTGGCGCAGCCATGGTTTTCACCTTCTTGGCAATGAGCTCAACGTGATGGACGAGAGTCTCGTAATGATCTGAGTATGCTTGGTAGTATCCTAGACGCATCTCATTTGCTTGTTGGTGAAACATGCGGAAATCTGTCGTCCTATACGCCTTTGTCTCGTTAAACGCTTCCCCGGACTTTTGCGCCGCTTTCTCACAAATCTGTGCTGTGGCGAGCGAAATCTGGGCCACTTCCCTCATCCCGTCGATGAACTTCTCGGACCTCTCTACCACCTCTTTCATTTGGAGCTCGGCGATACCCTCCATAAGGAGCATGAAGATGACTGAGACTAGGAAATGGCAGCTTAGGAGCAACGATACTTGCTGGATGAACGCGATTTGGATCAACGTGTAGATGACAAGTAGCATTAATGAGGCTGGAGAATTGAGAATGGATGCGTGGCGAATTGTCGACAGATTTGCGCAAGATCTGATCCATCTTCTCCATAATTGCGCTCTCGCTGTCTTCGGGTGCAGAATCGGTCTCCATGTTGGGTTCCATAGTAGGCGTCTTCGGAGTTGCACATTGGGCAGGTGTAAATTGTGAGGTAGTTGCTATCGCTATCTTTCCTTGGGATGACTCGTGGTGTGGTAGGATTATCCAAAATTTTGCTGGCTACGATGAAAGATCTCTTCATATAGACAATGGGGTGTGATGGATTATACCACGTCATTTGCTGTTTGTTGTGGACACTCTAAGTGATGAACGCATTTGGTAGTAGGAATGCAGGAGCCAGAATGTTAATGAGAACATCGCTAGTAAAGAGGTTGACGCGCAAGTAGAGAGAGGCGTAAATGACGGGTACCCAGATTGTATACTGCACAAGAATGCTTCGTAGGTACTCAAGCGGGATGTAGCTAGCAGGCTGGGGCTGTAGAGGCACTTCCGTAGTTTTTGGGACGTCAGAATTCGTGACGGAGGACTCGTCTCTTGTCGCTCTGTTATCGCCGTTTGGCGGAGTCTGGGGATCAGGGTCCATAGTTGCAATTGAAGACATCAAGAAGACTACCAAATGAGACCGTTCTGTATGATTGGCTACGAACAGTCGCAGAACGACGGAGACAAGATACTAATGCAGTGTTTGTACGAAAGTAGACGCACAAAGCGCTCCGCGATTGCGCTTCGCAATCCCGCAGTTTATCATTCCGGAAGCCAGCCAAAGCCCAGAAGGTTCGATCTCACCAGAGAATGCAGAGCATCGTGAAACTGGTCGACAGAACATATGTATAGATGTGTATCCTCTAGATAGCGATCAAACTACTCAACAACCTCATCAAACCCGAGCCCATCTAAATTACCCAAAAACTCCATATTCCCCTCCCCAGCCATAAGCGCATCAACATCAATGCCGCCACTAGTAAGATACCTCGCACTAACCCCCGTATTAATCCTCTGACTGAGCAAGTGCTTGAGTTCCGCCCGTAGCGCCTGCATCTCGCCCTTCGTCATCTCACTCGCCTCCTTCTCCTTCTTCTTACGTCCACTACCACGACCCCGCTTCCCCGGTGCTTCCTTCTCAAACTCATCGCTGTCGTAGTCTACGCCTAGATCCTCAGCTGCTCGACGCAGTACATCGTCTTCGCTGTGTTTCTTTTCCTTCGCGATGACGGTGTCGGCGAGGCGTTTGGAGATGGTGGCACGTGGCTTCAGGCGGGAGACGATACGACGGTCGATGTCTAGGGTGCGGATGAAGAAGGCGGTTTTCTTTGATTTAGGGGCGTCGCTCGCGCGGGCGTGAACTTTGGCGACGAGGCGCCGTACGCCGCCGACTTCTTCGGGGGCGCAGATGAGGATGCTGGCTCCGGATGCGTCAGCACGTGCTGTACGGCCGGAGCGGTGGACGTAGGTGTCGGCGGCGCGGGGGAGGTGGTAGTGGATGACTAGGTCTATCTTGGGTATGTCGAGACCTCTGGCGGCGACGTCTGTAGCTACTAGAATTGATCCTGGTCGCTCCTTGAATCGTTCGATAGAGCGTAAGCGGGCTTTCTGGGGCATGTTGGAGTGTAAGGGTAGAGCTGGAAGGGCCAAATTCGTCAGGAACGGGGTTATGCGGCGCACTGCCGAGATGGAGTTGGTAAAGACGAGAGCGCGCTTCTTGGTGTAGAACATTAGTAGCGAGTAGAGATAGAGATCCTTCTCAGGTCCGGCACATTCAATGAGTCCTTCTTGCAATCTGCTGGCCATCTGCGAAGTCGGGTTGGCGTCGATGAACATTGGCTTCTCCTCACGGAACTGAAGTTTCTTGAGCAGGTACTCCATCGACTGTTGTTGGTTCATGAGATCCCCACCTCCATACTTCTGCTTCCCAGCGAGCTTGTGCTGCAGTTCCTTTCCGAATGTCGCAGAAAACACGAGAGTCTGTCGTTGCGATTCTGGCGCCTCCTCTGGGTCGTCATTCTCATTAGGCTCATCATCGGGCTCTAGGACTTTGAGGATCTCTCCCATTTCTTTGAAATGTCCTTGGCTCAACAGACGATCAGCCTCATCTACAACCAAGAACTTGATCTGCTTGAACTTGGGTAGCACTCCTGAACCGCTGCTCATGACCTCCCACAATCGTCCTGGTGTTCCGACAACGATATCAGCCTTCTCTAGTTGCCTGCGTTGCTTTTGTACGGACAGACCACCAGTGATTGATGCGATGTATGGAGAGTCGAAATCGCCCTTTGCGCAAAGGGCGATCAAATGGTCATTGATCTGATGCGCAAGTTCACGCGTTGGCGCAATGATCAATGCGATGGGCGCCTTGTCTTCGAGATCTTTGGGTGTCGACCGAGCAGCAAGATACGTCTCGACAATCGGAATACCAAAAGCGAGTGTCTTTCCTGAACCTGTTGAAGCCTTGCCGATAACATCCCGCCCAGACATGATTTCAGGTATAGTAGACGCTTGGATACTGGTAGGTTTCGAGAATTTCAGCTTCGCCAACGCACCCAGCATCTCTTCGGAGAGGTCGAGTTTAGCCCACGCTCGCACATCTGTCTCATCATCGTCGTCATCGGCGTGGTTCGCCAATATATCCCAAGCGCCAGGTCCGAAGGTCTCGCCGTCTTCGCGATCTTCGATATCGGAGGGTTCTTCGTCCTCGTCTTTGTGTTGATCTTCCTCTTCTTCGACCTCATCTGGCGCTGGTAGCTCCGCCTTGGCCTTCTCCTCTTCTTCCCTCTTCAGCTTCGCTTCCTTGGCCCTCTTCTTCTTTTCCGTCTTTGTCAATTTCTTCACCTCCGGCTCGCCATTGGTCGTAGCTGAGCCAGCTGCTTTCTTAGCATCTGCATCTGTTGTCTGCTTTAGAATTCCCGCCGGCGCATCTTCCTCGTCGCTGAAGCCCTCCCACGCAACCTCCTCGTCTGCTTCCTGCAATTTCTTTCCTATGCTCTCGTCTTGTCCAACCACCTGCTCCTCGTCAAAGGTAATCTGCTCCAAGCGCTTTTGTTCGTCCTCCTCCCGTTGCCACGCTTCCTCCACATCCTGTGCAACCTCATCTTCTGTCTTCGTAGTCTCGAACGTGAGATTGCCAGTAACGGGATCTTTAACCACCTCAACATCGTCAATTTCTTCAAGTCCATAGAAACCCTCGGTATCTTCCAGCCGATCAGGCATCTCCACGGTCTTCCATCCTAGCTCGTTGAGTTGGACTCGGCGCTTGGGTCTTGTGGACGGCGGAAGAGGTTTCGGGAAGTCGTCGAGTTTTTGACGTTTGGGTTTGTGACCCTTATGCGACGCTTGTTTCGGGGCGGGATTGGGGCGCTTCATGGTTGCTGTGGTGCGATTGAGGCTTGTCGTGGGTTGCATGCGCGCGCCGTGAACTTTTTGGAAAACTTGTCGGCCTTCGGGAGTCCGCTCGCCCCACTTTTGATCTAGCCCACTTGCGCTTTCCCACACTTCACGTGCAAATGGTTCGCACTCTTCAATTGTCCTTTTCTGATGGGCACTATCTGTAAACAAGAATAGGACAGATAAAGAGCAGGAATACGTTCGCTGGAAAAATTAATCTTGGTGTGGTCGGCACATTTTCGTAGAAGCCTCACAGCCATTATATCGCCCTACCCGCAGTGCAAGAAATACACACCCCACCGAACCTACATCTAAGGACCGAAAGTTTGACGTAGGTCGACTTCAGTAACATCCGTCCAAAATGGGAAAATCCTCAAAAGACAAACGAGACGCCTACTACCGCCTCGCCAAAGAAGAAGGCTGGCGTGCCCGCTCCGCCTACAAACTGCTGCAACTAGACGAAGAATTCAATCTCTTCGAAGGTGTAACCCGCGTCGTAGATCTATGCGCCGCCCCAGGAAGTTGGAGCCAAGTCCTCTCGCGCGTGCTGATAAAGGGCGAGAAGTTTGGGAGAGCGGGATGGCAAGATAAGCAGGCGAGTATGCGGGATTATGTTTTGAGTGGTGGTGAGAAGAAAGAGAAGGAAGAGGTGACTGTGCAAAAGGTCGACGTAGAAGAGAAGCCAAAACCAAGGGAAGGAGTCCGCATCGTAGCCATCGACCTGCAACCCATGTCCCCCCTCGAAGGCGTAACAACCATGCGCGCAGACATAACGCACCCCTCCACCATCCCCCTCATGCTCAAAGCCCTCGACCCAGACACCTACGACCCTTCCCATCCAAACCGGTCCTCGCCCGTCGACCTCGTAATCTCGGACGGCGCCCCGGACGTAACCGGCCTACACGACCTCGACATCTACGTGCAATCCCAACTCCTCTGGGCGGCCCTCAACCTCGCTTTATGCGTCCTCAAGCCCGGCGGGAAATTTGTAGCCAAGATATTCAGGGGCAAAGATGTGGATCTGCTGTTTGCGCAGCTCAAGATCGTATTTGAGAGGGTGAGGGTGGCGAAGCCAAGGAGTAGTCGTGCGAGTAGTATTGAGGCGTTTGTAGTCTGTGAGGGGTTTTGTCCGCCGGAGGGGTTTATGGCGAGTTTGGATAAGCCGTTGGGGGCGGGGACTGTGTTGCCGGAGCCGGCAAGGGAGAGCACGGAGGAGAAGGAGAAGAAGGTCACGAGACGAGTTAGGGAGGATGGTGCGATTGAGATTGATCTGGGCTCTGAGACGGAGGATGAGGATGATGTTGAGGAGGGTGGCCGGCGGTGGATAGCTCCATTTCTGGCTTGTGGTGATCTTTCGGCGTATGATTCGGATGCGACGTATCATTTGCCAAAGGATAGGGTTAGTCTAGATCCTGTACAGCCGCCTACTGCACCGCCGTATAAGAGGGCGCTGGAGATGCGGAAGCTGGCTGGTGGAGCGTATGGCAAGACAAAGGGAAGGGCAGAGAAAGCAGCGTCATAGTATAGGCTAGATACCCTTTCGGAATTATCAAACGTCTGGCGGATACTTCACCTTATGGTCCAGTATGACAAAAGAAGACTTACTCTACGAAGACAGAATCAAGCAGTAGTCACACAAATGAAAACATTTGAACTTAAAGCTTTATTTCTGTATACAACAGCTAAGCATATCCCCTTTTAGGTAGTCCAAGATGAGTAGTAGATGCTTCTCCCATATTGAATGAACATCGCTCCCACAAGATCACCTTAACCCCGAAATATGCCCAAAGCTTTTAAAAGAAAATGTCATCACATCTCCAACATGATCATGAAAATGCCTAAGCACGCTCCCTGCGACCACCGTTGCCACTCTTGGAAACGATGTCGAGAATCATCTGGCGGGCCTCCTCGCAGCCATCCTTGGTACCGACAATCTCGATAGCCTCATCCTTGGCTTGGTCGCGGGGAACCTGAATCTTTGTGCCGGTCTTCTTGCGGAGATCGTTGATTGTGGCACCACCGGGTCCGACAACGAGCCTGTGATGGTCAGTATGACTGCAATATGAATGTATTGAACGTTTGAGCTTACCTGTAGCTTCTTGGGTCGGGCAGGATCAGGTACCCGGTGGAGGAAGGCTTGGAAGCAGCCTCAATAGCCTGCTCAAGCCTTTGACGGGCCTTGGGAAGGCTCTCAGTAGGTCCACGCAGGATCCAGGGGATAGTGGCGGAGGTATCAGTACCCTCTGCCACGGCGTTGTTGTCAACGATCTCCCAGGAGTGCTCGTTGGAGCCGGCAGTCGCATCGTCGGTGATCAAAGGAAGAGCACCGTTAGCGCCCTTCCTGGCCCTTCCAGCCTCGGCCTGGGCAGGCTTCGCAGGCACCTGTTCACCGCCGTGGTCGACGGTAACTTTGTGCTGGTTGCGGAGTTGCCTGAAGAACTGACCGTTGTCTGAGATGGCGTGGTGGAGGTGACGGGGTACCTGGATGGTCTCGCCCTCCTGGCCCTTGACGAGCTCGAGGATGTGCTCCTTGGCCTTCTCAACAGCAGCAGGCTCACCGGTGATCTTTACCTGACTACGGGCGGCACCAGTGGTAGTCTGCTTGGGGATGTCGAGCTGGATGCTAAGCTGCGACTCGAGTTGGCGACGTGTCTCACCCCCACGGCCGATAAGGAGACGGTGCTTGTCAGGAGAGATTTCGATGGTCTCGGTGGTCTGGTTCTCCAGTGAGGAGGCCTGTGCCTTCAAAGCAGCGATGATCTTCTCAACCACACTCTTGGGACCCTCAACACGGATAGTCGACTCGTCGGACTCAGCGCGGGGGAAGCGAACCATACGAGCCAAGTCGCGCGAGTTGTCAGGTCCGCCAGCCGAGGTGACAATGGAGCGGATGTTGGCACCGCTGCCACCAATGAGGTTCCTGTGGTGCTTCCTGTCAACCTCCAGAGTCTCGACGATGGTATCATCAAACTCGCGGGCACGCTGCTGCAAGATCTTCTTGGCCTCCTCAACAGCCTTCTTAGTACCCTTGAGCTTGATCTCCGCACGGCCAGATGGATCAGCGCCATCACGCGCGCCAGGGACGTCAATCTGGCAGCCAGTCTCGAGGCGGAGGTTCTCCATCTCGCGACCGCCTGATCCGATCAGACGAGGGATATTGCTCTGAGCGACCGAGACAGTGTCGTTGAAAGAGTTGTCCTTGATATACTGGAGCAGACTAAGCACCTCGTCGCGGGCTTCATCGGCACCCTTCCTGGGACCGCGGATGATGACCTCATCCTGGTTCTGGCCAGAACGAACGTTCTTCTGTGATGACGCATCTCCTGCCTCCTCGTCGTTTTGTGCTCGTCGAGGGAAGTTGATGCGTACACCGTAGCGGTCCTGCAGACGCTCTACTTGCTTGCCACCAGCACCAATCAGGTCGCGGTGGAACTGAGGCGCAACCTTCAGGGTATGGGTAGCTTCATCTTCGAGCTTCTTGGCCATGTCAAGAATGTCCTTCTTGCATTGCTGTGCCTTGGTGGAAGGTCCCTTCAGCTCGACCTTGCCGTCGTTGATCTGAACATCAACATCGTACTTCTGGCGCAGACGCTGGATGTTCTCTCCGCCCTTGCCAACAAGATGGCTGGCGTACTTCTGGGGGTAGTCAAATGTCGTGACGTGGTTACGCTCAAGCTCGTCCTTTTCAGCTTGCTCGATGAAAGCGAGAATCTTCTTGTTGAGCTCATCAACAGCGTTTGATGGTCCACGGATCGCGAAGCTATTGTTTGAGCGGCTGTGAGGCTCCGGTCGTCGCTGACCAAACAGTGCCTGAACGGGAACCTGGTCGGGTGTAAGACCTTCTTGCTGTTCATTGACGAACTGCTCGATCTTGCGATGAAATTTGGGGTTAGACTCAAGGCCACGAGTGTCGATTTGTGGTTGGTTCTTGGTCAGACCCATGATGAATCGCTGAGCGTCTTGCAGACCTTGCTGGTATGCCTTGATCTCAGCTGGGGAGGGTCGGCCACGAGGAATGGAGTACTCGTTGTAAGGAGCGTCACCCTCGTAAACGAGAACCAACTCTGGTGATTGCTCGGTCTCGTCAGGGAAGACAATGTGAACGCCATGGTCCTGTCGGACCTTTGGTGCATTCTGTTGGCGCAAGAACTGGTGGTAGAAAGGATCGACGTTCATAGTCGCGAAACGACTAGGTGGGTGCGACTGGAAGACGCTCATGATGTCGCCACGAGCCTTCATGCTGTTCTTTCCGTCGCGAGCGTAGATCTCCCATCCGGTTGGGGCATCACGGTCTGTGGGTACGACGATGCTGGCCTCGTGCATGCGCTCAAGGTCAGCTAGGGCCTTGCGTTGACGCAGGTAGCGAGTCAGGTTGTGTGCGTGTGCTTGTGCGTTAGGACCCTTGTGCTCACGAGCAGCATCCGCAGTGGCCATGGTCATACTAGCAGCAAGGTCCTCGAGCTTGTTGACACCCTGCTCAATCTTGCTAGGCGGGCCAACAATGTAGACGGTCTCGCTGTCGTCGGAGCTCGGTGGCAGGACAATGCTGCAGCCAGTCTCCTCCAGGAAGTCATGGAGAGAGTTGCCTCGGTCACCGACGATGAACTGATGCCTGCCACGTTCGATGGATCGCTGCTCGATAGACAACTGTTGGCGGAGTTGCTGAGCGCGACGCTCAAGTTCAGCTTGAATCTGCTGTGCAGCGGCGCGGTCACCAGAGACTTGAATGGGGAAGTTGGCCTGGGGAGCGAACTGGACGGGCTGGCCACGAGTAACCTGGGGCGGTGCCTGGGATTGCCAAGTGTGGTACTGCGGGATCTGGATGTTGACGTCACGGCCCTGCACAAGCCTGTCGGTGTGGACATTGTTGGGTCCTGCGAGGAAAGGATAGAACTCGGCAGGGATGTCCTTCAGTCGCAGGTTGACGGTCGAGGTGCGTTCGTTGACGATGGCATCAATTTCGCGACGAGCCATCTCAGCAGTCAAGGCATTACCCTCAATGTGAACATTGACCACGGTATCCTCATCCTCGCCCGGCTCGGCCTTGGGAACCTGGATGCGGGCACCGGTGCGCTTGCTGATTTCCTGGATCTTGGAACCTTGACGGCCGATGATGTGAGCGCGAACGGAGGCGGGGACGGGGACATCGACGGATTGCTGAGAAAGGTTAGATTTGTCTGTAAGAGAAATGATGGGTGACATACCTTGGAGCCGACCTCATTGGCGACTTCCTTGAGAGCCTGTCTCACCGCCTCAACCGGACCAGTGGCCTCGAAGATGAGAGCTCCCTGGCCCTGCTTGTAGTCGAGCTTGGCCTTGGAGCGCCTGTTGATATCGCGGACGATCTCGTTGATGGGCTTCTTCAGCTCACCGCGAGGGGCGACTTGGTGGGCAGCGAGGGAGATGCGCTCGGTGTGTTTTCCGGGGATGTTCATGGACGGGAGGGCGGGGCCACGGCTGGGAGCAGATGGGGCAGAGCCAGGCGCGCTGCCATTGACGCCGTTGGAGGTGACAGAGGCAGGCTTCTTGCCCCAGGTAGGCGCGACAGGAGCCTGAGTGCGCTTGGCGGGACCGAGAGCTGGGAAGGCCTCCTCAGACGATGTGTTGAGAGCAGGCTTCTTGGAGTCCCCGGCCTTTTGCTTGCCAGCGGCTTTCTCGCTGAGCGGAGCAGAGCCATCGGCAGAGGGGTGAGCAAGATCATCCTCGTCGGGGACGTCCTCGACAGTGACATGGTGATCTTCTACTCCATGATTGTGCATGAGCCTCTGCGCCGGGGTCAGACCGTCGTCAGAGGTAGCAACTGCTTCAGATGCCATGATTGAGTATAAACCGTTTCGAGTTGACCAAAGGGTGTTCGCGTGGACGGTGGGTGGGCAGCTTAGCAGCGTGGAGCCAGCTTGACGTTAACGTTGCAGATTTCGGTGGGCGGTGTACTTCTTGTTCTGGGGGTGGAGGGTTAGCGGGTGGTTGAGGAATAAGAGCCGAAATGTAGAAGCCTTCGCTTTCTCGCTGCAACGCTTTACCGGTAGTGCGAGTACCAAGTAATGCAACCTCGGAATGGGCCTGTTGTCACTCGGAGCTTACCAGGAAATAGCTTACAGGGTCTTGAGGCCGTTACTTAGCAGGCCATAACGCGAATGGACAGGCGGTGCAGGTTCAATTGATGTGGAGACGACTGCTACGATTGCAGGTGTCGTAGACGGTGGTGCAATGGTAAAGAGAGCACAGGTGGCCAGAAAGCTACTCGAAAGTACTCGAACTTCCCTTTGGTCGGTGTTGGACCCCTGCGAAGGCGCCCCACCCGACTAATTCCAATGGATCCATCCCGTTAAGCCTAGCCCTGGAGAGCCCGCTAACCTCCACACGCCTCGACGTTTTTAATCAGGCAAAGAATCATTACCCGCTACTCGCATTCGTTCATCTGCATTGCAAATGACTAGATATCATTCGTCTGCGATGTTTTTTTTTTAACGGAACGGACATGCCAGCGCACACTAGGCGCTATCAGGGAAAAACAAATTCATAATGGTCGCGAATATCTTCATCTCCACCACGCATGAACGAAAGATTGACCTCAGAGCATATGTCGATGTTTCTGTGAGTTTACTCGGGGATTACCAAAAAAGATAGAAACGAATGGCCGATGGACGATTGACACCGCAAAGTACCGGTGATATTGGCAAGCTCGAGTGAGAGCATAGAAGAAGAGCATAATCAAGGAGAGAACTTCGCATACCACCGCCCATATGACCACAAATGGCAAAGTAGTAACAAAAACATCGTTCCCAAACACCTCCCCTACCCTCCCATTCTCACCCTCTTATCCCATCTCAAAGCCCCTTCTGTCCCTTCTTCGCCCGACTCTCCCAAGTAATAACCCCATTAACATCCTTACTCGGCAAATCCTGCGTCCATTTTCCCCCAAGAAACCCTACACTATCATCCGGACTCGTCCTCGGCCTCCAATAACACCAACTCTTCCCCAAACCGCCTCCCTTCTCCTTCGTCAGTTCCGTAAACCCGTCTATACACTCTTGCTCTAGTGGTATCCAGCTCCATAAGTAATTTTTGTCTTCGTTGTCGAGGTATACTTTGAAGATCCAGTCTATGGGCTTGCCGTCGTGGCCTTTGATATTGTAGGTGAAGACGATGGCGGAGTCGGAGAAGATCGGGCCAGAGCCGTGGTTGGCGCAGAATTGAGACAGGGCGGTTTTCCAGTTGGGGATGTCGGGGTAGTGGTGTTTGTCTGAGGCGCATTGGTCGGCGCGGCGGACGAGGGTGGTTGTGTTGGAGTGGGGAATGTTGTCTGTTGGGGATGAGAGGTTATATGGTGCCGACGTGACTGTTGGTGCGAAGGTGGCGAAGAAGAACGATGTGCGTAGATACATGCTTTGGATTTATCTAACTCCGAGTTTTCCGAGTGGGCGTGGGTGTGGATGTCGACAAGCCAAGATGAGCAACATGATGGACGTGCAATTCGTCTTGCTGTGTTCTTTAATACCCTACTTGTGTATTCCAACCGACCAACAAACGGGTTATTATGAGGCGGCTTCAAAAGAACAAAGAGAAGACTCGCATATTCTTCCGGTTATCATAAAGAAGTAATCACGATGTTGTATCCTTTGGTAGACCTTCTCCTGTATCCGGCACGATCGAAACAGGTTCACGAGGCAGTATCGCAAAGATAAAGGACTAACCCACGTGTCCCACCAGTCGATCAAAGAGATGATTGTCATATTGTAACACACGTGAGTGAGGCCAAGTGTACGCATGACTGCGTGTTCACTCTTCTGAAATACTGCAACACCTACCAGGGCTTGATGCAAGATCGCAGTTTTCCACTTTCTAGCAGCATTCTGACATATCGACATGCAGGAATGCAGTACGGAAAGACGAAAAGATGCAAACTGAGTGCGGGAAACAAAGAATGAGAAGCTGGTCCTTCGATACCTAGGTACCTCTACATGATTTCCATCTTGGGCATCGGCATCGAGGCGCCGTATCAGCTGTTCATCGATCGCCATGCGATACAACATTCCATGACATGTATCTGCCTTGCACATCCCACAAACGCAAGGAGCACCTCGCACCTCGCATCCCCTTCCCACGTCCAAAAACAGCCCTACATCAACAAAGACATCAAAAGCGGCGCAGCAACAACTGCCGCTATATCCTCACATACTGAAACGCGGGGGGGTTGGGGAAATGTGTGTATAAAAGACCGTTGTCATCTGCAAACCATGCAATAACCAGTGCGACTTGGTAGTATCGCATTTACAAACCAGATGTTATACTACACAACTACAACTACACTATATCACCGCCCCACCTTCCCCCACAACCGGTCCTTAACGGTAAAACCCCGCCGCGTCATCTCCACCAACAGGCGGCGCACTCGGTGCCTGTCCTCCAGGTCGATATGGCAAGTATCCCTGAGCAGGCGGTGCTGGGCTAGAGGTAGCGCCAGGCGGCGCAGGTGGTGCATATCCAGGCTGTGTTGGTGGGTATCCATAGCCTTGCTGGGGCGGCTGTTGCGAGTATGGGTCTGACAGAGGCTGTTGTTCTTGTGGAGCTTGTTGTGGAGGAGGTGATGAGAGCTGCTCGTATGGGTTTTGCTGTCCTTGTGGTGGGCCTTGGGGAGCGCCTTGCTGTGGTGGGTAGCCGCCCGTTTCGTAGCCTTGCGGTGGTTGGCTAGGAGCGTGAAAAGAATGGCGGTTGTCGACTGGTGAGTCGTATTGACTGGTCGCTAGCTCCTGGGGTGCGTAGCTTTGTGGTCGACCTCCTACTGGTACTCTTCCTGGGGGTAGCGTGTAGGGGTCTGATGGCGGTCCTGGTTTCGGGGTTTGCTGTGTCCGTTCACCTGGAGGAACCATGAAGAAAGCAGGGCTTGAGCCTACAGGTGGTACTTGGGAAGGAGGTCCATGTTGCTGAGGTGCTCCGCCATAACCGTAGCGACCTGGATCCTGATGTGGAGTGGATGATACAGGTGGGTATCCTTGGTAGTTCGAGGGAGGTGGTGCATTGTAGCCGCCATATCCAGGACGGCCGCCGCCGTATGCAGGTTGTTGAGGCTGGGACATGGATGCCTCCAGCATGGACTCATAGTCTCGACGAGCCTTGATGAACTTCTCATTCAGCTGTGTAAAGTCATCTAGAAGAGTTAGCGCTGATCATAACGCTTTTTACGATTGACCTACCCTTTTTCTGCGAGTACTTCCCGATGAGCTCGATCAACTTCGGCCGAATAGCCAGCGTTGAGTGGTAGAGCTCGGTAATCTCCTCGTTGTCTCGCGCATCGCCTGCGCCTGGTTGTGAGCTTGTGCTCAGCAGCGCAAGCAACTTCTCCACATTCCTTATTTGTGCAAAGACCTCAGCCTCATTCTGTGCCTCCCTCTCGAGCTCTTCGCGCGTCGGATCTTGCAGCTTCTCCACGTAGTTAAGCGGGAAGATACCTGTCTGCCCGCGCAGCGATCCCTTCCACCAGTCCTTGTATACCGATTCGAGTACGGCAATGATGTCGCCCTTGCGGAACTGTAGTTCACCGGGCTCAGATGGTTGAAAATCGAAGAGGGCTCGTACACGTGAGACGGTCGCTGCGGTTGTACCTGACGGCAGGGGCTGCGAAGGCTGTTCGGGCTGGGCACTGGGAGTTGATCCACCCTGCTGAGGCGTATTGGACTTGGCAGCTGTCGGCGCTGCGCCCTTAGACTCACGTATCGACATGGCAAGCGCCATTTGTAGCTCCTCTTCCTCTTTCTGGCGTTCGACGTCGGAGATCTGCGTCTTCTGTGGCTTAGAAGGCGCTCGGAGGTTGGGGTCTAAGACCTGTCAGTATTGTACATGGCACCGTTACTTCCCCAACTCACTTTGTGACTTCAGCTTCATATATGCATTAGACATGATTCCCAGGTCGGGGTCACGGGCGAACATGTCGCTCCACTCTTGCATGCGCTCCAGTATCTTGGCCTTGACCTGCTGATGTGTGTTGCGGTCGTTGGCAAGCCTCAGCAGCGCTTCTGTGAAGCTCCGTGAGGCAAGCTCCTTGTGCATTTGGATTCCGCAGTTCTGGCTCAGGGCGTTGGCCAGCTCGAGGGTGTATAGTTGTACGTTCGCATTTCGGTGTGCTAACCGCCTGATCATGGCAGCGACCGCATCTTTCGCGCCGGTGTCGGATGATCCAACCTTGTCGCATACATCCTGCGTGGTGAGTTAGCGACTGCTTTGTATGCTGGTACGCAAAGACACATGGTCGTGGTTGGACGAATGTTGCGACATCTGCCCAACTCGCCGTCCAAGGCCTCGAAGGTGCTGACCATACCAAAATGTATTCCCAGTTCTCGCTCGTGAGATTTTCGTCCGTGGCTTTTACGACAACATCGTCGAAGATGTTGGATTGTGCGCGAAACATGACGTCTGCCTGCTTCCAGGTGTCTAGAGACTCGGTATGGGTAAGCTTTCCGGGGGCGCGGGTACCTGGAGTCGATGCGCGAGGTGAGGTAAAGGTGGCAAGTTCAGAAGGGCGGAGGGTGAGCGGATAGGTCGCAAACGCGCGCGAGGTAGTAACGGTAATTTTGGGGAAAGGCCGTGTTATAGGAAGAGTGAAAGTCGTTCGTGTCGCGGTCAGTCGTATGCAACCGGGCTTAGAGCTCCCCGCCCAATGACGACTATGTGGCGGCCCTTACTCAGCCACAATGCTCGGGTCGCAATTTCACCAAGCAAGACATATCAACGCCCATCACAATATACGCCCCTGGATGCTGAGTGAGTGCACTTACACAGGAAGAATATTCATATTCGACTTTTCTATATGCCGAGATTGCCACCTCCGGCCAAGCTTGTAACCCCAAATCGTATAGACACTAAAATTGCACACATTGTATATAAGATAAGTCGTAAGAGATGCGCGTCTTTCTGTAACCCAAGAAATCTGCCAGATCATGAGATGGGTGTGTATACCAACATCGACACTCGGGACTGTTTGAAACAACATAAATAATGCGCTCGCGAATATGAGCAGTTGAACAGGATATGACGCGCTTGCTAATTCGCTCGACAATGCTCGTTGTGTAGAACAGCAGTATGAGGCTTCGACCTTTGCATACTGACTGCCGAGCAGGTGGTGGTACCGCGACACGACCATGAGGGGCGAGTGGCTTCGAGCTGCCACTGGGGTTGGATATGCGAACTTGTGAGCCTCCAACACGTGCGTTTGTTCATCGTCGTGCGCCATTTCGTCACCTTACAATTCCATCATCTTGCCATACCAATCGGCGAACGAATTCGTGCTCGTGTTTGACGAATCGCGGCCGTTGGTCTGCGCATTGCCCGTACCTAAGTAAGTTCCGGTGTTAAGAGACATTCATAATGAAATAAGAAACTTCACAGACCACCCTTCTTCCGCCTCTCTTCTGCCCTTGCTTTCCTCGCCGATTGGACCAGTGGCGCTAATGTGCCTAGCGGTTCAGCGGTCTGGATGAAGGGGTGCTGTGTCTTGTTAGCGGTTGTCAAACAACATACAGCTAGTATAAACTTACCACCAGAAGATCGTGAGCGCTAGCCCGCTTGTCGGGGTCGACCTTGAGCGAAAAGCCCAAGAAATCACGGAACACGGGCGATAGAGCGTGTTCCTCCTTGATTGTCGGTGTCCCGTTGGTGGCGATGAGCCAGAGTGCACGCAGGGGACTTTCATTCAGGTACGGCGGTTCTCCCTCGATCATCTCGATGGACATGATACCCAACGACCAAATGTCAACCTTTCGGCCGTACTCTTTGCGAGTGACAACCTCGGGTGCCATCCAGTATGGGGTACCTACCATGGTCGTGCGCTTGTTGTGGCTTTCGTTGATTTGAGCGCAGAAACCGAAATCGGCTGTTGGATATATTAGATTTGATACAAGATGGCGATATTGAATTGAACATACTGAGCTTGATGTTGCCTTCCTGGGAAAGCAGGATGTTATCGGATTTGATGTCTCGATGAATGACGCCCTTGGAGTGAAGATGTTGCAAGCCGTGGAGTGTCTAGGAAATTAGCGGAGATCTTCAAACGGGGCGCAAACACTCACCTCTCTGCACACAGCAGCTATTTGGCCTTCTGACATGATGTTGAAAGTAACAACATCCGTCAAACTTCCACCTTCCATGTACTCCATAACCACCCACAGATCGCCTCTTAGCAAGAAACTGTCCATGAAGTTTACAATGTTCTTGTGCTTGCTGTCTTTCATGACCAAGATCTCGTTAATAATCAGGTCCTTCTTAGGCTGTTGCTCGAGGTTCATCTGCTTGATGGCTACGCATTTGTTGGTGCTGTTTTCGTAGGCCATGAAAACACCACCAGAAGCACCCTGACCAATCTTGCTGAGGTTGCGGTATCTCTCCCGGGGATCGGCATTGGTACAGATGGCATTGAGCTTGGCCACGATATCCGGTCCCTGACTCTGCCTCGGCCTTTGGCGTGGCCGGGGCGCTGGGCCAACACGAGCCTGTTGCGATGGTAATGGAATGTTTTGGGGATCCGATTGCTGGGCAAAGACCTGCTGGGGCGTCGGCTGGGACATCTGCGGCTGCGGCGCAGGGACTACAGGTGGTGCATAGTTTGGTTGTGGGGCTCTTTGGCTGACGCTCCTCCCTAGAGGTGCCTTTGGCTGCTGCGTGGTTGCCATGGCCATGGCTTGTTG